GGCGATCAAAGCTTCGTTTCTCCAAGAAGCGGGATTCTCGAAATCAACAGATCGTAAAAAAAACGCACATAATTGTTGTCGTGTCGTCGTTGCATTTTTCTTATTGGCTCGCGGAGATGTTACTTACAGTTTCTGATAAACCTTGAATTTACTTAAATATCAAGGACTCGCTAACTCTGGAGTTTCCAAGACGATATGTACGCACTTTTCACGAGAATGAGGATGTTGTTCGCGTTCTTCATTTTTTTTATTCAAACGCGAGACACAAAGAGTTATGCAATTTTATATATCGTGTGTCAATGCGTTTTTTTCACGAATGATGGTGCGGTATGCGATATTTTAAATAAAAATCAAATATAAATTCGATTTACTCGTTTCGCGATGATTACTTACATGTTTTTTCGAACAAGTTGAAATCAGAAAAATGATTTATCGATCCGCATCGGAAAAAGAAATATAATACCATTCTCGAGATGATAATTCTTACATCGGTACACGATCACAAAAGATACGCACACTAAAAATAAACAGTGCGTCAATTTAAAATTTATTTTTACAAGCTTACAAAATCGATGTGTCCTCGATGTTCATTTCGCAAGAGTACGTCATTATTAAATTAACTTTTAAGTCATCGACTATGCGCGTACGGATTTTATATTTTAATCAAGAATGTGAGCTTTTCTAAATTTCATCAGTAACGAAAAAACAAGGTATTCCAACGATGATTATGACAATTGTTTAAAAATGTATACTCTAATTATAGGAACAGTAAACGAGCATTTTAGTGCTAATTGTAGTTGGCGGAAATGGCCTCTTACTCAAGTTATACAACTGTCGATTTGCATTCCGAAAGGATTATGAGCTTTGTAGCTTTTAAACTCTCAAGAATATAACAATGGAGGGAATTTTCGAGCGTCGCGCTTCTGACTAATGTAGTTTGCTAGTAGTGCTGATCTACATTTTTTATTTCTCTCATTCTCATTCATGAGACTTGAGTGTCAAATTTTTATGGAGTTCTCGATTAAAGGGGTGTTCGATGTACACCGAATCGGCAAATTAATTAAACAACAATTTAAAGCACCACATATTGATCAGTTACAATCAATAAGTTACCAATCTCTTTTTGAAAAAAACCAAACAATATAAAATCAATTCTCCGAAAAAGTTCAACAAGAATTGGAAGATCGCGAGGCAATGCACGTTTGCAGCTAATTATGAGTTTATAACGCAGACAAACCGAAGAAAAGTAGTCGCAGTGCTATTGCTTTTCTCCGGCGGCTTCACGCATGCAATCGTCCATCATCGTCTGATCCTCCTCTTCAGCCTCCGACGTTTGATGTTATCGTACGCTGGTGCCAACGGTATATATAAATGGGATAGAGAGAAAGAGAGGCTGGACAAATTTTTGCCGACAGCTTTCCTTTGTGCGCTTCCTCTTCGCCGCGACTGACAATACAATATTCTTTTATACGTGTATAATGTTGTGGAAAATTGTTCGCATTCCCTTCGGTCGAAAGACATACAATTATTATTTTTAGCTGTGGCGTTCGCATCATTTGGTAATCACATTAGTTATTCACGTTAATATCGATTTGAAAAATCCAGCGTTAATCAATACAACCGTAGCGGTGGCTATTGATCACAATCAAATGCCCACATGCAATTCCATTTGCAATTATAATGCGTCCTCTAACATATAATACATATAATGTGCACGAAACAAAAGAAAATCTTTTCTCTATCTGCATCGATGATAAGACACGCTGCCGTCGAAGCAGAAATGAGAATCTTTTACGATCGACAAACACCGTCCCGAATACGTCGATATGCACTTTAGGGAGGCCGGTCTTGCACTGATAAGACAGCAGCAGGCAACCGAATTGCATTTTTATACGCCGGACGTTGCGCGTCGCTCGGCAGATTTATCGAAAGCTATCTTTTGGAGTACGTTCAAGAGTCATCTTTTGCCAAGCCGGCGTTCCATTCGCGTACGTCTGATTGAACTCTCGCGAATAGCGATTTAAAGCTCTCCGTTTAACAAGACTTTTAACAAGACGACCGCGATAAACATTAGCAGTTATTTGCAAGTCCTCGTGAGCTCCCCCGCAAAACAGAGAAAAAACATCGGCGTTTGAGATCAATCGCAGTAATGGCTCTACGAGAAAAGCAACCCCTCGAAAATAAAAGCTCTCGCAATCACCCGGCGTCGAGCGAATTTAATCCACGAGTCTCTCTCTCTCTCTCTCTCTCTACTGAATTCTAAAGTACATCACAATGCCGCATTCGTACGCACAAAGAGTCCGTTAGATATCTCTCGCTGGGTTTTCTTCTCCAAGAAAGAAGCTCCCTGCCGCAAAATAAAAACCAGATAAGCTTGATTTCCGGTTATGTTCGTTTGCTTTGTTGTAGCTCGACGTCAGTGGCTGGCTTTTTTATTATTTTCACGCAGCGAGTTTTAATGGGCGCGGGATCGTTCGCCGACGCAAAAAAGGAAAAGAGACTGGTTAAATCACCGGGCGCTAGCACTAACGAATGTTGGCGTCCGCGGGGATTAGCCTGATATGCCTCGCGCGCGAAAAGTGATAAAGTGGATTTTCGATGTAAAATTTAGCAAACAAAAAATGCCCGTTGGAATTGTTCTCTTTTATTTATTATTATTTTTTATTAATCTCAGATTTGTGAAACGCAGGGAATTCCACAATAGATATTCTTTTGGCAGGGGAATTTTTTCCGTTTGGCTAGGGGGAAAAATCATTCTACGTAATCGATATTTTTCATTTGTAGAATTTTCTTCTTACGGAATAGGATATATTTCTTAAATACGATATAACGATTTATTTTACTCAGTGTACAGTGTAAAGCAGTTGATTGAATTTCTTCATTATTCAAAGTGGGAAAAGCTCAAAACCCATTCATTTTGCCGTTTGGTCGAGTGTTTAAAAATCAATTGATTGAGCGTCTGCCATGCACTTAAAAGAAAATAGCGTCAGCTTACAAATTACCACAAATAATTAATAAACATTACAAACACGCCGCACATACTGGAAACATTTCAACTTGTCACGCTGAGTTCGGATGAATCAATATATGCAATATATATATTTCGCTTGAACAGCCAAACTAGTTTATAGCCGTGATAAAAACAAGAAAGTTATTACGGAGTCAAGTTGACGAAGAGGCCAGGTGAGATTAAATGTCTTATCTCTGTGAATACATTCTAATTGGGAACGTCTCTGTTTTCGTGGGTGAAAACAATGGGGATTCGTTGAACGATTCAATTACGATCTTTGCCAAATCGCGTGCATACGTGAACGGCGTGCAATTGCAAACAAAGAAAAAACATAAGCGTGGACAAGGCAGAAAAGCCTCTCAATTTCCAGGAGGTGCAGACCGGGTCCGCGTCTTTCCCTCGCTCACTCACTCGATCCTCTCACCGGGTCTTAAACACGTTTTAACGCGGCCGATTAAGCCAAGCACAACGGGCGCTCAATGTCCTTGTGTGCGCAGCAGCAGCCGACGACGACGCCGATACGCTCATTTATTTCTCGCCACACGGGCATGTATATACGTATACATGCTGCTGTTCTCTTTACGCGCCCTGTATTTATTCGCCGATATGGCAATCTCGTGTGGTTTTTCACGACTCAGAAGTGTGTTCGGCAATTTTATTCGCTTGTTTATTTCGTACGTTACACTTGCCGTTCCTTATGTTACCGTAAAAAAAAGTAACAAAAAAAAAAAAAAAGAAAAAAAATTCGAAAAAGAGCCACAGCCAAAAGATGCAAATAAAAATTGTTACACGTTCCTTCCGTGCACTCCAGCACATATTAATGCCTGCGAATACATCGACTGTGCTCGTAATTTGACGCACTTGCATTCGCACATCGAAACGATATATAAATCACCGACTTGGCATGCCTGTCAAAATATGCATAGAAATTGATCGATCGATAAACCAAACGTAGCGTGACAGTTCAATCATAGCGCCATTTGTTCGATCTTCACCTGTCGCGTAGAAAGTGCACTTCTTGGAATCTCAAAGCGGCGCTTTCTCTTCCGCTACGACTTTCAATTTGAAGACCGCAAGCACATGCATCGATTCGACAAGTCAATTCAAGCGTGCATGAAAGAGCTATTGTTGCCGAGATGGAAATAGACTGAGGAAAAGTGCTTTTCCTTTTTGTTTTGTTCGACGCACAGTCTATGAAACCAGTTATATCAGGATTTAATTCTTTCCATTTTCAAGTTTTTCCAATGTCGTAGTTCTACGTGAAATATTCCTGTATTTCCAATTTTCATATAATCTTTAAAATTTAATCATTTCACAAGACAAACAGAAAAAAATTGAGATCGACGTAATGTGCGATTAGCAGAAGCCGAAAGTTCGCATCTACCTCGGCAAATGCATCTGCAAATCGCAAAGCTCGGGTGCGCGGGTTTGCACAAGAAGCACCAAAACTCATTAAACTCTCAAACGCGCTGGCTGAGAGGGTAAATGGAGGCTGAGCACAAGCTAATTTCCACATCGCACTGATCAAAGAAACGAATTCTATCAGAGAAGAGCAAGATAATGTTGCCCTTGAGGGGAGGTTACGCTAACCCCTTTAATGCCTAGGAGATTAATGCCCCTTTTCACAGAGAGATTTAAAAAATCACGATTTTCTCGCACTTTTATCGCGGTGCTTTTCGACTTAGTGGCGCGTGTAATGCTTCGACGCTTCTTTTTTTTATCTCTCTTTCTCTCTATCTCTTGCTGAGTACCATTAAGGCTTTTGTGTCTCGCAGCAGAGAATTTCCTTCCGAGCGAAAGTTATTTAGATTAAATTCTTCGTCTCGCCTCGGCGATAATTTACTTACTTTCCTATTGCGGACGCTTATATACTTCTTACTCTCGATTTGAATTTTACCTTTTTATTTACTATAAATAATTTTCACATGAATTCTCCAACGAAGCAAACGTCATACAAATCAATGTAACGTCTTGTCGTTATGTTTTGCAGGCATCACCGATGCGTCTGCCATCGATGGACAGGTGACGCGTCGTGTGCGAGATCCTCGTCGTTGAAAGCTCCACTGCATTCGACACGCAATCTCGATCGGAAAACAGATACGCAAAGAAAATGCTCAGTCCGTTGTGGTTCACGCTGACTTTGTTGGCATGCGTGCCATCGTCGAGTCTTGGTCGGCCATCAAATCACAAACACCAAACGTCGCAACCGGTATTGAAGACATTGGGTCAGGAGATTGGTTCACCGTCGGAATTAGCGTGGCAAGCATGGTTACTTGTCGAGTCGAAAGGTGGTATCTCATCGGCATTGGATTCATCCAATATTCTGCGTAGAATCACGCCCAAAAGTATCTTCATCGCACCGGAATTGATCTCGTGTCCTGCGGGCTATTCGACCGATGGTAAGGGAACGTGTCGACCAGATCCAATCAGCATCGACGAAGATGCGCAAAAGCAGTTTATCTTGAAAAGACTGAATGCTCTTTACGGGAAATTTGGTAATAATAAGAAGAAACCTGAACCACCGCCAGGTCCATTGCAGATAAATATACCGATCTCGTTGCCAACGAAGAATGCTCCACCCGAGCCGATTCCAGTATTGGTAGCTCAACAACCAGTCCTCGTTGGTAACAATAAGAGTCAGGAAGCCGTTGCAGTGGTGGTCTACAAAGTAGAGAACGAGACGAAGGATGAGTCTTCCGAGCCGTTCTTACTTGGTAACACAAACTCTACGCCACCAAAGAAAGTTGCTGAGATAATCGTCGAAGCAAATGATACTTTCACCGGTGTGGTGGATTATAATATTCCTCTACAACAAAACTCCACCAACCTTGGACAGCAGGCAGATAAAAAAATTAATAAGGAATCATCGGAAGATTCTTCACCTACGGTTGTCTTACTCTTATCACCGACCATGCTACCTTCTACCGCTGAGAAGCCGAAAAAGATCTCCACGGAGGAGACGAAGATGACCGAAACAACCACGCTACCGACTACCATCGATGACAACAAGTTCGAAACCATTCAGACTGTCGCTCCGTTGGAACTTGAAACTGACGTCGATACTACGATTAGGACAACTGAAAAGACATTAAGCACGAGAAGCAGGGATGATTACGAGCATTCCGATCAACAGGTGAGATTATCAAATTTGACTTTGTAGACAACTGGATTACCGAACATATATAACTCTCCATGTATAACGATGATGACTGACGGACTTCAGGATTTGACGTCGATTAGTGCCACCTGACGAAATTTCTGTTTCAGATCAGCTGCCGATTTTGTTTTGATTTAGATTGGCTTATGCGACAGAACGCGTCCCTTGTTACAATTAGAGTTTTACTTTGAATGAAATAAAAAAGACCCTGAAAGCGTGATACGCCCCTCCCTCCCACAATGAATCCTGAAAACATTGCATGTAAATAAGCACAATTGTATATGCATTTTAAAAACCTATACTTTTCACGAAATTGAATTTTGACGCTTTTTAATTTTACCAAAGATCAATTGAATGCGTCATTTGCTGAATGAAAAAATCATGTATTTTCAGATGACCACGACAATGTCAGCTCCATCGACAATGGATGATGAAACGGCATACACCGACGAGGACGAAACTCAAACGCCGGAGCAGGGATCCGAGGAAGAGCAAGAGCAAGAAGAGTACGAGGATGAATTTGCCGAAGACGAATTGTTGAAACCAGGCGAAGCAGGATCGATGATGTCAGCGAAAAATCAAGAATTGATCCGTTCGAAAATTCATCAGCCGTCAACTTTACCCGTTGCATCAACTACAACGATGTTACAACAAGATACAACGACGATACCCCCCACAGTGCAGGATACATACGACGCTAAGGAGAGTACAATCAAAGCCGAAGCGACGGTTTTCACCACTCAAACGACTGATGTACCGAGCACCACAGTTAACGCTGTGCCCGAGGAGACAACGATAACAGCCACGACAACTGTAACATCGCGACCACAAAGGGTTAAAGCTAGCATTCAAATTAATCCGTACACCACGGAAATACGACGTCAGCCAACTACAATTCGGGCGACGGAGATTCCAACCGAACCACCGTCAATGTTCTTGTTGCAAAGACAACCGCAACAGCACAAGCCATCGTTCACCGTCAACGACGAGCCGATTTTTTTCAACGACGGTAAACGAGATAATCTACCACCTGAGTTCAAAGATCAATTGTCACGCGATCGCACCTACATACGATTTCCCGACCCACCTCAACAGCAACACCCGCGTGGTAGTTTCGTGAGATTCCCATCGGATGACGTCAATAGCATCCACAATCAAGACACTTTCAAGGATTTGTCGCCGTTTCAGTATAGCTCGAGTACGAAGAGCAGCGTGCAGCGCTGGCGACAGCAGAAACAAAAGCCAATGTTACTTAAATTCTGGGCGAGAATGCCGTTGGTTAGGGATCTGTCATTTTATCCAACGACGAGTCACGGCTCGCATAATGAACCCATCGGAGGACCTACACCACCTACGTCAAGGCGTGGCGGTGGAACGATTTTTAAGAACGACGCTTAAGATGATTTAGAGAGTTACATGCATGCATTTTGTAAATACGTCATTATACCTGCATCGAAGCGCTGCGTTGGTGATATCAAAAACTCGGCCGTAATTACTAAGCTGCAATTACGTCGCTTGTAGTTTGTTTATTCTTTAGAAGAAACACCCAAACAATTTTCTGTAAGCTCGTTCTCTCTTTTACACTTTTCTATAGTTCATTCAGAAATATTGTCGGTGTTTCGTCCTGCTACCATATATGCGAAGACTTTTTTGCTTCAAGACGCACACATTCAATATTACGCGTATTAAGCTTCTTAGAATATATAAGATATCTACGTAGAGTATGTGCGTGCTTTTTGGGTATCATATCTAAATGGTAATTGTAGTAGCGGAGCAACTCGTATAATAATCGACGTAAGTAATATAAGTAATTCACTAATTGTTGTTTAGAGGATATTGTAAATCTCTACACGCAGTAGGGATTCCCGAATTACATATACAATATACATTACTTTCATTCATTCATTCATTCATTCATGTCTTATCTTTTTTTTATATACGACGTTGTTTCACTTCACCGAAAATATCGAATCTCAGTAGTTTGTAAGTTTCTTTAGTGGCCCCACGTGCAAAAGATTCATTGCTATACAGACTGAAAAATACGAGAAAAAAAAATTTCTTTACGTGTCTGGACTCGAGATGCAATGTTTTTTCTGCTAAAATTAGAACTTGAATGAATTATAATCAAATTTTTCTTTTCTCGCGTACTCGTGCGGTAAAATCTTTTGTCTTTGTTTGGCGTGCCACTGGCGAATCGTCGTTCTTCCGAATTTTGTAATATATAATTAAGCTTAAATATACGCATCTCATCAATATTTAACAATAGACTAAGTATATATTAAAACAAAGTCATATCGCTGTTGTGTGGAAACATCGAAATATTGTTACTCTTTATATAGTCGAATCATATATAGTGTATGTTTGTTTGTTTTTTTTTTTTTTTCATATCTCCTCCTTATTTCTATTACATAGTAAAATTGTTGTCTATTAAACGTATTAAAATGAAATGAATGTTGTATGCAGAGAGCCGATTTGAGATTATATAGCTAAACTCGCCGTATTATAGTGGCCAATGATTCTTTGATAATACACTCGCATATTAACGATATTTTCTCATCGAGGGAGAAATAAAATGAAAAATCGTTTCTATTATAACGAACGTGTAAACGCAAAAGCATTTAAATCTGTTGTTAGGTAGAAATTTAGATACGTATTTAGCGAAAAGGAAAAATCAAATTTTCCAATATATACTCATGTGCAATTTTGAAATATAAGATGTATAATCTCTTCAATCAAATGTACTGATTATGGGTCATGCAATGTTATTGTGCATTTTTTCTTTCTCATTGTACTTGTCATTTATTTCGCATGCGAATGATTTGCAATGTGTCCTTTGACATATATTTGCTTGTTTTGTGATTTAGTTTATTTGTTTGCTTTATGTAACCGAAATTGTGTATATAATTTTTTGTTTACAAACAGTTAAATATTTCGTATATAATACAATAAGTGCAAAAATTGATATATTTGTTTTCTTCAATGTGAGAGGTGCAAATTCAATGCATGTCCGATAATCGGTATCATTTTTTACTTCAATGAGATCTGAACATAATCATCATATCATATTCATATAGGTAATTAATTACACGAAATTATCAAATATCTGACATTGCGGCCAGTAAACGTATACTCTGTATCCCACACGTTTTTTTATACTCATTCTATTCTTCTCCATGTGCTGTGTAATGTTTTTTTCTGGCGTATGAATGTTAAATCTTGTGTAAATATTAATTCATTTTTATTATAAACCATAGAATTATTATTAGTTTGAAAACGCAGATTTGTATATATAAAGCGTAACGATATAAGTGTTAACTTTATCGTAAAGATGTATTAAATGTAACTGTATTAAACAACTATTGTATTATTTATAGTAAAATATATATTGATGTATATTGCATAATTGTGCGTCTTTATTATTTCTTCTTACATTGATTCTTTGTTATTATTATTACCTACTTAAGCGATTAAATAAAAATTTAATTTCATTCATTTTTAGGAAATAAAAATGTAGCATAAAGATTAGTTTCATCTAAATTTAAAATGCCATGTAATGATATGAATAAATAACTATATTTACATTTCGGTAATCGACGTACAAAAAGCTTATCAAAACTACTTGTTTTCAGTTGCTCTTATTTGAATACCTTTAAAACCTCGAGCAAGGATAAATTTTTCTGAAGATTCACTTCTCGTTGCTTGAGGTCTGACAATATTAACTTTCCTGTAAAATTTGGCAACATTTTCTTCAAACTCACTAGACCTGCTTCCGTCCCATAATTTAACAATTAAGGTTCCTTCAAAAGTAGTAGCTTTCAGTGCAAAATGTAATGTCATGTAAGCTAATCTTATTATATTTTCATGATCCAATTCCTTCACACCTGATGAATTTGGAGCCATATCTGACATTACTAATTCAACAAATTTTCCTTGCAAAGAATCTAATATTATTTGTTTTGATTTTTCCAGTGTAAAATCCATATTTCCGTAGACTATTGCTCCATCTACATGATGCATTGGCAATTTGTCTATGGCAATAACTTTTCCTTTCTGTTCATCAACCATTTTGCCATTTGCATTTGTTAAGTTAACAGCAACTTGAGTCCAACTTCCTGGAGCAGCACCGCAATCGACCACGTTCATACCAGGCTCAAAAATTTTATATCTTTTGTTTAATTCAAGAAGTTTGAAGGCACTCCTGCATCTGTAGTTTTGTTGCTTTGCTAATTCGACGTATGGATCTTTCATTTGTCTTGTTAGCCATAATTGTGAACTGTGCTTCATATTTTTTAAATTGACTGGTTTTTCTTTCAAAAAAGTGTTGAATGTATGGAATCTTCTTAAAATCATTTATGAAATATGTCTTTTTATCTATGGTAACATAACGTTTTTTAATAATTTAAGAAAAAGCAACATATATTTAATGTAAAAATTCTATATTAAGAAACTTTACTGATAGGTTTGTTAGAATAAATAAACTCTGATTTCTTCTTTATACTAATTGTTTCACAGTAATAATTTTTTTAAATTAAAAAACTAACGAAATTCACATTCAAGTTATACAAGAAATTGAATTTTCCTTTCCAAATTGATAAAAATAATATAGACTCGAATAATAATTTGAAAATAATTATGATATTACAAAAAATTACGTATAAAAATATTAGTTCTTCTCTAAAACAATAAATTCAGAAAAGCAAAATACAAAATGTATAGGTTAATTTATTAAAAGCATGAATTCTTCTAATTTTGTAAACGTATTTACAAAAGAATACCTTATAAAATAAAAATTCTCCAATATTTTCCAGTTTTTTCTCAACTATTACAATTGTCTATGTTGTACCAATTAAAACAATATTATGAATTGTCACATGTTCTTTTACAACTTTTCAAAATAGAGGTAAGTTCAACAGTATTGCGATGACGATATCTAATTGATTGTAGTACGTTAGGTCAAGCCTTTCTCCATGGTCCACACTGAGGAAATATTTCTGTGATGCTCTTGTTCCGTGTGATTTCGTATACCTTCCACAACATTTGTACAATTCATCATCTACGTCTGTGTATATAATGTGTGGTTTAAGAAGTTAAGAAGACCGAACGTTTTTGCGCCTTCTGTGCTTCTTAAACCACTGATTATGTATAGGGAGGTAGACGGTGAACTGTACTTCGTTTCGTTTCGTTTCGTTTTAATGGCTGTGGGTACCTGAGGACTCCAATGTGCCACAATTCAAAAGGTGAACTGTACTAATGTTTCGGGCGATGCAAAATTACACGAAATAAGAACATCACAGGAATATTCCTTCAGTGTAGAAAGGCCTTAGGACACTTAGGAAATTTTTTGTTGGTCACACTGAAAGCGGTAACGTTCAAAATTATGGCTTCTCAAAATTGCGTAATTTTTTATAAAACAAGGCGATTACATGAATTTCGATGATTATTTTCAATTATTAATAAAAATTTAAGTCAGCATACTTGCCGCGTTAAAATTGTATTTATTAAATGACTGCATCGAGTAAAACCTGTATAATCTAATCATTTCATAACAATCAGAGATTGCAGCTGTATGTGATGAATGGCCCCTTCATATAAATAAATTAAAATAATATTGTTAACCATGGTGATTAATTTCCCTAGAAAAGAGCTGTTCATATATCTCGAACAATTCATTGTTAACGTTCAAGGATGTCGTGACTAATCTTATAACAAAAGTATTTACAATTTATATTATATCATTTTTTAAGACTCATTTACCAAAAATTTTCGTCTCATGAATTCCATATTCCCTGACAATTTTTGCCATCTCTTTTGGCGTCTCCATCCAGAAAATTTTTCAATTTCCACATCAACTCAATAAACTCAAGTTCAACTCCTCCGCGCAATCATCACTTTTCATCTTAACGAACTTACTTACGGCGGACATTATTAAAGCAGCAGCAGAGCGGACTGCGGCGACAACAACAAAAAGTGGGAATCTCTTTATAACGCTTTCGTCGCTATCAGCTGATTTGAGAGAGCCGCGCGAGACGCTTTTCGAAAAAGAGACAAGAGGCTGCTGCAGTTGTCCGCGGAGAAAAGCCATGAGCTGAGCTTGAGTTTTTCCGAGAGACTACGCAACGTAACGAGAAGTGAAGTGCACATCAGCTACGATGAATCTCGCTATGGGAAGCCCTAATGGCAACGGCCTCCTGTACGCCGGTTTCAATCAGGATCAGGGTGTGTGATTCTTCACCTTATTACAGCATTTGAATGATTTTCATTAATTCGCGGTATGAAAAATCCAGAGATCTTTGTGTCAGATTGTGTAGAAAAGTGGATTTTTTAAAATCGTTATTAAGGCAGAGTGGTAACATGTTTCTGGTAATAATTTGTTGTAAATATTAGTTACGTGCACTAAATTTATTTGCAAGTGATGGTGATATTGATGGTTATATATTGCACATGAAATTTTCAATGTAGGGCATTAATTCCACAATAAATGCAGCCAGTGATCTATTTTCTTTTGCAAACTAACCTCAACCTTAGCCTACTTACAGATTTTCCTTAGAAAACAGCTTACAATATCGAAAGAGTAACTTATTTTGAGTGTATTGTATTCTTATTTTCGCGAGTAATACGCTTGTACATCATTTTCTAGTTATTAATAATTTTTATAAATTAAAAGTGCAAATATATTTTTTAACTTAACAGTAATGTAATTAAAATTTTAATACATATAAGTTACCTCTACTTTCAAACTTAAAAATATAAATTGATAACATTGACAAGAGAAATTGCTTGACATCCTGAATCTGAAAGCGGCCTCATTTCTTGTAATATCCACTGTGACCTAATTTTGTAATTGGTGTTATACTGCCAACACAATAAGTTACTTGTTGCAAGTGATATTAAAGGGCTAGTGAAATGTAATATTTAATAGTTACATGCTTATCAAATTTTAATTTTGGGATGATAATCAATGAATTTCAAAACTTATATCATGGAGATATATAAGGTAACATGCTTTACCAGCGTGTTATGATAGCACTTTTATAAGCTAAATTAATTAAAGACTCATTAAAATGAGAATGACACAAACACATATCTCATGTTGGTGTATCAGGAGAGTCTCAGAATAAAAAGAAATTGAACAAGAGATGAATGTAGTAAACAGATAGCATTATCATGTTAGAAGTGTACTTTATTACATTACTTGATTTTACAGGATGTTTTGCTTGTGGTATGGAAAATGGTTATAGAGTTTACAACTGTGACCCACTCAAAGAAAAAGAACGACATGATTTTGGAGAAGGTGGCTTGGGCTATGTGGAAATGTTGTTTAGATGCAATTATTTGGCCTTTGTTGGAGGAGGAAAGCAACCAATGTATCCACCAAATAAAGGTCAATTACTAATCATGAATTGATGTGATAAATAAATATTTTCTTGATATTTTTATTTGTTTATATTGCTTATATTTTATAGTCATAATATGGGATGATTTGAAGAAAGCACCTGCTATTACACTGGAATTCAGTGCACCAGTAAAAGGAGTAAAGTTGAGGAGAGACAGAATAGTTATTGTTCAGGAAGGTGTTATAAAAGTTTATACGTTTACTCAAAGTCCACAGCAGTTGCATGTGTTTGAGACAAATGCCAATCCGAAAGGCCTATGTGTTCTTTGTCCGAACAGTAATAACTCTCTACTTGCTTTCCCTGGTAGGAAAAATGGACATGTACAAGGTAAATTATATTATTCTTTTATATTTTTAATATGAGTTAAAAAAATTGAATAATTGAATGGAAAATTAAATAATTTAACTAATTAATTAACACAATGGATTTTGCAGTCGTTGATTTAGCTAATACTGAAAAGCCACCACTCAATATAGAAGCACATGAAACACCTTTGTCTTGTATAGCACTGAATTTACAAGGAACTAGATTAGCAACTGCTTCTGAAAAAGGTACTTTAATAAGAGTATTTGATTCTCAAACGGGTACTATGATTAACGAATTGAGACGAGGTGCTAATCACGCCAACATATACTGGTAAGATATATAAAGGGAAATTATATAATTTATATAAAATGAAAATTAAGGTCGACAGTAGACTTTGAAATTTTTCATTTTATTTCAGCATCAATTTTAATCACGACTCGACGTGGCTATGTGTTGCGAGTGACCACGGGACTGTTCATGTATTTGCTGTAGAGGATCAAAAATTGAATCGTCAGTCTAGTTTAGCGTCGGCAACGTTTTTACCAAAATACTTCAGTTCAAGCTGGAGTTTTTGCAAATTTCAGGTACCCGGTGGACCCCAATGTATGTGTGCCTTTGGCACTGATAATAATAGTATCATTGGTAAAGACTAATACATTTTCGAATTTTTTAATGCGCGATTTTTTACTAATTGTTGAAAGAAAATTTTTCTTTTTAGTAATATGTGCGGATGGTAGTTATTATAAATTCATCTTCAATAATAAAGGTGAGTGCACGAGAGACTTCTATGAGCAATTTCTCGAAATGACCGACGATAAGCTGTGACTCTCAACCGATCCTTCGAGGCCAAGACAAAGACTTCCATTTGCGTGAATAAACTGTGATTGCCGTGTGCGCAGCAGCTTGTCGCTTCTATTCCGAGCGCGATTTTTTCGCTAATATATATATATATATAGATGAAAAAGCGCATGCTATTATAAATCGTTTCAGTTGTAAGTACCTGGTAAGCGCAAAAATAATATGAAAATACAAAGAAAAAATTGTTTTTATTATGCGTCTCATTGCTGCCAGTCATTCTAAATGACACGACGAATAATATAATATGTTGATGAAAAAACAAAACGATTGTATTAATGCGTTGAGTACAAAAGCTCAACATAAGAAAAAAAATGTTAACGAATTATATTGAAGCATAATAATCAAGTTTGGTGAGCTCTGTTATATCGAGTTTTATGTCAAAATTTTTAAGGCAATTTTTTCGATCAATGTGAAAAAATGTATGCGGACTAAAGTTAACGTCAACACGCGAGTCTTTGAAATTCAAAATAATTATAACAACTGAGAAACAGTAATATGAAAGTAGACCAGACTTATGAATATTGAGTAGAGAATATATAAATTATGAAAATGTTGATGTAAATGGTTTTTTTAATCTTGTTAATCCGATTGCCAGAAAATAGAATTACTTGAGATTAACAATGTTAGTTGTTTAGACAATTTTGAATACCGCAGACTTGAAACATCATCAACTGAACGATATACGTTTGTCTCGATTGTTGCATAAATATGAAGCACCATATAAAGATTAAAAATTCTAGTCTACATACGTATTTGTTATATACTTAAGTACTTGTTGATAAGTATATATTACGTCCATATTGAATAATATTTATGGAGGGTTATTTAAGCTTTGCTCTTAAAAAACTTCACTGTACATATCAAGTGACTAACAGTCAAATGTATGTTGTTTTTCTTTTAACCACTACAGTGCAATCTTGGAGTAAGAGTTTAAATAAATCCTAGAGAATGCTAAAAAGACTGTTGACGTTAATTTTATACTAGGTATTAAAAAACCAGAAAAAAGCACTGATAACGAGGTGCAGCGCTTAGCCTATATTACATTGAAATCGGAAATGAGCGACATTATTGTTGCAGAATATTATTTCTGATAAGTGGATTGGTTTTCTTTTTTTTTTCTCTAGCAGCCTTTGATATTTTACCATTAAGTTTTTAGTTTTCTAAAATAAAATTTGTATATAATTTAATATCTACTATTTAGTGTATATCCATTATCGTAACAACATATAATTTCTTTGTACGTTAGGCAGAGAGTAACAATTTTTATTTGTAGATTTTGTTTGAGTGACACAATGAACAAATCCGTAGTGCAAAAGTTGAGAATGTTTCTTACCTTACGTGTGTTTTATGTAATTTTGCCGAGTCTTTTTATTGCACTATACTTTTTAAGATATTTGTATGAAATCTATACTTTGGGGCTGTTAAATGCTGATTTTTAATTCTGTAATAATTTTTACGAAATATAAATAAAAAATTTGCAAATCATTTGTTGTTTTTTTGCATTTTCATACTCCTTGTTTAATCTGTGTTTTAATGTGTAGAGGAAAAGTATATAAAAAAATATGCAAAAACAACAACCACTGAGTTAAGAGAAAAATCAGTTTCTATATTCGATACATTTAATTTATATACATACAGTTGAGATAATGTACAGATATTTTTTATGTGGTTGTTAAAAAGTTTGTTGCGCAAAATATTATTGGTGCGCGTGTTTCATATTTTTAGCTTACACGTCTAAAAATCCACAGACGCGTTAAACAAAGCTACACAGCTTAGCGAAAGACAGATTTATCATTATTATTTTTTTACAATCATTTTTCTCAATTGCAGTTTGCTTGTTTCATGCACTTTTATACGATAGAAGCGTCATTATAATGACGTACAACATTATGTCAGGGTCGCGAAACACAGCCGAACTATAGAAAGGTATACATTGAGTTGTTTTCTTTGTTGGTATAGTGTGATACTTGAATGATGTAAATTATAATGTAGAAATTTACAGATAATGCTTATAACTGTTTTAGTATACTCATATTACAAATGAGTGAATTTTGATCGGTTGGTTCTGTAAAAAATCTATTTTTTTCTCTTTTTTTAAATCCGAGTTAGGTATAAGAATAGTCTATCATGAAAATAATAAGTATTCTATTGTTAATATTTTACTTTAATAATATTGATGTGGTATATTCATCAATAAGATACGTATTGTGATTGGAAGAGTGCCAAGAAGATATTTTATTCATAAAAAGTTATTCACCTTTTGCTTCTTTTTTTTTATAAAATTGATCTTGATATAAACAACTGAAACTAAGTTTGATATACTTATGGAACTAATTTAAGGGAATACGGTGTAAAAAATATTTAAGTATCTAAAATTTTTTTTATTATTTATCTATTCGACTTTGAACACGCTCAATTAGCATAATTTTTTTCTTCACTTTTCATAAAAAATTAAGTTTTTTTACATTAACATTACCGTGAATGTTATCTACTAAATAATAAAAAGAAAAACATTGTGCTTCGTGACTAAGAAATAAATATTTACACTAATGTGCGATGATTACAGCTTCAATAAAAACTGCCATACTGCAGTATGTATAATTATCACAATAATTTCGATGACTAACAAATTCAATGAAAGTATATTTACATAAAAAAAACAATCATAATACATCGTTGTTACGTAAACTTCCATAAATTCATTTTACAGATTGATTTAATCATATCACTTCATTACAGATATAACGCGAAATCAAACTTCACGATCGTTTAGCTTTCAGTGAAAAATCGCGTAAGATCGAAAGAGAATTATCGCGAAAAATGGATGTGAAGAAAAGTCCCAAAAAATATATATAGTAGCCGAAATTTGCAACGATTCTACCTCAAAACGAGTTGAGGAAGAAAACAACAAACGGGACAGAAAACTGGCATTCTTTCAGTATATTGTCGTTCACCGAATGTATCCCTTCAGACGTCATAGGCTTGGGTAAGTGCGACGTGCTGTCGCAGTGGCTTTTTGCTGTAACCCTTGTGCGGGTGACCATACTTCTTGTCATTGAGCGTGACGTGCACCTCGTGGATCACTCCCTTCTTCATCTCCATTTGACGATACGTACTGTACACTACCAGCCATGTGTAGAAGGCGAAGAGCGCTGTTGATAATACTAAAAGCCCTGTAATATAAAATTTGATATAAAACAATTATTGAAGCGATAACAATTAGTGATACTAATTCGGAAATGTATGACTGACGGTCAATCAAATCTTGTCCACCGATGATGTAAAGGAACGGACAGTCGCGCTCTTGAACTAAGAACAGTGATATTATTAGAGCCACGATTTTTGTCATCATCACCATCATCCACGGTGTCATCAAGTAGCGAATATTCTAGACAGATAGACAGAGCGTATAAAAAATCAGTCATAAAGTTTTGGGATCTCAGTGGCTTTTTCCACTTCACCGAGCAAAGTTTTACCGCGTATCACAATTGAAAAGTATTGGAAAACTCAAACTCACCATAAGCACTCCGTAAAGCAATAGAATCGTTGATGCAAAATTCACTACCATAACCACCAGGCCGCAATAAATCAAATATATTTTCTCTGAAAAGTCGTAAAAAGTATATTATTAGGAGAATATATAACGCATTTGCAGTCGAATATGAAAATTATTCATACCCGTGGCATCGTGATGCGCAAGCTCCATCCGATGACTGTTTATGTGCTTCGAGGTAATCTCCTCTAAAGCTTCGCGCTCCAACACGTCTTCAGTGTCGCGAGCTATCATGTCCTGGATTCTACTTTCGTGAGTTAAACTCAACGTCAGAAATATTATTATGTAACCGGATAATACCTAGAACAAGTTATTTTGGTGATTTTGTCGTTCTCAATTCATTGAATCGTCGGAGATGTTAATTAATTTAAAGGTTCTGAAGTGAATGGACGTTTGTTGGCGAGCGAGAAAAAGAAGCCGTGTTTGATTGAAAACTGCGATATTTTTAGAAAGCCAATTTTCCATTACACTTTGAGGTTACCACTATAAAATTGTATTTACTCTCTGTCAAAAGCTAAAGGCTATCAGCTTTAATTACGTTCGGCGCTTTGTTGAAACCAATCATCCGTGCATTCGCGGTATTTCATACACAACTTATAATGATGGTACAATTCGTTTGTTAAATACTTGATGTTACGAGTGAAAACCGTCATTGTAATTATTATTTAAATTAACATCAAGTTCAATTCGATCAGAAAATTTTTGATTACTCACCAGCTGAACTATGGCGATGAGGATAGTCCCTTGCCTTAGTTGGAAGTAGAACATACAACTTTTCAAGAGTCCGAGTTTCATCTTGAGAGGGAAATTCGTTTTTTTGTAATGGTAACTTCAACTGCTGGTAGTTCACTTTTAAATTACTTCTGCCTTGCTCTAATTATAAGCTTCTTTGTCTATCTGAAAATTACATACACTTTTTGATTGATGAGTTGTCGATATGAAAAATATTAGGTCGTGAAAAAATGCTGCATACTATAGGGAAAAGCGAGATATAAAAATAGCAATAACTTGTACTTGGTTGAGCGATACATTTTTTACTAGGATGTTTACCGTATTACGTGATATGTTCAATTTAAAACCTATCTGAAAGACAAATATAGCAGACGTGATAAATATTCTTGAATGAACTTCAGAGATAAACTGTAAGGAAAATACATACAGTACTGTACGAGTCAGAAAATAAACTTTAATGAAATAATTTGTATTTCTCAATTTACGAAAGAATATTCGGTTATATCGATTTCGATTATTTATACATCGATTTTATTTCGATATTCATTCATCAACTTCAATTATGCTTTGAACATAAATAAATAATTTAATCTATAATGAACGCTGAAATTGAGTATGAGGTCAAAAATAATATGAGACCTTTGTGTTGCTTTCCAAAACTATATTTAGACCAATAAATTGATTTTCACGAAAATTCAACACTGATTCTTTAATTACCTATAGTATACATTCTTGTTGGAAGGCAACTCTCACAGCCATTATAATTATTATTCATCTTTGTTTATCACTAATTATCTTAACATCTAATGACGATAAAACTCAGCAACAACGCAACAGAGCTGTAACGAAAAAAAAAAATTTTGTAGGCGCCACAAAAGCAGAACTTACACGATCAATGAGGCCACGCGTATAAATATACTGTCCACCATGCACACACTCACCTTGCGCTAATGACTCCAAAGAAGTGTGCCACAGCGCAAAAAACCGAGAGAGAAAAAAAAAACAACCGAACAACAAACTATATGCAGAAAGTACCTCGAAGTCGTGAACAAAGGGAGTAGGGCGAAATCGATAAACCGCAGAGGATGAGAGTGTGTATTAGGCGAGCTATGGGCCAAAATCAAGATAACGGAAAAGACGAGGATATGCAGACAGCAGCGAGCGACTGCCACGGGGGAGGATTGTACCTCCCTTGTGGCGATATTACACTGTCATACTGCGCAGGTTGACCTGCGTTGGCTGAGCATGCGCCTTGTGCATGCCTCGGTGGGGTGCGTCGCAGAAAGCTGGTGAGGTGCGATTGTCTTCTTTTTAAAGAAAAACTTCTTCTATCATCATGGTAACATAGAGTGAAAATATCATTGATATAATCGCAATTTCCCTTTAAAAAAACAAAGAAAAACATATTTCCGTATAATTCAAAGGGTAGTGGTGTTTAGAAGCTTTGTTTTAGCAAATAGAACATAACGACATGTATGCGATGGTATATTACTGAACTAAGTCACTATATCATCCAAAATCTACTAAGAGCCGTGGTATGGCTTAATGAACATTATACCAGAAAACATTTTCGTGATTACTACGATTGAAGGAGCAGTTTCTACGGAAACTATTGGAAATCTGATAATGACTAAATTCAGCTAGGACATCTTCGTTACATAATGAGATGGAAAATTGAATTAAGTAAAACAAATCTTGATTATGAATTAATATTGTTTTGATGCCACCTAGCAATTGTGAAATGATATATTTCAATATTAGTGCGAGAAAGTAATTTGACCCTCGTATTGTTTCTTCACCCTCACCTCGATGGGACGCAAACGTTCACACGAGGCTCAAATTACTTTCTCGCACAAATATTGAAAAGTACTATTTCTATTTTCTACCTTTCCACTGGTGACTTGCACTTGGATATTTCTGAAATAATTCATAACTATTTGGCGCGTTCTTTGTCTCTATAAAGAAACAAATTATACATGAAAAAAAGATTTATTCACAATTATTATGTATGAATATGAGTAATTACTATGTAGCCATTACCTGTTTATATTCATAGCAAATGATATCAATAATTGTATTAAGGCGTAGAAAGAAAAACTAGTTTAATATTGTAATAATTATTTTCAAAATTATGTGATATTGCAAATTCATTATTGAATTCGCTTTTACATACCAAGTAAAAAACATTAAATGTTCTAAGTTTGGAAACTCAATGTATTCTAAAATAAATAGACCAAAAGAAATTATGCATTGTCAACATGATTATAACATTTTTCAAGAATATGCGAACGATTTGAACACCTCATCGCTCAAAACTTTTCTTACATCATTGAATTGGTTGTAAAATTACTTCTATTTTTTGGTTAATATTATATGTAATTGGAATAGAAAAAGCGGTAACACTAGCACTTGTGATGGATAGAATGTCTAATGTGCCAATATGACCTTTAATCATAACGATATATAAAAAGACAATCTCGTGTATGGATCCACAACATAATAATATACTATAAGCAACACTACTTTTCTTTTGAATAATATCTGAATTTTAAAGTCGCATAGTGTCAATTCAAAGGTATAGACATTTTAATAAATAAATTTCTACGTTAATGAACTATTCTCTAAATCTTCATACTTTATAATAATAGACATAACTTAATTGAAGTCGAAAAAAGTCAATGTTCCAATTGATAATTCATTCAACTCTTACTCACAATTTACAGTTACTTTCTCTATTAAGTATGCTCAATACTCACCACCGTTATACTATTCCCATTTATTGAGAAAAACAATATATTATACAAAAAATATATTTTGGAAATTTGTAAACATGAATAGTCAAATACAAAAAATGCGCGTAAAACAATTATTTGTTTAATTTAGATTTTATTTCGTATAAGCAAAATATATCATTTATAATGTCTTTTCACGCTTATAAATCGACTTTAAAATTTATATGAACAAGCTCGAGGAAAAGAACAAGACGAATATTATTAATTTATATTTATAATTTTGTATGTAAATCTCTCATTAAGTAATGATTTCAAATTGATGTACACGTAATATTAGGAAAAAAACGAAATAAAATAAAATTATCTTGTACACTCGTAATAAGTTATTTCAAAAGTTACACTTATTTTTATACATATATGCGCCAACTTATGACGAAATATTTAGTAGCTCGTTAATTATTAACAAACGTTACCGTGGATTTTTAGGCCCAAAATATAACAGTATCGCCAAGTAGGTTGTGATAGAATAATTATGTCTTCGTATAGAATCGTATTGACGTTGGTTACCAATAATTATGTACCTTCAGTATTAATGAGTTGTCAATGGACAACATATCACCAGCGGTAAATATAACATAATTATCTAGTAGATAGAGTGCAAAACGATTAAGTTAGAAAATATATGGAACAAATAATTCTTAGTTTTAATAATTGTGATTTATTATATTTACCTTGTTACTAATTTCTATTCTGACAAATACGATTATCACTTTACGTCTTGTCACTAATTACTGTTTACTATTTCGCGAACTCATACTCTACCAATATTAAAATTGAAAATAAATTTGTATTAAAATAATTTAGGTGCAAGCGTTTACATTTAATTAAATCTATTAATTGATGCTTTATATTTCTTGCAGTTGATGCCAATGATATTAAAATATATAATAACATAAATAAGGGCATAAGTAGGATACATCTAATATGAGGAAATATAAGTCATCAGCAATATTGTTGGTTTTAAATATGGTCTAAGTAATTATGGTCGCTCTTATAAACTCAAAACAAATAGCTATTAATATAGAATCAGAATAAAAGTTTAGAAAATCTTTTGAGACTTTTTTCAGCACTGAGTATCAATTTCCATATTTTAGTATTTTACAAATCAACTTTTACTCGCTCATACAAAGCTTGGTATGGCAAAGTAGTCTTTTTATGTTTGAGAAAAATTATCATTGAAGTTTTTAAAGAGATTCTCAATTAATTTAAAAATTACGCAATATTGCAAAATCAATAAATGCGGCATTAGACGACTTAAAAAGGATATAAAAAGCTTTAACGGTCCAAAGTATATACAATATATAAAAAAATGATAACCAAAAAAGAACATGGATGATTAGCATGCTTACTACTTTTTTTGTGAATGTGCTATGTGGTAAATGTGTATATTGTAAGAGAATTATAAAATAAGTCGTCATACAGCCTTGAATCTCTAAAAATTTATATTAATATATTTATCCTTATATTTATTTTACGTTGAACCTTTACTATTAGGGAGTTGTCAATAGAAAATAAATCATAAATATTAAATTTGACATCATTGTCTAATAAGTGCACACGGAAAATTGAGTCGGCTGGAAAACATGCGGCTAAGGCGTGGCCGAGGGCGCGCCCTGCTGCTAAGTCCCAATGCGGTCAACGACCTGCAGAAAATTGCCGGAAGAAAAGTAGGGTGGGGGGGACTGAGAGGTCAGTTCCGAGGTCGAGAAAATAGCGATGCTCAGTTGGAATTTTTCGCACATCGAGGTAGGTCATTCTTTTGGACATTATTAGCGTGCGCTTGGAATACATGGCGGGAAAGCTCATCTTTTTGTGAAGCGATGGCTTTCCCCATAGAGCCAAGGTTTCATGTGCTACCTATCGACCGATATTAATATGTATCGTAAATAGCTATATGGTGTTGCCATTAGAAGTTCAAGTACTCATTTTACAAGAAACTGCAAAGTTATGTTTGATTCTTTGTAGTTTCTTTACTATAGACGTTTTAATATTAGAATGAATTTCATTCGGTTTGTAACGTTTAGACTAAAATTGTAACGAAAAATATAGGAAGACGTTCAGCATATAACAGTTTATTAGATTAAATAAACACTAGCTATTATTTTTGTATAACGGCTCTTTTAAGACTCTCTTACATGGGAGCGGAAAAACATTCGAGTGGCACCAGACAGTCCGAGCAGACGCCCCAAAAAGAGAAAGTTCGTCCGCTAGCAGACAAACTTTCTCTTTTTGGGCGAATGCTTGTCCACTCACTATGTAAGAGAGCCTTTACATGTTTTTATGAAGAAAATGGAATATGTTCTAGAAAAGAGGTCGAAGTAGTAGTAAAAAAAATTAATAACGCTAAAATGTTGTTTGTTTTGTGCGATAATTTAATACAGTATGTATGATTGTATAAAAGAAAAAGTAAGTTACCGTATACTATCAGCAAGTTATAAACATGAATGTAGACGGTTGATTGGTAGAATATTTTGATAATTTATAGTACAACCAGTACTCTAAAAATATGGCAATTTGTGAATGCTCTATACATATACAAGAAGAGGAAGACAAAGTCAAAAGTTAGTTCGATTACCGAGCTTGGGAGGGCTGAGTCATCTCTCTTTCAAGTAGTCATAGAAACGAAAGCTTGCATTGCCGCTGCCGCGCTTTGATTTCGTACTTCGCCTGCTTCGCATGATCAAGACAGCCTTGCGTGTTAGTCGCTCGCCCTGCGCGCGTGTCGAACTTTTCTACTTTCTTCCACGTCAGTTCATTGTCGTATCGTAACCAACAAATTGCTCGATTATATTTTTTCTTTATAATTTTTTACGAGTGACTTGTTTCGACTGTAATCATGGAAAGAAAAGAGCAAAGGGTTGGTCTTGGCGTGGGAGCTTTTCACAATCCCCCAAAAGCTAATTACAGCGAAGAAACCAAAAATTTAATTAAAGGTATATCATTTTGAATTTATTTCGAATATTAATTATTCAATTTTGGCAGGTTATAATTAGCAAAGTAACCTACACTCCAACTTACTACTGTTCGTTTAACACTATTTATAAATTTATTTCTATGTTATATTCTTTGCATAAGAATTTATCAACTCGATATTTTTTAAATGATTTTTAAATTTGCAGTGAATTATAAATATCATTGTTTTTTCACTGTATAATTTTTCCAGTATTGATGGAAGAGTCAAAATTAACAATGATGCAAAGAAAATCAATTCAAGACGCGATAAATAAAGGTAATTCTCTACCACCACCCACACCCACTTTAAAAAGAGAAAAAAAAGTTGAGCGCATTGAGGTAAACATTTTTCCGTTATGTTTTTGTATTTTTAAAACTAGCACTACACTTCATACGATTACAAATAGGTTGAATATCCGTCAGTGTGGAAAAGACGATCGAAAGAGATGATCATGAGTAGTGGCGCTTATGAAAGGGAACAGTACAGACGTACGGCACCTTTACGTAAGAAAAATCAATTTTACTTATCCTGTGAAAGCTTAACTTACGGCCTAATCGTTTCACATACGCCTTAAATTCCATTTATTGGAAGTGAATTTTGTATTTACCTAATCTCGTATACTTTATATAATGTTTGTTATTGTTCGATCACTGTTTCTCTAATATTATATAAGTATTATATAAGTTCTTTGAAAATTAATCTTAACTTAAAATTTTAGCCATTAGAGGAGTATGGTTCAAATCAAATAATTTTAGATACATTTTATATACGAGAACATTTGTTGTAAATCTTAATGATTTGCGATGTTCAGGAAGATCTCTAAAAGTATTCAATCGTTTTCAAAGCGACTTTAGATTTCACAATAATTGAAATAATTATTACAGCTAACAAAGAAAAACAAAAAAGACACTTGGCGTGTATGATGGCTTATGGTAAGGAAATGCCACCGACTCCACGAGAACCAAACATGGTTAATCGAGCCAGAAGGCAACCGCACGCAAAAGATGAAGACCCTTTCAAAGAGAGTGAGTGCACCGATAAGAAATTGGTATTGAACGAAATTGCGCGAATAACAAATCTTTTGTTGATTTTTCTCATAGTTATCGATGGAATAAGAGAAAGAATTGAATTTTTACATGACATGGAGTGTCTGGGACTCGGAAAAAAGTATAAACCGATCATACACCAAGAAATCGCTCAAAAAATAAGGCTCATCGAGTCTATCGATAAAAGCAAAGTCTTAGAAATCAACAAAGAAATTGAAAGATTTCAAGTTGAACGTCCAGCTCCAAAACCATTTCCACTTGGAGATTTGGACGAATAACATTTTTCTCTGGCTTTTTTTCGTTTTCTTAAGAATAATATACGTGAGTGTAATAACAGGTGAAATAAATACATTGATTATCGTTTTTCAACTTGTTGTTCAAATCGTTTTGTTTTTATTTTCCTTTACAAAATGACAAACTTCGGTATTTTTTATTCGATTGAAAATTAACATAAAAAATAATACATTGTATAAATAAAACATATTATTCACCTTTAATTATAAATTTCTGTTGACTGGATTTAAAAGTATGTAGCTACCGAAATTTAGCGTTTGATTAACAGTTGTGCATTAAAAGTTTATAGACAAGTTCAGGCAAGTGTTGTTCATTTAGCATTACCGTTCGCGTTAAACACTCAGTATTGCTATCCAAGAGTCCAAGAGTCAATTTCGGTTGCTTAGTCGCACACGAGCAGCCAAAATTATTAGCAAGACAATCTTAAAAATTGCAACGGATAAACAGTACGGGAATATGGTCGATTGGATATCGTCGTCAATCGAACGTATATAAAAAATTTCTATAATTATTTTTTATGATGTAGCAAGCCCATTGGTGATAAGATCGTTTGTTTAGATTATTGAAATGCCGATACCAATAATTTACTTAAAAACCTTGAACTCCAGCACAATAATTACGACACCAGTTAGAAAAATTTAGTTCTTCGATAAATCGTAATGAATCTTCGGTCCACGTAACTTTCGTATGTTCTACTGGGCTACGAGACAATTTGTGCAGTTACACCAGTCGGGTAAAATTTCAATGTACAAGGATGTGGTAGTAATAGAAACCGAAGTCCTTTAAAATTCTTGTAAAAAGAAGTTAAATAATTTAGTGTAAAATCATCGAAAAGTAACAGGATGAACTCGATTTCAATTACGCCGCTGATGAGTGATGGAAGAAGTGATTTAATAAAAAATTGTACTACAGCGATAACAATTTATTATTGGTGAGAAACAGTTGTACGCGCGTAAGCTCTTTCTGCACACTGAGAGTCTAATGTTTTTAAAAATAATCAAGAACAAAAATGTTGTAAACGAAGACAGAAATTACGATGTATTCAAAGAACTTCTTCGTTTTGTCCGTTACATAAACGTTTGAAACATTGAGAAAATCATCGATTAGTTTTCATTGCCGACAAGTACAAGAATCTTGGACTCAAAGCAATTCGCGAAAATAATGCTTGTGAAAATTTATCTATCGATAAGGTCGTTCGTATCTAGGCATTCATATAAAACTCCATCGTGACGTGAAACTCGAAGCGTATGCTCTAAATTTCATCGTCATCAAAGCGAAAGGCATGATCGACAAGCCGGACTTCACCTCGGTTTCGCGCATCAACTATACTATTACTATGAAAATAATTATGTGTGTTTTGTTGCTCGTGGGTTGCTAATTGATTTACAGTGCGTGCACATAAGCTGTTTCGTCTCATTATTTTTTGTTCGTTTACTCATTTATTCCCATACGTTTATATGTTTTTTTACTCATTAAAAATTAATTATAATATTTTCTATCGTTTAAGTCGTAGGAGTGAAACTGGAAATGACATCCAAGCATGATAGATTTAGATACGTACTTACACCAAAGCTATTGGAAACGTTTCTTTGGCATATTAAAACTGTAATATATTAAACAAATGCCCCCTAACGTCTTATAAAACTAAAGCTCACACGATTATACATGACCTCTAGAAAAAAAATTATCTAACTTTGAATACCAACGTCGCTTATTTCTAACAAACTGTAGAACATCGAAGCTTCATAATAATTTAGAATAATGTTATAATAATGTTAATAGAAATTACACAATAGTGAACAACGCTCGAAAACAATTGAAATATGGGGCAACGCAAATCGCTCCAAAATTCAATAGCCGCTATGAATAAAAACAAAAAGAAATACGCACACACGTACACACGATAGTAAACAGCTCGGTAACGTGTGAGAGTGCGGGCGCTGCCCTGCAGAGTTCGCTCGATTCAACGTACACACGTACACACAGGTACATGTACACTCGCTAAGCCTCTCTCTCGGCGCGAAGCGAAGAGCCAAGAGTGGGAAAAAAGAGTGGCAAGCGAGAAAGCCTCGGTACGGTTGTCCTTAGTAGTAGCAGCTCGGCGTTTGCGAGCGCCTTGGCGAGTACCAACTGTGTGTGTATATGCGATCATCAGAGATTTTTTTCTCGTGTCTCGAGCGCGATTGTATATACGTGTGTGTGCTGAGAGTAAAAGAGTGGATCCCGGATGATCTGCCAGTGATCCAACATGGCGTCGACCGACCTGTCGTTCGGTAAGTGCATCGTTGACACCTGTGATGATCGTTTTGATCATATTTAGCTGACACACCAATATGTCTCAACCATTATTGTTTACCTACGTGCGATTACCGATTGTTTTTGGCTTTGAGAAATAACGATGATCGTTGATATTTTGCTCCGAAATTGTTCGAATGAAGTTTCAGTATGGTTCAAGACTTGTTCAGAAAATTTTTGACTTACTCGTGCGAAATTGACTTGAAGGATAATTCGCGTGTTAGATAATTGATAATACATGACTTCTTATCTGTAGTGGAAAATGTTGTGTTTACTTATAATTGATTGCAGATGTTACACGTGTATTAAGTAATCTAATATACTTCGAACATGTTCACAACGTATCTATAAATGTAAAATGCTGAACTAAGAAAATGTCTTAAAGTTCGTACACGTTATATTTACTTCTTTACAAAACAAATCTACTTTCTCTTCGTTCTATTTAAAAAGTACACAAAAGGGTTTCGAGAACAACCGCTTGACAAGTAACTGGATACTTTATGTATAGGTGAACAAATAAAAAAAGAGCTTCACGTGTTCAATCAGCCGTCAAATTGTCCCTGATCTTATTTCACTGTGTGCAAAATCCCAGTATGTTAATGTCAAGTTCGTTTCGCACAATTTTTTTTCCGCTACTGGTTTCGCTTTACCATGCCTGGATTTTGCAGTATTAACAAAATTGAAAGTTAAGCGGTGATAACGAATTATCCGCATGCCTGCATGCATGTACGATAGCCACGTGTTTATATTGGGAGACGCGAGTGTTTTATATTTATGCATTTCTCTGCTTGATACGACTTAATAATTTAATTAATTTGTACATCATAATTGCTCGCTATACTTTGAAAGATTTGAATAGCGTTTTCAGAAACATGATTTCCGTACTTTAAAACTCGTACAATCGCGCAAAGAATAAATATGTCAATTTTCATTCACGCATTCAATTGTTTTATTGCAATTATGCTTTTCACTTTATCGCTTCAGTCTCGTCGATTTTCCGTTGAGGAAAAAAAAAAAATTATTTTTGTTTTTATATACGCATAACACACGAGCGTCATAGTCGTGCACTACGGAGAACGCCGCTGACAGTTAGCTCCCCCCTTTTGTAGATTGTTGCGCGCGTGAGAGAGAGAGAGAGAGAGAGAGAGAGAGAAAGAGAGAGCGGATATCGCCCATTCTCTGCTTCTGCTGCTGGTTCCCTAATTATTTTTCGTCTCTGTCGCTGGCATGTCACAACGTTTCCTTTCGGTCGCTTGCAAGCAGAATATTATTATTTTAGTTTTTTTGTTTTTGAGTGTGATAATTTTTCCCATCGTTCGCTTTGATTTTGAATGGTACTGTTACGTTATATTTGCTATTAAATTATTGATACACTTGAGACTGGAGAATAGTGGAAGTTTTAATTGTGATAATGGCGTTTGAAGCGAGATTTTGCTAATGCAATAAAAGCATAAAAAAAATCTTTACTTGCAATGTATCAATATCTCTCTAATATTTTTTAGTCTATTCGTGTTTTTAAGAGTTACATATTTCAAAAAATTTATTTATGCATCCAATGTACGAACCCAAGAATTATGTAAACTTCCAAAGCATTCGCCACTATTGCAAATACCCTAAGATGAAGCCGGATTATGCAAATAACTAAGCGGTACACGATTCATATCTCCGCGACTACAAAACCGTTACGCGATCAAGAGAGTCGTGACAATGTAAAGCTCTAGTGTATAGATATCCTTCGTCATCATGGGAATTACACCATTAAAACGTTTCTTATTTTGTGTGTTATAGGCTCGATACCACCCTACTATCGAATCGTATATGAAAAGGTTTGCTCGCCGGTTAGCGGCAACGTCGAGCGTGAAGTCTTCAAGTCGCTCCTTGTCAAGTCACAGCTGAGCAGTTCCTTGCTCAGCCAGGTATGTATGTGACCGTACACACACATCTACACGCCGCGTTGCGATGGTGAGCAGCATGTTTGGGATGAAAAATTGTTTTTCGCGCGGAGTTGATTTTTCATGGGAACATTTGTTTGAATATTTTGCGATGCGAAAACATTAATTATTGTTGTTATCAATGGCATAAATTATCGGGAATATTATTGGTACTGTAAGAAAAGCGAAACCCGTTTCAAATTTGTTGCGCACAACAGCTGCTGCAACAATTTACGCTGCGGAAGTAAACTCGCATTTGAGTGTACTGTAAAACCGCAATGACCATTTCACTTCGTTTTAGGAGTTCTGCACAACTTTCTACGAAAAAATTACTAACATCTGAAAATTATAGTTTTTCCACGTACTGCTTTAATAATGAACTATACATTTCCTCCACGATTAAACTTTCATTTGTTTTTCCTCAGTTTACGAAATCTCGAGTTAAATAGTTATCAACTATGAATTGTTTGCAGGTCTGAGTTTTAATTGAGCCCTTAGTCGCAAATTGATACGAACATTTTAGTACTACACGAATCTCAGTAAAATTTTAGAAGCAACGCCAACTGTTATAAACTGGTGTGTCCTGGTTCTCAATTAATCTGTTTTACGTTCACTTTAATATGTTGAATGAGCAAACTTACGTAGGACATTACATATTGTACAATGACACATTAACCTTGGCATTTTACAATAGAATAAAGACCCCGTTTTCTTTCCTTTTCATTGCAACTCAATATCAGAAGGAAATGGCTCATCATAATGCGTCATCAGTAAATAAATTAATATATCCGCGTACCAACATCAAACTTGCAAATAGCAAGATTACGTATGTAAATATTTGTTTAAGTTGGAAATTTGAGTTTTCTTTTGGTCATATGTAATTTATCACTGCTTTACACTCTAATTTTATAGTCAACTCACTATGAACATTAAGATATTAATCTCAGCAGATATCTGCCCTTTCCCGTGACGATGCACAAAACTACACAGTTATCATTAAACTATCGTCAAGATACGATAGGTATTGACATTTTTAAGATAATCCTATTCTGAACATTCTTTGATAAACTGATATAGAACGTTTAATGTTATTTTGGCATCAATAAAATCATTTGTTGGAATTCAAGCGATGCAAATAGATCGTCGGAAAGTTTCTCATTGCATGACGCACCATACAATTTCTAAATAATAAATCCCCAACAAATAAATAATTATCTTTCAATTTGGCTATGAGACACCCGAGTAAGTGCGACAAATGCTACTGTCTTGTGTACAATTGAATCTTTGCAAATTTGATACAGCCACTTCATCTACATTCATCTGTGTAGCGCATTGTCTGATGTGCGTATTTTTGATTGTATGGATCATCGTCGTCTTAGTATACATGTGCTTCCTATATACAGCTCTATTTTTATACGTTTCGGTTAAATTAAATATATATTAATAAATTATTTCCAACTGATTTTCCTGTCAAGCTTTGTGTAAAAAATGTAAAGGAGAACCATTTGCGTCCTCATCTTTTCCGAGCGTTGCAAGCACTTCCGAATTATATAGCAATGATGCTCACCACGAGCTTAATACGTCAGCGGATTAACAATCGTAATAACGTTGATGTGTCCTTTCGGCTCTTCGTTGACGTACACCAAAGTGAACTCTTTGGATGAGAATTCATTGTCTCATCTTTGTTTTGACATTGACGTCGTGACGATTCGCTTGCGAAAAACTCGCGATTTACGATTCGAATTAATTATTCATATTGCGCCATTCCTTTGCAATTTAAGCCAGATAATGGTCATTTCAACAGCTTGCAATTGGTGTACGAGTGCGCTTGAAATTACTTTGACCACGCCGTCGCAGAACACTTATTCCTAGCGCGTCCATTGATTCGTGCGCGGATTCAGAGTCGACCGCGAAGGCAAATATGGTTTTTCTCCTCGCCCGGAGGCATACGCGCACACCTTGGAATGGTATCGCGTATGCGTGCGTGAATTATTTTCTTACCACTGTAGAAAAAAGGAAAAGGTGCAGGAGGAAAGTAGACGAAAGCCAAGATTAGATAATACGGCCCGTCATAAGTGCAACGAGCGGCGGCGGTGAGCGAGCACAATCGACGGCTATCTACGCCTACGGATTTTTGTTGTACGTAACGCGCGCGCGACTCTTTTCGATTATTATATTGCGCTACTAACAATGGTTAATTACGAAATCACGTAACCAACCGAGTAATTTCATCCGATTGGACTTTTGCGGAGATAAGATATAACATAGAAACAACGAATAAAGATCTGTTATTAATCGTCTTTTTATTACTTCCTTTCGTTGCGGTGATTGCGCGCATATTCTAATAATACGTGTCAATTAGTCGGCATATTTTTTTCTCTTTATTCTTGACTTATGACTTTCGCGTTATGGAATAATAAATTAATTGTCCTGCATCGAAACTTTTTTCATAAAAAAAGCGTATGCGCCACATAAAAACAATCACATCGCGGCGTTCTATACACGTCCCAGTAAAGATTACAAGGCCTCGCTGCCGTACCATGCGCCGACATGCGGACGACACACCAACTTTGAACTCTGGCGCGTCTGCCTCGACGCGTGACAGTTATATAGCGCTTGATAGGAATATTGAGATAATTGTGCGTATGGCGCGAAATGACAGCGATAATGTGTTGCGGCTGGCAAGTTTTAGTCAGCGCTGCGCGGATTGGTTTTGTTATTGACTCGCGTATTTGTTTGCGCGTTCTGACTTAAAATTTCGATAATTGATTGTGATTGTTAGTAAGGCGCGAAGTACCTTGGCTTATTTTCGCGTTGGCGCACTTTTAAATGCAATTAAAATGAGATTAAGCAAAAAAGAAAATTCTAGTACCAAAATAGAACTTTGCAAGTACTGATAAGCTGAAACGTTCACTTTCACTATCGCTTATTTTCCCGCATTTTCTAGCTTACACGCATTCTCTACAGAATAAATTGTTTCGCTTGATAGAAATGTACGTGCTCATTAGCCCGCATTAAAAAACCGTAAGCGAATTGTTACAACGAAATAATTAAAATTTAACGACACAAGGACAAGACTCAGTGGTGGTAATGAGAAAGGAAGACGCCGTGAGATTCGTAAGAAGGATGTACTCGTCTTCAACAGCACGTTTGTCTTGGCATAGATTAAATGCGTGAACTCTCTCTCGCATATTTTCAACTGGTTTCCCATCTCCGGTGCGCATTCAATTCGCAACACATGCAAAGGAATTCATCGTAGCTCTCATTCCTTGCCGTGTCGATGACACACAATGCTGTAGAACATTTTTGCGCCAAGTAAAAAAAATCTAAAAGGAAGCCCTCCGTTCCATCTGAGAGCACTTTGAAGCTGTATGTAAAACTGGTCGGACGAGAAGACGAGAAGAGGCGATTCAACCCCATCTGACACGATGACCGTGAACACCAAAAGTCGTTTGCTTTGGATTTATATTTGAAATTTATCGAGAACACGCGAGGGGAGACGGTTCTATTTTGCAATTTGCTTCGTGAGTTTTTAGTGTGATTTAATGAATGTTGCTATACATAAGGTTTCTTCGATTATTGCTTTGCCGTACTGTTGTGGAATTTTTATTTCAAAACTTATTTTATGAGGTTGCGATTGTAAATTAAAGGACCGTAGGATTTCTGGTTCATTAATGAAAAACTGTTGGTAAAGAACAACAATAGTTTTCTTAAAGGTGTCAAACAGATGTAAATCCGACGAGGATACGCATTATGTCAACGTCGCTCTAACGCAAATCGCAAGACTGCACGAACTAGAAGAAGCGTTAAAATCTCGAGTTTACATGGATGCACTTGGTAACGCGCCTCGTCGAGGTACAATATCCGAGGCAAAACAAGCTCGATGCTCGTGAGTTATTATTGAGTAGTTCATAACGGTGCCAACGACCTCTGAATAACGTCTACATTTCCTGTCTCTGTCTCGAGAGAGAAAGAGTGCACAAAAGAGGCTCTCACGAATGCTAAAAAAAGGACGATTCGTACACACGTGGCCCTATACTGGTTTAAAACGATTATTTTCATTTGTAGTATTTTATGACATATATGTCCCTCGCAATTTGTCAATTAGAGTCCAAATACGTGCTGTTTTTTAAATAGTCGTGTACCTTTTTCAAGCGTGTATATGAAATTCGAGCTACGCAAAGCGTGAGTTACGATCGGTTGTTACTTTAATTTATTGTGTAAGGTGAAAATAACCCTGACGATTCCCACAAAGATAATTGTGATGTTGTCATTGATGTCTGTCTTGCGGGCGAGACATTACTCAAGAGCGAGCACGAAGTGTGTATGGGTTTCGCACGCTCTGATTTTTCACGCGTGTTACATTAGAATTATTCCATTTTTCGATGGTGTCAAGCGTTATGCTCTCGGAATGAAATCGTCAGCGTGGATACAAAACTATCAAAACTAGAAATTCACTTTAAAAAAAAAAAAATTACGCAAACGTCAATTCAACACGACACACGCTACGAATAACGGGTGTTTCTCAATTCTGCGACAGGCGGCGAACAATGGGCTCGCACGAAATTCTGTCACTGCATTATGCACAAGTTCTCGCGTGACTCCGAAGGTGATCAAAGAAGGAGATATGCGAAGGAAATCTTTAGGATGCTTGCACGAGCCGCTCGCGCGCATACGGATATTTATGGAAACTAGTTTTGCATGAATTGCATGTTTGCCGGTGTTTTTTTCCGAGAGAAAGAGAGAGAGAGAGAGAGAGAGAGATTGATTTTAAAAGTGTAAGCTTTTACGACGCCGGGTTATTTTGAGGTATTTTCTTTTTCTTAAAGTATAAATGTGAAGTGCCCACGTTCTTCGATAATAAAAAAAAAAGAACAATACTATTCAATTTCCCGGTTTCATTTACTAATGAGAAAACTTAAACCTATTCGTAGATATGGGATTTGGTTGACAGCAAAATGGGTTATCTCACGAGAAGTGGATTGTACAAAGGGTTGGCGCTCGTGGCTTTGGCACAACAAGGAAAACAGCCAAGCGACAAGCTGCTGGAAAACACGGAATCTCAAGGTAAATAAATATCAGTTGTCTAATGGCTCTTCATATATTAATGCTACGCCGTCGTCAACAGGTTGCCGTAAAAGTTTCATTGTGTCGTACATGTGGGCTTGCATTTAACTTATTGTAAGGAATTTCCTTGCGTAATCGTACGTAGTTTGCTCACGCGCGGTTACTATCGATATTTGTTCCCTTAAAATTCCAATTCCCGCATTTGGCAACAAATGTTTCCATGCGTTAGCAAAAACCACGCATAGCGGAGCAGCGGTAAAAGAAAATAAAAAAAAAACTTTACGCGCGACTTCCCGGAACAAACCAAGCGTAACAGGTGTGCTGCTGAAATCTTTTGCTCGTGATGATTACGCTAATCTCTTTCTCACTTGGCCTCCGAAGTAGGAGGAATATGCACGCGTAAGGGGAAACTGTTGCCGCGGGACGGGCGGCTCGGTGTCGTTGGCACCGGCCTCCTATTGTTACAGCACTAGAAATCGGAGCAATCTTACCTCGTATACAATGTACTCGGTATAGTTGCATCGCGCGATCTAAATGCCGTTGGTTTTTGTATCTTGTTTTCTTTTCTTTTAATAAGAATAGAATTTTTGTAAAAGTTTAATAAGAGAAGTCGATCGATACAATTTAGCTAATTTCCACGAAATGATAACAATAATTGCCAATTTCAGAATTGCCGATACCAACGCTGGGCGACTTGTCGGATGTAACTCTACTCGCGCAGCGTCTTCAAAGTGGCTTCAATCCATCCAAGCTCAATTTTACGTACACCGAAATCTGTAATTTAGATACGATCGAGGTCAACCAAGTGCCCGAAAAGAAGGGTATTTTCCTTAAACACGTCGAGTATCAAGTCACAAGCAAAGTGAGTCGACTTTTTTTTATCTAATGGAAATTTCATGTTAGGAGGATTTTAAAGATATTTCCTTCTTTTCTTACTACCTGCAATTTATTTACTGTTACGTTCAAACTAATATTATGAAATTACTTAGTCATTGGAACATTTCTTTCAGAGGTTCAATTCTGTGGTCTTCAGGCGGTACAATGACTTTGTTTCATTGCACGAGTTACTTTTGGCGAGATTTCCCTACAGGTTAATACCAAAACTTCCACCAAAGAAAATAGTTGGAGGTAATTTTTTTTAAATTAAACTTTTACACGACGAATGCTATTCATTTTCAAAATTTTTACAATTTTAATCGAAAATTTGGATTCTCAAATTACTTTGGAATGTATGTATCCAAACTCGAGAATATTGTTGAAAAAGAGATTATTTTATACAGTGGAGTTTAAAGGCTCGAATTTCCACTTACAATAAGATACTTAAATACGTATTTGCCACGCGTGGTAAAAAACTAAAGAGAATAGCAAGGTCACCACGCTAATCTGCAGTTTTACATATATTCATAATACACATGATTCTCATTTTCATTTGTAGCGGATTCGCAATTTCTAGAGGAGCGTCGTCGCTCGTTGCTACGGCTACTGACGTTAATCGCACGCCATCCAATAATCGGACAAGATCCAATCGTACAATTTTTCTTTACCTATACCGGCGAGGAGACACAGCACAAAATCAAAGAAGTATTTCGTCGAATGCCCGACGAATTTGCAACATCCGAATTGTCGAGTCGTGCCAAGGAACTAGTACCAGCTGAAACGTTAACGGAATTTGGAAGTGCCAGAGATCAAATTCGCGTTATACTGCAGGGAGTATCGAGGTTAAAGAATATCGCGGATTGCTTGGCAATTAGAAGTCATAGTTACGCGGCTGATATGGCAGAATTGGGCTCGCAACTGAATAGTTTGGCGTGTGAGTCGCATAATAGTTCTTGGGCTACTGGTGGCTCAACAATTTGGCAAGATATGAAGAAAGGTTTCCATATTATAGCTAAGTAAGTTTTTGACGGTTGTATCGTGGAGGCATAATAAATGTCGCTTGTCGATTCGGCTTCTAGATGATATTACATTGAAGTTGAAGTAGGATACAAGCTGGGATTTCTCGTAAATATAATTTATTTTGTGTGCTTTTAAGTTTTCATCGGGTTTTAATACGAAAAGAATTATTTACATTAAATTATAAGTACATAAGATGATAATTAAATTTTTGGATTTCAATATTTTCAAACAAATCGGTAAATGAATACCAAAAAAGTCTTGCTTTAGACACTACTATACATCCTCCTCTGTTATACTTAAACATCTTTTTTCATAAATAATTCATGATTTTTCTTTTCTTTTTCGTCACATAGAGAATTCGGCTTGCTATCGTCAAGAGCTCTACAACAAGCAATGCGCGAGGAAACAATGGTGTGCGAACAGTTAAACCTCCTTTTGGATTTGTTAATAGCGCATAGATCCTTGTGCGAGAGACACGAACGTGGAGTAACGGCAGATCATCAACGTGCACTTTCAACTATGTTATCATTGAAAAAACGACAGATGCAAGGAGTCATTCGTGGGACTGACGTAAGTCATATTCCAATTGACGTGAGTCGCTAAAAATACGGCCACCGGGCTAACTAAAAATAAATAAAAAAACTTTTGCATTGAATATTAATGAATTTAGTCAGAGCGAATGTCGTTGTTCAATTAAAATTTCCTATACTGAAATTTGTAACGCATTAATATTTTATTTTATTGTTTGAATAATCTACGGTTTTGCAAAAATATTTCTGATGAATTCTTATCAAACTTAGCTTAATATATTATATAATACAATGAAAGAAATATTCTTGAGAAAATCTTAAAAATTAACTGTCAATTTTATCTTTCAGGCCGACACAGTGGAGCACCTGGAAAACAGGATGGTCGCGCAAGAGTCCGTGATCGCCAATATGGAGCTGAGAAATCAATTTTCTCTTCACTGCCTGCACATGGAAACTCAATTGGTTCACGCGCATTTGGAAATTTTAGCAACAGTTCTACAGAGCCTTGTTAATGTTCAAATACGAGGTCACTCCGAGGTAATGTATATGTGTAGCTACATTAATTAGTTTTGCATAAAAGTTCTGTTTAACAATATGAACCATTCCCCATATATACACAAGTGATTAATTCTTTTGTTATTCGATATTCCTATAAACATTGCTATTTATTATGTACGAGATAAGAGAATTTTCTGTTTGTTTTAGCTCGCTGAAGTCTGGAAGTCGATCGAACCGACAATAATGAAGTGCCTGCCTGAAAAATTAGCGAGTGAATCCAACGGCTTTTCTTAGCAAGAATAAAGTACCTACCGTACAAGTCTTCTTTCGATTGCTTTGCCATTAAACATGTTCATTAAAAAAAATGAAATATCAAACAATGAATATTCGTATTTTAGAAGATTTTTAAATGTTATACTCTGCTGATGTTGGCCCTTTTATAGTAATTTTTGAGAAAGTGCCTTGTAATTTCGACAAATGTAAATAGACAGATATATATTTATACGTAAATTTTTATACAAAAAAAAAACGTATTTACGGGGGTAATCACGTAGTGCAATAATATCAAGTTATATGTTGAGATGAAATGAATTTTCGTGCCAAGCTCTATGGGATGCATAATTCGACACGTAGCCACTCTTAAACATTCCTCAAGTACTTAAATAATCAAAATTTTGCTTTACCAAGAAACGGCAAAAAACTTTGTTATACTTCTTTTTAGTAGATTTAAATCTATATATTTTTATATTAGAAGTTCTCTTCTTTTATTTATAACAATGATTCAAAAATGGAGTACTATTTTGGAAAACGAATGTTTTCGTGAAATGTTATATTTGTATTTTTTAACAACTGATTTGTATATAAATGTTAAAAATTGATTACAAATTATATTTTATAGTAGATCTCACGCCAAACAGTTGTAATTTAATAAGGGCGTCAAATATTTGGATAATTTCAATTGTAAATACTCATCACGAATGTTACATAATTGAGAATTGTTGATTTTGTTCATTATTTTGATGTAATTATCAATTAAAACCTGTTTTTGATAAAGTTAATATTTGAATTTCATGAAATTTGTATGATGTGATACGTAAGTGCATTTATATCTATGTTAAATTTGAAATTCATTCAATACCTTTTATTTTATAGTGATTTATCATTAATGTAACTAAAATTTTATAATAAAATCACATAGCAACGAAACTATAAAATGTACGATTATTATAAAACTAATACAACTTTGATTTTTTATAATACATTCGACGAGGCATCATTGACCCAATTTGAAGTATTATAAATGTTTATTATGAAAACATAGTTTTAAAGATTTTGAATCTAAAAGTTTGTTACCATTAAAAAGCATTTTTATTTTAACATACGATTATATTTATCTATTTCCAATTTACAAGTAAAAAATTCAATATATGTTGGAGTTGATTCAAAAAGTTCCGCGCAGCCAGCAGCAATAAAAAATGACGCTAATTCTGTGGACGTCCACACTCCACAAGCTTAGTTGGCGCCACAATCGTCCACACGCGCGCGCACGTCAAAATCATAACATACAGTTTTTATCTCTGTCTAACAGCTGCTCCTTTAGTAATCATGCATCTCTGTCTAACCACGGGGCCACGATACATACGCGCATTCCCCAGGCAGCAGCAGCCAACAAGCAGCTTGCAGTAGGGCAGGCCTTCGCTGCTCGCTCGCAGTCTTTCTTTGATAACTGCGGCTCGCTCGTTTGCTCGCTTGTGCGAGAGAGACGGAGACACACATATGCGCACTGGGACTACTGGCAGAAGGGGAGAGAGGAAGAACGAACTCTCTGGTGCTCTGCTCGCAACAGCGGTGTGCAAATAGTATGATGGTGTTGTGTCAGCAGTAGAGTTGGGAGAGAGTTGGATAATCCTCGTCAACGAGTATGAAGTAAAAAAGTGTCGTAAAAGGGCTACTGCTTCAGGCAACGCGGTATTTTTTTGTGAAGTGTGCAGCAGCAGTTGCGAATTGCAAGTGTGCGTGCAGGCAGTCGTGAGAGAGAAAGAGAGAGATAGGAGGAAAAGACGTTAGTGCGGATCAAAGGAAGGAGCGTGGGTTCTATTTTTCGATCGCTCTCTCGACATTTTTCGCTTTGCGCCGCGCTCTCGCGGATTTGCCTCGTAAAATGGCCGCAGCATAACCTCTGTTGTCTTCATCGTCGTCAACCGTACTCGTCGTCCTCGAGGAGCAACTCAACCGCCCACCGAAGACTAACCTCATCCCAGAGTAGTGTTAGTGTGTGTGTGTGTGTGTGTGTGTGTGTGTCGTAGTTCGTTACTCTGTGCACGTGTGCCATCATCGTTATTATCATTATGAGTGAGGAAAGGAGCGACGAGGATTCAATAGTAGATTTGTGGTACTCCAACTGGGAGCAGCAGTGCGTCGAGGCTATTGAGGCTGAACCTGATTATGAAAGCCAGCTGCAAAGTGAAAAGGAACTCTATTCACAACAAATATGGTCGAATTTTCAGACTACCGCCACTGCCATCGCACAGCTTTACAAAGGCAAGTCGGTCAGTTCTTTCTTCTTCTTTTTTTTTTTCTTTTCCAAGGCAAAGTCTGCTGACTCTTGCTATCTGTCTTTTTCTTTTTGTGGTATGTTTGGTAACATACTGATACGAAAGCTTCTGATATCGGTCGGCCTAGTCATTTACATTGGACGCTGTTGTTTCCAATTTTGCTTTCTAAGCACATGCTCTCGTTGATAAGAATTGTGTATTGATGTAACAAGGTCTGTTGCTTTGAATCATTTGTCAGAGACACTTTGCCGTGTCATGTTAGGTTGGGTCGAATGACTGTTGAACGTTTCTTAAGCATTCCTTTTTTCATTCATTTACATTTTTCATACAAAGTCGGTTGAATTTTGTTGTTGTAATTTTATTTTTTATATGAAATGTTGGAGTTGATGAATGTAATTTTTGTTAATTATTTTTTAAGTTTGTTTATGGTATACAGATATTTGTTTACATTTTGTATGTGTATAGATGTTAATCAATCATCCTATATTTATTTTTAAACATTGACTTTTTTAAACTTCAGAGCATGCAACAATGCCAGTGAGTAATGTGTGGGTGGAAGACAGGAAATCAAGTTACTTTCTGATTGATATATCCTTGTCATTTTTGTAGTATTTATAGGAACATTCCTCTTTTGCCTCTCAATTGAATTTCATCCATCAGTTTTTATAAATTGTACCAGTTACACTGCTATCAAATTCTTTTTATACCATTACATACTGGAACTTTTTAACTCAAAGTATTCTTTTCTTAATAATCTAATTATGCAGCTTCATTTTACATTCAAAGCTATATACTTACTTCTTTTATAAAACATCCTTAAAAATGTCAACAAGTTACATTAAAAATCTATAAAAGCATGTCACTTTTTTTATTAAATTTCTCAATAGAGCTTCTGGTTAGCTTGTTTTAGTTTATTGATCCTCATCAGTCTTAACAGTATTATGTTGGAAAAATGATCTGTTTCAGTTTAATTATAGATAATAAGTTTTACTTATATTTTTTTTTTGTCTCAAAAGTGATGATATGCTTATTCTTAGCTTATATTATTTATGTTGCAAGTTCCATTCTTTAGTGTCTACATGTGTTTTTAGTTTACAAGTGTGATATACAATTACCATTTAGAAAATTCATTCTTCTTGGTTTACTGAGGTTCCTACATCTGTGAATGTTATTCAAAGTTGTAACTAAGAGTGATACAATTATAAGTAGATAAAATATCTGTAACTAATTGTTTTAATTTTAATGCTTACTTTTTCAAACTTACTTTACTGTTTGAGATTTTGAATAGTTTTTGAGATGTTATTTCTTAGTTTACATTTATTAAAAGAGTTAAATCTACTGTTAATTACATACAAGTTTATCATTTTTAATAAATAAGTTCACTATTTGTGTTCAACATATTTTGTGGTACTTTACCATTCCTGTTTCCTTTTAAGAACTACAGTAAATTGAATTATTCTTAATAATCTAATTAGTGCTAATTAATCACAAGATACTTAATGAATGTCCAACATCAAGAGCCTATCGCGTCACCGCAAAACACTAAAATGTGTCCGTCACTTTATTAGATACTTTACAGCCAACACAATGAAATAACGGTTGAAAATTTTTTTTAGGTTATGCTTAGGTAATACTACTCGATTTCAAATCTATTTATGGAAAACAATTAGATTTAATCACAGGTCTACAAGCGAGACAACTTCTCTTTTCTGCCATTGCTACGCGACGAGCATTTTAATTTTTTATATCTGTTTCGTTTCATAAGTATTGCACAGAAACGAGCCGACTCGTCTGAGAATTTCTCGTGTCTGATTATATAGATTCTATGCTCTTCCAGTTTTAATTAATGCGCTTTTATTAACTACAAATTAACCTACTTTGCATAACATTATTTTGTCGTGCAATCATTATTTGCGTGCTGATCGGATGGATGCACATTGTTTTATTATTTTCCTTTATTATTCCTTGTACTTCGACCGGTAATTTATGCAGGAGTTAATAGTTCAAATTGACTTTCGCATACACCAGTAATTTTCGCCGCACAATTACCATTGAAAACTGTTATTTTTTTTTCTATATGTTGGAAAGTACGGCGTACGCGATATCTCTCTATGACTCTGCGCGTAAAAAAGAACAGACGCAGGCGGAAGGCATCCGCCCGCAAGAAAGCGACACAAACCGCTTGTTCTCTTTCCATAGATTTCATCTTTTTTTCGATGGAAAAAAAAGAAGGAAAGTTCGTTATTTCGTGAACCAAATGTAGTTGAATGCGCGTGCAAAAAACCGTTTTGTCGTCTTCGTGCGACAGGATTACTTATACTGCAGCTCTCGCTTTCATTTATTATCCGTTCGAAAGCATGTACGAGAGTTAATAAACCGCTGCTGCACTGCAAGAGCAGAATGTATTTTCTCTCTTACTCTTGAGCTGTTGTTGCGTGTGAGTGTGTTGCCATATTGCTCAACAACCATTTTCTCGTCCTCTCGCGTGCCCTTCCTCGGAGATTTTTCTCAGAGATAATGTATACGCTGTCTTGAAAAAATTTTTTTTGTTCGTCACATGCCTTAGAAAGTTTTCAGATACGGGTTTCAAAATGTTTTCAGCGTGGATGACGAATCGATTGAAAAAATTTTGTTCTTGGCGTATCATTTCGTTACTTGGCACGTTTTTCCTTTGTTATCTCGAAAAATTGTTCGAGCAGAGTTCAATGAACTCGATGAATAAAGCGAGTTGATAATTTCTTGGAGCATTGAAACGTAACAGGAGGAATTCGATAAATAATTGATGGAGTTTGACACACAATTCAAATTTAAACTATGATAGAACAAAGAATGTTTTGACGTAGAGAACTAAGCACAATGAGGGTCTACCAAACCTAGGCTACGTCATTACATTTCATTGTGAGCCCATGGAGTTACCCAGCTATGAGCATAATCACACCCCATACATGAATTTTCTCTTAAACAAAACTATCTTTCTTTGTCTTCCTTATACTCCTCGAGAGCTCGAAAGAAAGAGGGGATATATCGATCAATGTCTTTGTCTAACTCCACCCCATTTTTTCTTTGATTTTACAGATCGTTCACAAGGTACGTCCTTCTGGTCGCCCTTCCAAACGGCTGCAGGCACGGTCACCTCTCTCTACAAAGGTACGGATACACACACGCACGCACACACACTTGCCTTTCGTTTTTTTTTTCTTCGCCATCTACCTACCTGCGTGCACTACTAGGATACCAGGCGCTTGACCCCCGATGCACACGCTTTTATCTTCTCTTCTCTTTTTTACACTCCTCACACTCCTTTCAGTCCCTTTGCCAGCGCGCTTCTACTTCCCTCCCTTTTCTTCCTCTTTTTCTTTTGCTTCTATTTTTACTACCTTCGTTGGATGCCTCGCGTGCATCGGTGTTCAGTCGATCCTCGTGGTTTTTTTTACGGAATACTAGCGAGATTTTGAAGAAAAAAATTAGGAACGTGTTTTTTTTATTTACTTATCGACGTACGATATTTTTATTTACCTGTGAGAATGAGTCACGGATAAAGATACTGACTTTGAGAATCAAGTTTTTAGTATTTACCACTTCAACTTCAAAAAAAGTAGTAGTCTTCTTTATGTTTATTATTTTTAGACGCGAAATGTTTTTGGCATTGTAGACGACTATAAAATATATTTTGTAACATTCAAAGAGAAATAACTATAATTGACGTTTTAAAAACGTTATAAAGAAGATTTTATAGATTCAAAATTTCGACTCTACTATTATTACTATTGACGATATGATCGAGCTTCAGAAGAAAAAAAACACGAAAACTTAAAAAGTAATTGCGAAATTCCATAGCGTCGCAGCGTCATAAACTTCTGCTAATTAACTCGAGAGAGACAGAGCGAATGTGTCCTTTGACTCTGCAACAGAGAGGGACACAACGAAGCAAGATTCCGAACATCCTTTTTTCCCTTTCTCCTCTCTTGCCGCACCGGGTATGTACCTTTGCTAACACACGCAGGCGCGTCAACAGCTGACCTTCATACGGCCGCCGCCGCACAGTCAGCTGTTTAAGAAACTCGCGTGTGTTTGTGTGTATGTGTGCGCGCTGCCACTACATATATATATATGTATATGTATGTAAATATATATATATATATATATATATATATATATATATATCGTCGAGTCATCCTTTTCACGTTTTCATTTTGCGCTCCCGAGCAGTGACGGTTTTATTTTTCGTTTTATTTTTTTTACTCGTCGCGTTTTCTATTTTGTACTAGTGATAACTATTTACAGTCGGCTGAATAAGTTACGTTGGATTTTGAAATGGAAGATATTACAAAAAGCTACTATATCGCGAATGAAACTTTTACGTAAAATATACGCCACGATAAAGATGAAGAAACTATTTCGCAAAATTAAGTACCGATCAATATACTATCAAGATATATCTTGACAGACGATAAGATAAAACTGATATCATGACTATCGATAAAAAGAATAAAAAGAACTGCATCCCGATAAATTGTGTAATTTATCACGTTAATAAAACGACAGTGACCTCTAGCTTCACGTGATAAAATTTTAATTTTTTTGTATTGTTCGGTTTTCTTTTAAAATAAATAGTCGCTTTGAAAACATATAAATTGATATGTGTGTTTTCCGCAGAGTCATCCAATGGGATTCGTCGGTGTAGTGAATTGGGTATCGAAGCTGGTAAGCAAAGACGCAATAAGGAACTGATCAATTGGGCGAGGAAAAAAAGGCGCATGATTCGCAGGGAGGACCTATTAGCCTATCTTGCTGGTAAACCACCGCCACCTAGACCACATTCGCACAGGTACATACAATCTGTGCTTTTTGTACAGACCACAATTCGCTGCAGTAAATTTCTCTGTGGTTTAATATTTACTCTTATACCCGAGTGAATATTTAAATATAATCAATATTTTTGGATTGCACGTAGAAATTTGGATAAGATATTAAAAAATCAATTTAAGTGTTGAATTATGCTGGATAAAAATATCCAAATATCTGTAAAGCAAGCTATTGTTAGAATCTTTAGCAATGAACGTGTTCAGTAAAGTATGTGAAAAAAATTATAATTATTTAATTATAATTTTTTAATGATCAAATATTAATAATCTTTTTACTTTGTAGGAGTTCTCCCAAACCACGTATGACGGTATCTGGCTCCCCCCCGTCACAAAGCCCAACAGCAAGTATGGTAGTGTCGTCGACACCGCCTCCAGGCAGTGAACCAGATCCGGAATTGCACACATTCAGAGAAGCCATCGCACTATCAGGTATGATTCTTTTTGAATAATAAAAAACGGAAAGATGCACAAGCTCTTTTCGCTTAAACTTTAAAGTATAAAATAAGTCTGTAATTTTTAGAATATCTTCTTCTTTAGATAAATGATGGTATGTAATAATTTTGAGAAAGTCAGAAAATGTAATTGTAATATTAATTAAAAATTTTAATAATTACGATTTATTATTCGAGTTAATTACGCAGAATAATATAATAAATACATGATCTTTAAGATTAGCGATTTATTTGTATTATGCTAAAGTTGATTTAAAAATATAAAAGCTTGAAAAAAATAGAAATAAAAACTAGAATCTATGACCCGTCAAAATATATATGTGACAGAATGATGCTTAATGATGTTAATTGGTAAAAATTACAGGTTCGCCGATGTCGCGTCGCAATGGTCGCGAGTTGTCAGCCTTCATAAGCAGCGAGTTCGCTCGGCATCACAAAAGACCCGCGTCCCACGACGTGGACATGGGCTCGCCTACGCATAAACGGCCGCGTTTCATGTAACAGTGCGCCAAAGTTCTACGCACAAATCATGCAGCTCAACATTACTACGTTTTCCAGCCGTAAAGAAATTGAGAGAACTTGTTTATGTGCGTCTGCCTGCTTATCTGTGTGTGTGGAAGGATATGCTTGAGACTTTATTTGTGCGTGAAAGCTTAATATATTTGACAGTACGAACGTTCAGCTACCAAAGATACTCCGATGGATCTCCTTTTGCGCGACATCCACACCAACTTTGTTATACTTTGATAGTGTGGCTAAATTATTCGAGATTAGGCAAGAGGTGTCATTATTATTATTATTATTATTATTTTAAAAAAATGAAATTTTAAGTTTATTTAATCGCGTTATAGAAAATTTTTAGTCAAATAAATTAGCTGTATCTTTTTTCTAAAGAAAGATAATAATATACAATATTATGAGAATAAAACTATTATAAGGTAACAAAGTGTGTCGATGTCTCTAAGCAACTTTTAGCGATTTTAGGAATACCATCAATGGGTCAAAAGATTGTCGAACAATTATCAAGTTTAATCACTGCATAAGGATAATCACTTTGTTTTATACGAAGTAAAACGAAAACGTAGATGAATTGTACCCGTTTCTGGATTATTCATTCAAGAAAAAATATAGAAATCATACACGTTCAGTTAAACGTGGCCATTTATCTGTCTCTTTCTTTTACTATATACAGTGCTTTTTTGGATTCTAAAAAGGAAGAAAAGGATATGAAAGAGTTGCTTCGAACGTGTTCGTATACCGTCAAAAGTGCCGATAATAACAAAAAATGAATAATCTTGGTTGTGTCATACAAATGTATGGGATGCTAGAAATGTTTGGTGTGCGATATGACTATTTTTATTGAGTGATTTGGCTTCTACAGCGCAGTAACTATCCATTCTGTTACATTCTGTAAATATAGTAATTTAATATGCATTCGCATTAGAATAAATACAGTGATCAAAAGAATTACAAAAATAAATTTTCGGCACTTCGTACGGGGAAAGTTATGCTTTCGGCACGCTTAGTTAATCACTACGCTTAACGTCGAACTTTCTACGAGTCATCGAAATGCTATTACCTAACATGTTCGGAAAAGAGATTCTATTTCGTGTGCTATTCCAGCCTTACATCACTTGGGCCTAAACATCACACGAGACGAGTATCTACTTTCTTGCACTAGTTAGGTAACGTACTAATACTTCATAAATTATTAAACTTTTGTGGCAGTATTTGTTATAACTTTATAAAAATTTATAAACTATGTTTTTTTGAGCAGTGACTTGAAATATAATTTATTTTTCAAAGTTTATTGTATTAATAAATACAATCGTTATTTTAATTGGTAAAAAATGAAAAATATGGTCACAAATAGCACAGTTTTTGCCAAAATCGTCAAGCTTTCATTTATGATAAAAATTATCAACAGAAAGACAGTTATTGCATTGTAATTGCAAAATCACGTATGAGCGCTATTTATCGAACCGGAAATATATATTATTAAATTTTTTGCATCGTTACACATATTACACGATGCGCAATGTGTGATAAAAATAATTCTTCAGTAAATTATATCAACGCAATTCAGCGCATATTTTTATGATTAATTTTAAAAAATGAAACTATAACGTAAGTAAACAAAAGAAGCTAATGTTATTCACTCTATCCAACGTACGTGATGTTACAATGACACAATTACATTAAAATTTATTTCAATTATTATTGTAGTTATTATTATAATTTAATTTTCTTTGTAAACACTATTTTCGAAAAATGTGTGAAGTCAATATGAACATCTTATTTGAATACATTGAACAATAATTTTCTAAAACTACTAAATTCGACTGACAATTAATTAAAATGTGAAGGCATGTAAATTCTTCTTCAACATTGTACGTTTTTTAAAACGTAATGTTCTATTTGAGTACACTGTCAATATGATTTGGATTCTAACTAGCAACGAATTAGTACAGCATTTGTTTTTTATGAGTTGTTCTTAGTTGCAATAAAAAACTGAAACTAGTTTGTTAGAGATTATGACGCCAAGATTTGTACATAATTTGAAATTTACTAATGATTTTACTGTGTAACTGAGATTATAATCTGAGTTTGATACAAGTTAAAAATGAGGTGATAAGAAATGTCGATCCTGTTCAAATAGCACATTCGTAGTTAATGAAATTTTGTTGTTACATTTGTAAACTTATATCACTTAAAGTGAAGAAGCGTATATACACACAAAACCATGTAGCATAATTGAATAAAATATTGTAAATCGCGTACAATAAAGACCCAGTTAGAAGAAAAAACATAACTCGTTTAAGCGATCAAGATTTTTGTTTTTACCATAAAACTCGCATCACATGTGCAATCTTCATAGATACCGAGATGATGAAAGGTGGAAAAAGCTTAGTATGTTTTCTTATTCGTTGAAACACGCATCAAGTAGAGTAATTCACATTAAGCAAAGCAGCTCAACAAAACTTTTTTGCCTCTTCTGCTAAAAATGTGTTAACAATGGATTATTCAGAAAAATTTAAGAGTCGTTCGTAAAAAGTATGTTCACATTAAATGATAAGAAACCAGCATTATTGCTTCTCGTTTTTGTAGCTCATCAACAATGTAATTATGTACATGATATAATAATAAGATGGACATATTTTCCTTTCATCGATACGTAGATTCATATAAATAATGTTAAGTATAAAATAGCGTAACAATGAGTTGAAAGTCAGCCATGATTGTGGAGAAGATTGCAACTGTTATTTAGATTTTTTGTAATAGAACATCGATCTTTTGGAGAACAAATCAATCGTTTGTAAAATTTCTAACTAAACTAAACGAACGATCGGTGCTTTGCAAAAAAAAAGTAAATAAATAAACAGTACAAATGTCTTCTCCAGCATAAAATGAACGTAATTCATTGACAGTCATTGAAAGCAAACATAATTATTTCATATATTTTGTAAAATATTGTATTAACTGATAATTTCAAAACGTTTAAGTGCAACTGCAAAACAAATTGGATTTATATTTCTAATACCTTAATGCTGAGTGCATCTTTTTATCAAAATATACACATACAACTTAACTCGTACATTCACATAATTAATAAATATTATAAATAAAATCGCTTATTTTTTCGCGCCTAAAATTCCATAAGAACATCAAAAGAACTCCTTGATTGTGAAAATTTATAGTTTATTTTTAAGAACTTAAACTACTCGATTGTAACAAATCCAAGTGAAATCGAGTCTTTTTTGCAATTAATGATTTACTTTGACTTTGTGAAACATACGAAGAATACACTACGGTGGCTTTAAAGCACTAGATTTTCACAGTTTATTCACTAGATTTATATCTTATAGCCAATTTAAGTTTTTAAGTCAAGAATGTGCTGAGCCTTCAAAATGAAAATTACCTTTTGCTTTACATTGAACTTTCGTAATAAGTTTAATACAATATTAAGTAAACGTAATCAAATCTCCAACGATCCATACAAAATTCATACACAATCTTATTATTTTTATATAATTACTCAATTGTAAAAAAGAAGTTTTATTTCAGACGTAGTTTTTTATGAAAATAAAATTTACTTTATTTCGTATTTGCAGCAATTTAATAGTAAATTCAGTAAAACTATTCACATTAACAATGAGCATAGCTTATATAGAAAAGTCACATAGTTGTAACAAAACAAAAACAAAAAAAATAGAGCAGATGTTTTACTTCTATACGTAAAGTTCCGTTGTTCTATTGTTTTTGAAAAGCTGAGCGCAATTACTTCTGAAAGCCAAGCAAAAAGTTGTTCAGATGTAAATATAGCTTAAATGACACTAAAGATATCAAATAATGAATAATGTTAAGTAATATAAGAGTAATATTAATATCACATTTAACATTAATAGACTAGGTATTTAAAAGCTTTAATTGTTGTTATCAAATTGTCCAAATTACGTTTATGCTAATTACAATCAGTTAAAACAGCAAAACATTTCTTAATTTGATTGTTACGTACTAATTTTATTATTAGAAAAATAGTTAAACACTCAAGTACCGAAGATGCCATATTTAGGATTTACAAGTTCTTAGGAAGTGACTGAATGCTTTTATCGATGTCAATCATTCATTATTCTTTGTACATTTCCGAAATTGTGAGTCATCCTAATTATGGTTGTTGTAGGTTCTTTTTTTTCCGTAATGAATTAATGAAAAATAGGTGATAAGAGCGTTTTGGGCTTTCATTTTTATTCGTAAAAATATTGTGGTTTTTTCTATTTTGTATGAGACACACAACTTCATAAAAATTACTTTTACGCCATGAATTGAAACGCACGATATTTGCCAAAAAGAAAGAATTTGAAAAAAGGTTAGATGGAAATTTTATGTTTCGAGAGCTTCCAAAATGAGTTTATATTCACGATAAAGTTAATTGTCTTTGTGCACTATCTAATAATGTTGATTTGCATGCATCAAGCGATCCTCATTTCAAGCTTAGATTTTTTTTCGAATCCAACTGTTATCTTATCAGAAGCGCTTTTTAAATTATCGAAAAATATAATGGAAAATGATGAGATTTATTTTTTCTGCCTCGTTTATTTATTAGAAAATATCAATATTAAGTAACTTAATAATTGTCCAAGTACATATAACATTGAATTGTTTGGATTACATTTACGAATTTCAATTTAAAAAAATTCTGTACCAGTATTTTACGATAATTTTAGGCCTGCATGCTCTTGTAAGTTTAACTTACACTGACATATACTTAAATCAATCGGAGAATAAAAATAAAAAAGTTACCAAGTTGGAGTTAATTGTGCCGTTCTTTGGTTTTCACTACCTTTATCAAAGTTATCAACTCAAACTAGTGGGCATATTTGATAGGCGATACAATCAACTGTGTAAGTAAATTGTAAAGCTGTAATGGTGCAAAGTGTCTTTGATAACGACGAATGTAAAGTGACTAAAAAAAACAAAGAAAGGTGTATGATTTTTAAGGCGTTTATAATTGTAATATAAAAACATTGTATCGGGGAAAATTAGTCGAAAGTAATATTTTCTACAAAAACATCTCTGTTCATTCGCTCATCGTTATAATATTCAGTAATATGAAGCTGTATAAAAAACTTACAATATTTTTTTTAATTAAGTTAAATAGGCATTTTATTAAATGTATTTGTGTAAATAAATATTTTTGAAAAATCTAATTCACATTTTGAATTTATTCGTAACCGGCACATAAGACGTTAGATATTTTTAGAAATTGATTTTTGTGTCATAATCTTCTAGATATTAAATCTTCTTAAAAATTAAATAGTTGATGTAATTTGCGGATTATTCAATTGCATTGGAACAACTTAATTATCATGGCTTAATTATCAATTAATCATGACACTATCTAAAAATTGATTACGATTTTTCAAGTTTCAAGCATACATATTGTATACAGGCAAAACACTGAATGTGTTTGTGAAATGCGAATAATACGATCATTGCGAATATTAAGAATTTGCGATCTTTTCCAAGCCGCTAGATGGCGAGTCGGAATCTGATCAAAAGTCGCTTTCATGTCGCCATAGCTGACGAGCTACCGGGTTCGGCGGAACGAGCATCAACTTTTAGCATAGTTATCTTTATCAAAATAAAACCTAGTATTTTTGATTATTAACTCTTTGTCAACGTAACCACATGAAGAGAAGTACATAATCAGTATTTTACTTTGAAGTGCATTTAATTCTGGAGTCTGACACGGCGATGTGCATTTGAATGATGCTATGTTGTTAATTTATTTCGTGGAGTTCATCTGACGAGAATAAAAAATCTTAAATATTTGTAAAGGTAAAAGTTGTATAAATATTTCTGATAAATATTTCTGATAAAGTTGTATAAATATTTCTGATAAATTAATAACTTACATTTATAACGACGTTGAGACATACAATAAAAATCTTTCTTAGTGATTTTCACTGTTAATTCAAGTTTTTCAAAGCTAATTATTATAAATTTATATCTGCTGATGAAAACATCTCAACCATATACAAGATGAGCATTCACTTGTCCAACGGTACTTTGTCAAATGTAACATATTTTAGTCACGGTACCATGAAACTGCTCAAATCTCTGGCAAGTTACACATGGACGATTAACAACTTTTGCATTTGTCGGAAACGCACGGGTGAGGTGATCGATTCGCCAATAATAAGTGCAGGTGCCGATGGCGAGCATCGTTGGCGTATACTTCTTTATCCAAAAGGCAAAAATGAAGAGCACCGAGAATATCTTTCGATTTTTTTGTTTTTGCTGACGTGCAACGAGAGTAAGCTCGATGTACAAACCAAAATCTCCATTGTAAACGATAAGAAGAAAGAATGTAACGAGCGGAGGCTCGAACAGCAACTACATCGAGGTAATGGTTTTGGATGTATGGATTTTATCAAGAGAGCTTTTCTTCTTGACAAGGCTAATGGATTGCTGCCTGATGGACATTTGACGATTATGATTGAAATAAGCACAGGTGATTATTTTAGTCATTATTATTATTATTGAAAATGATTTTTTTCTTATGAGGGATAGAGAACCAATGATAAACGTTAATAGTAATACAATTTATTTTTACGATCGACAAACAGTAAAATCATACATTTGAATTTTAGGAACGGGACTATCCATAAACCACAGCAATAACCATGCAAACTTAATTCACGAAATGTCACCTTCCGAGCAGTGTCTGTCTGTAGACTTAGAGCATCTTCTCGAGGACAAGAAGTACACAGACGTGACTCTATCGTCTCACGAGCAAACTTTCAAAGCCCACAAGAATATTCTCGCAGCTCGTAGTAGCGTCTTCTCAAAGATATTCGAGGTCGAGAATAAGAAGACACTCGAGCTCGAAGACGTCAATCCTGAAGTATTACAGGAGATGTTGCGTTTCATATATACTGGCAAAGTTAAAAATGTTTCGAAGTCCGATTCTTTGTTGGTTGTTGCTGAAAATTATAAGCTTGAGGGTTTGAAGGCGATGTGCGAAGATACTCTTTGTAAAAATCTTACGGTAGATAATGTAGTGGATACTTTGATATTAGCTGATTGTAATAAGGCTGAAAGATTGAAGACTCATGCGATTAGCTTCATTATTGCTCATGCAAAGGATGTGATTGAGACGCCGGCATATAAATTGATCGCTGAGTCGCATCAGCTTCATCTACTTGCCGAAGTTTTTCGCGTTTTGGCGTTACAGCATCATTAACATGGAGATTTTCCGATGAATTTATGTAGTTTTCTGTAGATCACTTCTATAAAATAAAGAAGACTGCTGAATAACTTTTATAATTAGATTGTATGACAAATCTGACATAAATTATGAATACTTTCACATTTTTAATGCTTTTATTAAGCTTGCTTCAATGCTTTGATTAACTTATATATTATTGGATCTTATTGAATGTTATTCTCGTAGAAAAATACTACTAATCAAATGTAAAAATCTGATTATAGTAATATTCTTTTGCGTTTCAGTCAATATAGCATGCACACCCCACAGATTTTCATATTAAACTATTTTTAACTTATAATTGATCATTAGGAAAATTGGTATAAAAATTGAAATAAAAAATTAAATGAATCCTCATAAAAATATTTCTGATATTTAATTATTTTATTATAACAATATTTTTTGTATTACTATAGATATCTTAGATAATTTACATAATCTGTTATAAAATTGAAAATGTTTTATATGTATTATTACGTAGTTATTTGTGGTTTTTATTTCATAAAAAACATGTTAACCTCTATTCACGAACTATCAATATTTATTTCTTATCTGTAGCATTATTTATTATAATTTTAATTACAAGTCATATCGCAAAAGTTTTTTTCGCGTACATGGAAAGTATTTGCTTGGTAAATAAATATACAAAAGAATCACTATGATTAATTACGATTGGCGTGCTTTGTATTTTTTAAATATAAATTAGCCTATATGCGGGCATCTCACAACAAAACGTAAAATTTTTATAACAAGGTATGGGTGAGTTTTTTCAAAAGACAAATCTTTTCGAAATGACTAGACATCTTATATTGCTTTTAATAAAAATCAGTATTTTGTTCCTATAAGTTCTTGAAATGAAGAAATGATATCTATAGCATTTGAATGCGTCTATTTCTACATCATCTATATTGATTTCATTCAGAATATTTTCCTTCATATTAGTCATAAATAATGCTTCAAAAACTGGACTACGCGTAGATAAAATTATTTAAGAAGCTGTGAATTTTTGCTCTTGAATTTTATACGATTTCTAAGTAATTGCGTGATACATCTTTATAGTTAATTAATGATACATTTTTATTGAATCAAAATGTAATAATTTAAATCTAATTGTTTTCATTTTCTATCTTAAGGCCCCGGTCGCATATGCACATACGCTTCCGTATGGCCCCGGTCCCATAGGTACGTACGGATGCGGACGGATACGGACGCGAATCGCAACTCTAGTAATATCACTAAAAATATCTAGTTCGATTATTTAGTACCAACACTATCGGTAGTGAGCAAAAGTGACTGTTGTTTAAAACTGTAGCGCCGAACGTACCATATTTAATGAACGCCTATCTAACCTTTACATTATTGCAGTCTATAAGATGGCAAATGATAGAGAATTGATAGACTTTCAACTACAATTAGTGGAATTAGGCCTTAATTTTATGGAAGTACTTGAATATATGAGAAGAAGAAGAAAAAATATATAAATGATATGTATTAATTATCCCAAAAACTTTTTTTACATTAGCATACTCATCAATAAGCAATATTCATGAAAATTTGAAAAGTAATTTCTAGACCTGACATTTGAACATTAAATGTGGTACGTTCGGCGCTACAGTTTTAAACAACAGTCATTTTTACTCACTACCGGTAGTGTTGGTACTAAATAATCGAACTAGATATTTTTAGTGATGTTATTACTACAGTTGCGATTCGTGTCCGTATCCGTCCGCATCCGTACGTATGTACCTATGGGACCGGGGTCTAAGGGTCTGTCTCCATAGGGCCTGCCTGAGCACGTCCGAGCCGGCCGAGATTTTTTATGGGCACGCCATCTCTATAATTTCGTGTTCATGCGTTTCTCGTATTGGCTGCGTCCGATCGGGCTCGTTTATGTAAACGCAGCCATTCACTATGAAACTCGCCATTGGATACGCAATTATAGAGATGGCGTGCCCATAAAAAATCTCGGCCGGCTCGGACGGACTCAGGCAGGCCCTATGGAGACAGACCCTAAGACTACAGCCACATAAGTATGTACGGGAGATTGCGGACGGATGCGTACGACAATGTAAAATCCTCTAGTATTACTAGGATATTACTAGAAAAACTTAGTAATATTTGATAGTAACGTATGCAGTTAAATCACTCTACATCAAACTTTAGCAAAATACAACCGAGCACACTCATTTAATATAATCTTCAAATTAATTTTAAATTGCGCGATAATGTAAAATAAAATTGTACACGGTACATCAAGAAAAATAATCGAAATGAACTGATTAACATTCTATATAAAAGAATAACATGTTATCAGGATACTCGCATACGAAGATTAGCTCATTGTAGAATTTTAGAGGCAATATCAAGGATTTCATTAATAGTTCTATAATCAGTGATTTCTAGTATCACAACGCTGTTGCCATTAACTATTGTTAGTACAGAATTGGAAATTCCGCGAAACAGCGGACTGTGGCAAAATACCGCGCGGTTTTCAAGACTGTGAAGATGGCCCCCGGGTTTTTATGGGAAATTGCCAGCGGAAAAGGGAAAATGGCATTAATTGTCGTAATTGTCCCTGATAACCGTGGTAATTTCCCATTTTTAATTAATCACCGGGAAATAGGTGAAAGTCGCGTTTTTCCGTTTACCGACTCAGTGGCATTTTTCTCCGGAAGTTATTGTCGAATATTTACGATAGACGGCTTAAAATTAAGATTTTAATATCCCCCGTCATGTCCCGTATTCGCATTTATCCTAAATGTTACCCTTTTCAAATGAAAATTGTTAATAACTTTGACGCCTCGGATGGCGGGAAAGCGGTATCAGTCCGGATTTCTGCGTTCCGCTGGCCAAGCAATACAGCTGATGGCGCGTAGTGTCGACTGCTTTAAACGAAAACACGGCTTATGAGGTTAACTGTACAAGAAAGTATTATTATCAGATTAGGTATTATTATTGTTTAAGAGCAGACGATTCTAACAAGTGTTCAGTACATGTATGCGCCACCAGCTGTGTTATCTGGACCACGGAACACAGAAATACGGACTGACACCGATTTCCCGCCATTCAAAGCGTCAAAGTTATGAACAATTGTTATTTAAAATGAGTAACATTTAGCATAAATGCGAATACGAAGGATGACGGGTGATATTGAAATCTTAATTTTAAGCCATCAATCGTAATTATTCAACAACAATTATTAGAGAAAGAGGCCACTTCCGGTGCCAGGAGAAAATGCCAATTTTCACCCATTTCCCGTTGACTAATCGAAAATGGGAAATTACTACGAGTATCAGAGACAATTAGCGGAATTAATGCCGTTTTCCCATTTTCGTTTGCAATTTCCCATAAAAACCTGGGGGCCATCTTTACAGTCCTGATATCCATAGCATTGTGATATTGGTTGATGCGAGAAAAGAGCATGAAAATTTTAATTTTCATATAGTTGAAAATATTTGTATTAAATATCTAGGAATGTGAAATTTATATTGCGGCAATAAATTTAATTTATAAATAATTAATATCAATAATGATTTGCAAAAATGGAAATATGCCGTTAATAAATCGTTTTAAGAAAATAAGAAATTATTATTTCAAATTATGCTGAAATAATTTGATTACCATCTGTGAAATTAATAGTCGTCTTAAAATGTGATTGAAAGAGAAAAATTCAATAGAATAAAACGATGAAAATTACATTTTTATTTTTTTACATTTGTAATATGACAGATTTGCGGGAAACAACTAATTATCAAAATATTAAATTTGAAGAATGTTCACGGGTGTTTTCAATGAGAAAAGAAGTGACATTCGATGTTGAAATGTATTACTAATAGTAATAAGTATAATACTAAGGTCCAAGAAAACTTTTGCTATTGACTAAAGTTGTGATTGTATGATAACAGAATATGACCATACCGTCAACAGATATCATATAACAAAATTATTTATATGATTTATACGTATGATAACAGACAAATGAGAATAATGGTATAGTAATGGTAGTGTAGTAAATAGAGCATTAAGGTACAGTGATATGTTTATGGAATCGAGGATTATGTCCGTTCAAAACTTGTTGACGTTGTGCTAGGTCAGTGTCGAGTGTCTTACCATTTAGTATCGAAGTAATTCACTGTACGAGTGATTAATAACTGCAGCGTCAGTCGAACGATTTTTACTTTCACCATGAACATCACGGACCACAACATAAGTAAGTAATATAAAAGTAATTTCAGCGGTAATAAAAATAGTTGTGTTTAATTATAACAGCTCTGAGGGATTATAATCAGAAACCAATAAAGTTAAAATCAAGTAAAAAATACAAGCTTATCGAGGCAATAAAAATGGAAACTTTTGAAGATATCTGGCGAATAGAAAATTTCAAAGAACGCTTCTCAGAGACCAAAACTCTAATTACCTCACCGTTATTTAGTCATGACTGTGATGGAAGTATTATAAATTACACCGCAAGAGTCTATCAAGTGGCTGCATACGGTGGATTGCTTATCATTGAATCACACGTTCAGGGGTCTGAGACGATATCTACAATGAAAGTGCAATGTCTTCTTCGCAAAGACGATGGCAAGGAAATTTCTTTAAGTACCTCTAAGCGTGACATTACTAGATTCAAACACGTTACTCAACTTCCAATAGTGTTGCGTAAGGCAAACGGTTTTATTCCAAACAACGTTCTGACAATTGTTTTTAGAATTCAAATCACCGTCAACCAAGATTACTATAGTGTTAAGAACACGAGACTCTCGGATGATTTAGGCTATCTATTGAGAAGTGGTTGCTTCAGTGATGTCACACTCATTGTCGACTGTTGCGAGATCAAAGCACACAAGGGTATTCTTGCATGTCGTAGCTCCGCTTTCGCATCCATGTTTCGTAACGAATCTGATGACGTAGTCCACATTAATAACTACAGTCTTGATGTGATGAATGAGTTGCTCAGTTTTTGTTACACTGGCTGGATAGGGGAAGTCAGCGAGGAATTGCTCCACGCCAGTGACGAGTTTGATATCGTTGGATTGAAAATCATTTGCGAGGATAATTTGTGCACAAATTTGAACGTTGATAATGCGGTTGCGTTCCTGGTTTGCGCCGAGCATTACCGTGCTTTAAATTTGAAGAAAAATGCTGCCATATTTATCGCGAAAAATCTGAAAGAATGTGTGAAAACGCCGCAGTTCAAGGAAATTTCACATTCTATGATTTTGGAAATTGTGCAGATGTGGTCGACGATGTGAACTTGTTTCGTCTGTCTGCAGGAAGATACGTACGTATCGCGTTGCTTCATGTTATTGTTTTGGGATTGAGTTTAATTTTTACAATTGAAAACTTTTCTTTGTGATGAATAAAATTTTTTTTAGTTAAAGAATGATCATTAATAATCTATTTAAATTTCAATTTTATAATATGACACATAAATTGTAACTAATCGAGTTGTAGGGAGAATAAGACCTTATTTCACTCTGTTATGTAAAAGTTACTTTAATAGTGAAATTCATTATTTACAAAATTTGTCTTGGTATTATATTTCATTTTGAATATATTTACAATTTAAATGGTATTTTTGTCCATTGTATTGGACGATTTACAAAATACTTTGAAATTTATAGATATAAATAAAGACTGAGGCAACATTTATCATTTGTACGGAATTATCGAACGCACTTAAAACAAACATAGAGTACATTGCCATTCTAACTTTCAATCCCAATCTGAAGGAAATTCACGAGCAAAATATTCTATCCTTAAGAACAGATTTATAATTTCATAATGAACATGATGAATCAAACAGGGATAAATAAAGCAATCGTCATTAAGTGAAATACAATTGTTAAAAGTGAAAAGATTTTTCATATTTCACTCGCGCAACACATCCAAAGTACACACTTCTATCACAAAACCGCAATTCGTAGGGATTCAACCAAATCAAACAATATATAAAAACAGAAGAACGTGATAAAAAAGAACGCAATGAGCAAAATGTTCGAGAGAGCAATTCAAACAGTCTTACGTATAATTAGGTGTTCTTTATCGCAAAATTGACAGCCGCGGTTCTTCTGGTGCCGCGAAAGATTCTCTCGACTTTCAGCCTCTTGCATTTGGGCGGCACGCTTATCCGAATTTTCATAAGAGGCCCGGAACTTCATAATTTTATATCTTTTATTATCGTCTCGTGCGTCTCGAGTGCTTTTTTCCGACTTGCGATTGCGTGCAGCAGCTTACGTCGCGGGCCCAAAGGTAATTTCAGCGCTGCAATGTCGGATTCTGTTAAGAGCATTAAAGCTTCTAAATCGATTTGCTCGGCTTCCAGGGTTGCATGGATGGATGAGAGATTGTTTGCCACGAGGAATCGTTGCAGCGGCGTCCATTCTTCGTCCGCTTCTTCCTCGTCTGAGAAAAGAAATTGATGGTCATGATGAGGAAATTAGGCAGTTCGTTTTTCCCGGCACGACATAGAGCTTGATTGTCGCGAGGAAAAGCTGTCGATGCGGTCGACGCGCCATCACTACGAATCGGCGGACAAACAAAAAAATTCAATCGAATAAAAGTTATCGGAGCAACATTTCCGTCGCTCCACGCGAAACAACGTCAAAGCCGATAACCGTAAACATCAGAGGCACAGAGTAGGGAAGCGCCGCGAAAACGACAGCGGAAGTGAAAGAAAAAACGAAAAATTGCCCGAAACAAAGCCTATGTGCGCAGCAGTAGAATCGGAAGCACCGTCGAGATAGGCGATAATGTTGCGCAGTGGCAGCTAACAATGAAAAAGCGCGCTGAAAATTTTCGGAATATACGCGCGTACCGGAAAGCAAGTCATCGTCCCACATGCTTTGCCTGCGCGCCAAACTTCCGGCGCTGCCAATGCTGATCTCCTCGTTTGCGTGTCCATTGCTGCTACCATTGTTCAAGTGATTTCGATGTTGCTCCACCGTCGTGCTTGCCGCCGACGAAGAGCCATTCGACGAATTGTTGGGACTTGGATATAATTCGCCGTTAGCGTGTCGATGAATTTCCACTTGAGTTACTGGCAGGTTGTCCAATGCGGCTGCGATCTGCAATTTAATTGGACCAGCATTTTAGCGGGTTAAAATTATCGCTGAAGGTGATCGTAGCATGATAATATCTCGCAGGGAAAAAGAGGCTTAATCTTTTCTCTCCTGAGATTATCGCTTGTTTCATTGTCCTCGGAACATCAGATTAAGCAGTCGTTAGCGATCGTTTTATGTTGCAATGTTTTATCTGGTATTAAGAGTCATTTGCATAATACACGCATACAATTTGTTTCCAACGCAACGTTCGCTCGAAGATCATCTCTGACCAGCAATAAAATTGAAATAACTATTTCTTATTTATTCCATGCCCACTGAACGTAAGATTCAAGTGCACTGTATCGCGGATAATTATCATCCGAAATTATGCTTCGCAAAATTTTATTATAATTAACGATTGTGTAAATGAAAGAATTATGCAATAAGTCATACCTGCGTTAGTCCTTTTGAGCACAAGAAAATCAAATATTGAAATTGGTGGCGCAACGATTATTTCTCGCTATTATTACGCGCTCGACTTGACATTATTTGGGATGTTTCTAAATGAATTACAAAACAAATGCCGTCTGCCTCGAGGATCATCACTCCAACGCCGAGTATCCCATCGCAAGTAGAAAGTTCGACAACTATCCTTTCTCTCTCTCACGCACACACAAGACCAACTCGTAAAACACATCGCATTGATACGCATCGGGATCAAGTCATAAATCTGTAAGCGCCGAAAACGCGCGTACATTTTTTTATTCCTCTTCGCTTCCTTTGCACATTATACGGGCGGCCAGCCGCTTGCGTATCAAGAGCGACGACTTTCATTTCTTTTCTCGTTCGGAGAAAGATATATACCTGCAGGCCCTTCTCATTGAGGAGAGTATATACAAGAAGCGAAAGGAAATCGATCGGCTCAAAGAGAGCTCGAGTAGGAAAAATAAAGCGGTGAAAGAAAAAGGAAGAAAAAGAACGAGAAACTAAGTATCGAGCGAAAAAGTGATGCAAGAAGAATGAGTAAAAGGGACTTTTTGTCGTCTCGAGTGGCTTCCACTTCCGTTCATCGAGGACACTTCAGTTCTGTCGTCGTTCGATCTCGAAATGTTTAGACAGAGAACTACGCAATTCAACCTCTACACTATTGTCTACGAGGAAAGCGAACTTTGCTTTTTGCTTTTTTTTCTTCAAATTTTCTGCTTTGTTGTAAGGTGTACTCACCGATCGTCGAAAAGCCACCGAACCAAAACCCGGCCGATTAAAAATACTCGCAGGTTCCTGTAACTGCAACGTCGCGTCTCTGCGATCGATCACACTCGATCTCTCGTCATTTTCGTCGTCGTCATCTTCCTCGTCCTCTTCTTCGAGACAGCGATCGCTCAATAAATCGGGTGTACTCTTGGCCTTGTTAAGCGTGCCCCAGACATCAGAGATCTTACCGCGCCGCATAATTATCGGCTGTTGATTCTGCAATTCCAGCCTGTTGTTGTTGCTGTTGTTGTTGCAGCCAATTATGGTGTTGCTGTCGTACGTGCCGACGTACATCACCTCCGAGTCACGTCGTAAGCCGGTCAAGCTGCGCACTGACTTTTTGCCGTCTACCTCGATCTATAAGGAGAAAAACAAGCGGACGAGATATTACTTTGAGAGTTGATCGATTGGGTTTGAAACCGCGTTTGGATCGTTAACCGATTCGCGTTACTGCAGTTGTCACGGTCAAAGTAATGATCAATGTAGTTTTATAAAATATTCTCATTTTTTTATGATTTTAAAAAATTAAGATTCTTTACACCACAAAGTTGCTTCAAAATGGTGTTGTTATATTTCGAGTCGGCGATACTTTTCGCTTGGATTATCAAATCTAAGAATGACATTTAAAACACTTAAAAATTCTATATAAAAAAGTGATGGCTTGCCGAGTGAAGTCATTTTATTCATGATATGATTGGCTGAATGGACTCGCGTAAGTTAATGTTATGAGTAAATATCGGCTCGAAACAATAGACATTTATATCAATTAGTACTCATTCAATTAAACGAATAAAAAAAAGTACAAACACTTGTAGGATTTGCAAATACAATATCGCTCACATTTTCTCAATGGTTTAATCTTAAAATAATACGATAAAGTAATCTTAATACGCTACAATTACATTTATTATAGAACATATAAATTTATAGAATATTTTATTTGTCAAGTTAGAGCTTTGGATAAGTATCATCAACAATAAAGAGAATTATAAATCGATATTTCAAATGAAATTCTGTGATTTTGGCGCATTTTGCATTATTAATTTATTAAAACAAAATTTTGTTAAATTTATAAATGCATACAAACTGCCAAATGATCACAAATAAACAATTGAAGAAAAACCGTTGAACTGAATATTCGTGAATACGAACGAGAGATGAGTGCGCAAAACGCATTTTACAGCACTACTTTACTTTACAGTGTGTGCGACGACTAATTTAGTATCGTCCTTGATCATTTGAACTAATTGTCGTTCCTTCAAATCTTTTTTGTTATAATTCTAAAACTGTGGCAGATATAAAAATATAATGTTCTTATGAAAAATTGAAATATCAAGAATGATCGTGTGTTCCCTTAAAAATGATAATAACGATCTGAGCAGATGTAGAAAAATAACGAACAATTTGAAGGTATCGCTTGTTGTAAGATGTCAATACAATGTTCATCCTTTTTACTCATCAGAATTTCCAAGTATTTACATTTTTTAAAAAGGAAAAAAGCGCGGAATAAGGAAAAGAAAACCTTCAGAAACGCAAACACTTAACGAAATCATCGATCAAGCGAATTCCCACTCCGTAAGAATTCTCTCTCTTTCTCTCTCTCTCTAACCACAGGTTTCAAAGAGAGTCTTGCGCATTCCCGTGGCGTAAATAAAGAGCACAAGTCGCGGCCCGTCAGGAAGATAAACGCTCGGCGCGCGATAATCTCAAAGGCTTAAACACGTATACAACTACAGCTTCTCTCTTTCTCTCTCTCTCTCTCTCTCTCTCTCTCTCTCTCTCTGAAATTCCAAGTACTCACCTCGACGACCTTGAAATCGTCAACGGCCCTGCGTGCAAGAGCTTTCCTGCCAACGGCACTTGCCCCGTGACGTTTTGTTGCTGTGCCCACGATGTCACTGTACGTTGGTGATGGCTTTATACGACCTTTGAACGTTGACAGATTTGCGCGCGTTGGCATTATTACGCTGTTCAGCTCACTGTCCATTTGCGTGCGATTTTTCAGCAGCTTTTTCTGCTCTTTCTCCGCGCGTGATTCCAACAGCTTTTGACGCTTCACGTACTCCTTTAACCTAAAAGGTATCGTAATACGTTATTAACCTCTGAATATTTCTGTTCTCGATCGTATATTTAATCATTTTCTCGGTGAAAATATTCCAGCGCTAAACTGTCGATTATCTTTCAAAGCAGTTTACTTTGACAACTCATCGATAATGATTTTACAAATGGTTATGAATGAATTGGACAATATCCCGCATCATACAATATAAAAATGTAATGAAGCGTAATAAATGCCTCGCGCTCATGGTGATTTTCTTATCGCCCCTCAAACTCATCTATCACGATCATTTCCTCAACATATTATACTTAATACCCTCATACCAGCCGTATAACCAATTACGTAATTCAACTAGCGTTGCAACGCAAACGTCTCGTTAAACTATAGAAGAAAAGGCCTTTTTTACTCGCAATATATTATCATACCGAAGACATGTCATTTATTGTAAATTTATAAGAGGCGCGGTATCCCTTTACGCAGAACTTTCGCTTTCGACGCGAAGAAAAAAAATAATGTTGCCACAGCGTGAGAGCAAACAAAGCGAATCTTCAATCTCATCGTCGGCGGCGGCCACATGAAGCGCACCATACTCGTTTTACGCGCAAGTGCGCTTCGGCATTGAATGTCTCCTTTCTACTGATATACAATGGACTGCAATTACGTTGATCTCTTAGAAGTAATTGCTTCGAACGATTTTATATACCGAGTCCTACTCTTTTACCATCTAGCTTTTCTACTTTTTTACTCTCGTGTTCTATTCTTCGAGGAAATCCTATTGAAGGTGCGTTTGGCCTTCGTCCGGAAATCCTACAATATTGGCTCGTTATTTTGAAAATCGATTTGTTGGATTTATAAAAAAAGTTGAATCATCAACTTTCAATTTTGATGAAAGCTTTGTGATTTCTGCTAATGACAATTTCGTCGCACGCTAAAGCATGGCTAAAACAAAAGTTCGCCGCGCATGCGTAAAGTCTATTCTAGCTTGGATGAATACAGGCGGCGATGGCTCACACATCGCACTGCACACATGTAAGTTTACCAACCAAGAGCGCGCGACTTTCATTTTGGGGCCGCGCGGTGCACATTCCGATATATACGTCGTACGAAACTCGAGAAAGGATAACGCTTTGCACACACGAGCCTCTCACGCGCGAGATTTACTACGCAGACGCTGGCGTAGGCTACACCCCAAAATAAAAAATAGAAAAAAAGGCCGGAATAACGCTTTCAATTTGCGTATGTGCCGTGAAAGACTGATCACGTTGCTGCGCGTTGCGCTTCCCTCCGAACGACGAATATTATCCGCACGGAGGACAAAGTAATGTCGATAATGGGATTCTGCTGTCTGCTACTACGTGAACAAATTAAAGATTCGAGATTTGAGTGGCGAAGGATCAGCAAATCTGTTTTTTTTTGTAAATACAAAATAACGTATGCTTTGATCGCATGTGTCGCGTAGTAAATAGTGCAGATCACGTAAACACCTCGATAAATTACAAATAAGCTTTAGAAAATTCATAATACCTTTTCTCGGCATCCTTCTCGGCCTTCTCCTTCATCATTCGACTCTTCTTACGATTATTTAATTCCTGATCGGCCTGTGCGACGTCGAGAAATTGTAGGACACGTTCACGTCCGTTGATGGCAGCGAGTTCGCGTGCGGAGTGTCGGTCGATGTCCAACGACCAGATGTTACAGCCAAACTTTACGAGGAAGCGCACGCACAATTCGTGACCTCGCGCTGCTGACAAGTGTAGCGCTGTGTTGCCGAAGTAGTCGGCTTTGTCAGGATCGCCTCTGTGAAAGCATTGTTCGGGATATCATTTATGAAAATTTACGTTTCTTCGTTCCTATGTTTTTTTTTTGCTCTGGAATAACAATTTACATTGGGAATTTTTCTGAAACCGTGGTATTATCAAGAATTTCTTTTTTACTCGACAACATAATGCAGCATCGATTATTGATCCTTCCTTGTTGAGCAATAATAAACTCAAACTACATAACGCTCCGAAATTCGGGAAGTCGTCGTACAATTCCTCTAGGTGCAGTCGCGATAGAGCATGTGTTGATAATTATACCTTTCATCCACTCAAAAAATGCTTTGTATACTGAGTTGCCCTTTCAGTACATAGCAATTAGCGCAGCTCAATATGGAGTCAGTTTTAAAGCTCTTTTCCTAGAAATTAAAGAAAAGCTGCACTGTCAACCGATTCACAATGTCGCCATAAAAAAATAATAATAACCCATCAATCACGTCCGTCGTAAAAACCACAACGTAAAATTCCAACGATCAAGGTTACAAATCCATCAAACTTATCATTACGTAACTCGTACAGCCATAGCACGTGTAAAATTACTGTAATCACTTTGGACAAAGTAACACTTATTCTCAAGCTACCTATGCAAGTATTCGGGCCAATAAGTCTGCTAAAAAACGAGGCCTTCTGTGCATACGCACACACACCTAGGCATGTACACGGAAAGAAGGGGAGGGGGAGGGGGAGCGCGAGGCAAAACGCGTATCCTGGTCGGTCTGTGCTCGCGCTTCCGGTCACGCTAAAACCCAGCGATGCGTTACGACCAACTCGTTCGTCCTACGTTTGTAATTCCTCCCACTTATTAAGCCGTTCCTATTTATTCCCATAGCGGCTTTTTTTTCTCCTCTTCATAATATCGCTTGGCACACGCGCCCGCAAAAATACACGGAAGGAAGTGCGCGCACGAAGGTCGTCACCTATGTCGAGCCGCTTGTATACAATTTAGTACGTTGCTGCGGATATATCAGTCGTTGAATTTGGAGCTACGAGGAGGTAATGAATTTTCAGTGCCTGCTGACACGTCGGTGAGCTTTTTTGCATAAATGCAAATTTTTGGCTTTAACGGATTTTCGTTGAAATATATTCTAACAGCAAAGTACTTTTTTATAGTATAATTTTTTTATACGTGGATTATATGAAAATTGTCAACTAGTGGACTTGCTATTAAATTATATATTTGGTTTTTGGTTCGATATTTAATTCGTGTGTCAACTGAATTTATATACGCAACCTTCTTGGAACATGAAAATTCTTCTATTTTCACAAAGTTTAGTCCATCCGCTTTTATTTCCAATTGGATTTATTGATATAATAGTTTACGTTCCATGAAACACATGCATAAAATTAAATTTCAATCAAGATGTCAAACAATGTAATTTTTTCATTATTCGCGCTTTATTGTATTTCATTAAAGTGTACTTTTTCCCGCAAGGGCGATGTTAATGTCACTACGACTACGGTAACTCGAACGAGAATATAATTCACGAGATTGTGAATTTATTATTCGCTTGAAATACGTAATTTCACTGCAAAAATGCATAATATTTCTCCCTCGAGCACTCTCCAGCAAAATGAATCTTATGCATATATATATACGGGTATGTGTGCGTCTGCGAAAAATATAAAATTCAACTTTTGCCGCAATTGTGTGTATTCTTCATTTTCCCCTTGCCCGCAACTTCCTGTCCGAAGCATCACGTGCTACACGTATACACACGCAGATTGTACGGAGATGCGCTTCCGTTTCTCTGACGTCCACGGTACATCTGTCGTGTTCTCAAAAAACTGGTACGTTAAAGTCGAAAAAGACACCCCAAGAGAGCACTATTGAAAATTTTTCTGCTGCGCTCTGCGGAAATAATATTTTTTCCTCGCTCTAATACGATTTTCCTTTTTGGAAGATTTAATGGTTTAGAACTAGGAGGCGATTTCTTTTTACAATTGAATTCTTTGTTCAAAAGTGCGGAAGTCTTCTTTTGTTCGCAACTCGTTAGCTCTCGTTCGAATATGATTTATATCTGCACGAATAAAACTATCATTGTAATGAACCAACATTATTGAACGTTTCTGAGATACGTTCTTTTCTCGTTGAAGTCTGCACCCACTTTGTTCGTCAATTTGGATCTCTAACTTTTTTAATAAAGTGATGAAAAACGGTATATTCAATAACTGGAGGGTATCAACGAATCCGATTGGCACTGTCAGCTTTGTACTGTCAATAAATTTTACGATATAACGGGCTCGCGAACTCTTGGCTAATGGGAAGACGAGCGAGATTCTTTTCTACAATGTCAACGAGGGAGGCTATACTCCCATTTCTGGTGATCACTTTTTTTCACGCTTCGTTTCCAATTTCCCGCCGCGGCACGATTATATTATTTTTTAGATTAGCAAAGTCCGTTCCAAATTGTCACCCTGCTTAACGAATCGCAGTGTTCGATTGATATACTCCATTGCCTTTTCTCCTTTACCGCAAACAATGAGATAGTCACAACAATATCTCGGTTCTTTTTTCCTCTTTCTTGAGACTTTCATGCTTCTGCGGCAAAAGTGAAATGAAAGTCAATGTTAAAAAATCGTGTATGCGGATTCAGACGTAAATTATCAGATCCTCTCTGCTTTCGACGAGGATCTTAATGTTCATGATTAAAAGTGGCTTTAATTTTTATTATTGCAAAGTTTTCACTTACACTCCAGATGGCAGACATAAAAATTAAGCGTGTTTGCTAAATACAGTTCTAAAGGCGGACGAACGACTTGTCTGTGAAAAGTCACAGGCAGATCTAGAGTTTAGTTGAAAAAAACTTTAATTGGCTTGAAGATAGGACGCGGAATAATCGCCCGTTTTCTTTTTACGCTTCGTTTCTCTTTTCACGCCCCTCTTACTTAGACGCGTCGCGTCGTCGGTTGGTGTGTTATGTCGTTGACACGGTAAAGCTTAAATGGATATTCTTCGCTCTTTAGAGCAAATGTTTAGTCTCTCAACTCTCACCGGGACTCACTTTTTTTCTGTTTGATCGTTACCCGGCAATTCTAAAATTCCTAAAATGACTCGTTACTTTATTGATTATTGAAAGTGTCACCATGTCCCTCATTCATTATTATAATAGTCGACACATCCATCATAGAAGGTTCTCATTAGCTGTCAGTTTCGAAATTCGCCGCGTAAAGTTCGAAAGTTTACGAGGCAGCATCGTGATTTGGAGAAAATTTCGCTCGTAAATTTTCTTCACCCCTCGTTGCTGGAATGTTCGCTCTTTTCAACGCGCGCCTATGTGTCTTTTAAGCTTCGCATGCGTATAAAAATTACAAAGTTCAGCTGATTTATTTGCGTGTGCCCGGCAGCAGTAAGCATCGTTAAAATGGCAAGAACTCGAAATAGCGTCAAGTATTTTATATCCTTTGTAGTACTAAAATGGACTTTAACTGGTTTATTTTTTATTGTTTCGACGTCGAATACAACTGAAACGCGCGGTGGTCTTACAGAAATTGCGTCTTTGTTTGGAATTAGTGCAAGTCTTGAGTAATACCGAATTTACGTTGCAAAAAGTTTCCCCGATTTCGTGAATTTTGCCATATAAGCATTCACGTTCCTATGAATCATTTTTCTATATTTGTTGACTGCCGTAATTTCACTGCTGTTGAAAAATATTGAGCAGGTCATTTGCAAAAGAGAGACGTCAATTATGTATGTTCGCTGAAATGAAAAAGAGAAAAATATTTAAAAACTCACCCTCTTGCAACGAGCAGTCTTAGGGCTTCAATGTGGCCTTCAAAGGCCGCCCATAACGTTGGGGTCATTCCACCTTCATCTCTGGTATTGCAGTCTTTTCTCGTAACTTCCTTTAGAATCTCGAGGATATTTTCTCTCGCGGCTCTGGAAAAAGAAGGCATTTTAATTCACGTCAGTTTTTTTTATTATGTTCTCAAAGAAACTTTATTTCGTAATATTTTTTTTTTTTTTTTTTTCGTAAAAATGGCGTTAATTTTTGAAGCGCAATTTTTGCAGTTTGAGGCTGCGTGCACTCAAACGGAAAGTGAAATTCCGTTTTCCGACGCATCAAACATCTGACGTCGAAATGTCAGAAACATTTTCATTCTAATTCATGACATCCGTTACATCGAACCTTGTCGAATCGCACACGCCGCCTCGAGTACACCGTTCGGAAATTGACGATAAAAGATTAAAAGTAAATACCAGAAGCGAAAAAGAGAATGGCAGATCGGAAGGGATTCTCCACGACATATTTCACGCTCCTTAGGGACGCTCTTCATTTCCCTCGGCGCAGTTTTCATTTCCTTCTCTCGCTCTCCCGTCCTAGATAACACGCGGAATCGGATTTTTCACGATCGGCGCGCAAGATCGATCTCTTTCTTTTTTTTTTTGGTCGTTGCCGTTGCGACTTCTTTCGCCATATTGGCTTTGCGCGAGCGCGAAATTCCAGTTATTGTTTCTCTCTCGGCTTTCTATTCAATATAAACGTGTTCCAGTTTCGGAGAGAGAGCAAGAGAGACAATCTTAGGCGTACATATACTTGGCTTAGCCCTCTAACACTGTGCGCGACGTTGTCTAATTTTCCGCTACGACTCGCTTTCTCGCTTGTGTTGTGTATGTTGTTTGTCTGTCACCGAGGTATCTTTTTCGGCGAGGCTCATTAGTGCGATCTTACTGGGAAATGTAACGTATGCTCTATGCTCTTTGCGCTTGTTTCCATCGTTGTAGAAAAGCAATTTTGATACAATTTTGATGAAATGTAGGATAATTTTATAAATTTTGATGTAAAATAAATGCCAAAAGAATTTATAATTGCAATTATTTCCCATAATTTCAATGTGATTTTTAAATTATCGCTCGACTCTCGATAACGGTTTGATGAAAAATTGTGCGCCGAATACCATTAATATCGAATTGAGCGGTATGCTTGCTAAGTTGATTAATGCCCACTGGAGCTAATTAATGCAGGATAATGAAAAAAAAACTCGATATCAAAATCAATCGACGATGAACTGTGAATAATAGAATTACGGCGCAGTTATACGCGGTGATAACTATCTACTTTAACAAGCTGGAGAAATGGAAAAAAATAAATGTCAATTCTTTACTTTCGAAATCATGAGTAAATTCATGGTTTGTCACACGTTACACCCACGAAACGAAAGCATCCAATTTGTCACGCGACTGCGTGCAGCATGATACACACTTTCAGTTTTATCCTCATGGGACATCTCACTCCTCGCATGACTTTATATATATATATTTTTTTTTTCCGTAACGAATAACATCAGTTCCAATTAAAAAAATTCGCGAGAGAAGCTCATCCTCACTATGGCGATGACAGGTTTTCCGAGTAGTCTTTAATTGCTAACTTTTCTCCAATTAACCCGTGTACGCGCGGTTTGCTCTATGGGATTGAAGTTACGCTTGGAGAAAACGATGTTTTTTTTCGGGAAGTTTTCCTTGTCGGTTGAATGGGTCACAAGTTCGAGTTGCAATTTGGATGTGGATATTAGACGTTGCTTTTTTAAAATCATTAACTAACGACGACGTTTGCAAGTATCCGTAGCCAGTAGCCATGATCTGATTTATTATTGATCACCCCGGGAGAATGACCATCGCTGGTGAGATAGGAATGGGAATGACAGAACTTGCGATTTCCTAAATAGTTTGAAAAAGCTCGTGATAATTAATGTAATTTTTTTAATACCCGCACGACGAATCAAGGGCAATCAACGATTCAGTAAATTTCAATTGAATCCTATGTAGGTTTCAATAATTCTTCGAAAAGACCTGCGCGCGAGGAGCGTGAAAAAAAAATCATAGAATTCCAAAACTAGAGCGTGAAATTCAAAGCACTGCGATGTGTTATTCACCTACTTAACAAATCACCAAGTGCACGCTTGCTCTGAGTAAAAAGCCGAAAATTCCACCACGCGTTCGCTTTGCGTTTCCTTGGAAGCAAATGCGCATACACAAGATTTAGAACGAAAGTCGTGATAGTCAGCTGATGCCAGCTACACCGTGCGTTAGGGAGCTCTGAATACGGATAAGCATTCGCACATTAATCTGTATTTTTTGCTCAATAATTCACGAGTATCGTATACGTCGCGCATCACTGCCAATTTCTATTACTGTGTATTTCGTACTATTGGAGTATTAGAAACGCTGTTAAGCGTGTGATTGCTGCTGGAATTAATATTTATGTTTATTTGGTGCTAAGAAAAATTTATTTTCGTCAAGAAATATTAAATATGAGTAAAGGTTATTGTTTGGTGATTTTACGATAAGTTATTGTTGAAAATGATCATCTTTCAATGTGAATGTCAGCTGGAGCACGACTGTCCCTCACTTGTAAAGAAACCAGTCTACGTTGTCATTAAGCTCTATACTTTGATAGATAGTAGCATTAATGCAGTCGTGCTTACGTATCATCATTAGATTGAACAATTCTGATTAAAATTACCTTGATAATAATAAACACATAAATACAAACACGATCAAAAAGTTAGCAAGTATAGTAAATTATCTTCTACGTGAAATTGAGAAAAACCTTTAGCATTATTTAGAATCCAAATACTTGTACAATGTACGTACGTATACGTTCATTACTTCAAGTATTATATGATAACAAGAGCGGCGGAATCCTCAAGCTATAAAAAAGAATCAGAAGTAAGAGAAAACCGGAGCATGCGAGTAAAACAAGGCACGTATTCCATTACACAAACCATCACACAAAAAGAGGAGGAATCGCATAATCGTTTTCGCCATAAGAACGAGCTCATCATCACACACACATACGCGGGAGGTATGGTTACTCAACATCTCCATCTTCCATAGAGTAATTTCTACCACGACAGACGATTCTCCTTATAATACGTTACGCTCCGTTGTACTTTTTTTATTTTCGAGCCAAGCGCGTTCTTTCATTTTTTCCTGCGTTGCGCAAACTAAGCGAAAACTGTTTGCGCCAAGGCAACTAAACGCAGCGTGTGGCTTTTATCGATTCTTGAACCCTGTATATAATACGAAGATCGACTTTCTGCGTGTTGTTTCTTGAATTTTTTTTCCTTTTGGTCGTTGCCAGGGGGAAGCATCGTTGGTTCGTTGCAACATGTCTGCGAAAATTCGCTGTGTTGTCGAGTTGCTGAAATTGACGACGACAGTTTCACAACAGACCACAGTTTTTTCGTTTGTTGACGGAAGTTTCATTGTTTTTTTTCTGCGTTAGAGGATGTTACGGGTGCAAATGTTGCGATAATTACATTGAACAAGTATTTCCTTGGATTTCGTAAGTTGCTTGAATTTAGAGTTAAACTGTTACTATAAGTATTATTAATTAGCATTTCATGTTACGGAATATTTATTATTCTATTCAAATCATAATGCTGTAAAATACGTGAATGAATGAGAAGTTCAAAGAAAATAATTTCGACGTTGTGAGATTGTATTGATATCGTATTGTAAATGCTAAAAGCCCCCGCAAAATTTTTACCTTGAACAAATCTTGTTTTTTTCAGAGACGCGCACACAACTCGGAACAACAGGAAAACAACTACTCCAATAACAAATGATGATGGAAGTAATTGCATCCAGAGGAGCCTGAAGCTCACTCATGAAATGCCGCGCAATTCAAATCAATAACAAGAAAAAGCCTCGCGGTTATTTTCACCCAACGAGAGACGCGCATCATCAGCAAGCGGAGGCTCGCTCGTCAATTCCGCCTAGCCATGCACAAACTCGATCTCTCTCGACTCTCTTCGGCGCGATAAAAGTCCAGTGGCTCTTTTTACATTCCTCGTGGCAAATATATATAAAACGAGCTATGCTTCGATGATGGATCAGACATTTGTACAACCGGACGCGATTTGTTTTTGCCATTGTTCGAACGACCGAAGCTTCGATTACTCCTCTTTCCTTGTGTTCCTTTATTCTCGTATTGTACGGTTTCGAAGAAATCCTTTTGATGACAACGACGGCGGCGACGACGACGGCGATGGGTTTACCGGTTTTTCCATCGACGCGCGCTCGCGAAGATGGGATATGTAAATTCTTAGGTAATTGACTCCCCGTAATTGCACCTTCGATATCTTGTATAATCTTGACAAAAAAATGTATGTATGTCCGTTCAATATCGCTGATAACTTATGCACTTCTAGCTTATGAAAAATTGCATTTTTTCTCGAGAGATGCGATAGGGAAGTTTTGCAGGTTCTAGGGGAGGAAGAATCGTTTTTTCCTCGAAGCCTACATTTTAATCCATCAAAGTAAGATAATTGCAGACGTAAATTGAAAGCGGTTTTACCTGATATCGCATTTAAATGACAAATGTTCGAGAAAGTGTCAAGCGAGGAAAGTCATATGGAATTGATCTTTCACTCTTGCGCCCTGAACGCGTGAAATTGTTCCATCCGAAGACAAGGAAAACAAAAAAGAAGAAGCGATTGGTGTAACTGGCGAGTGCATTCGCACATCGCGTGCGAAGAGGTTCATTGTCAATTGCAGGAGTAAGAGCAATTAACTGATTTATTAGGGCGGTAAACACCGGTAAACTTTGCAAAGTATTACGCTGCATCGCGCACACTGTGCAGTTCAATTATCTTCCGAGTTAATCGTAGATCCTATTTCAAAGCAGTTAACTGTTTACTTTTAAATTATCTATATATATTCTTTAAAAGAAATCTGATTGTATCTCTTGTATATTCGTTAAACCGAACAGTCAAGATGGCAACAAATTGAAGATTAGTACGATATGACTCCAAGATCTTTTTGATCATCGATAATACTTTTTTGATGATTATTATTTCAAAATTTATCTCAATTAATTATGTAAAACTAATACATGAAATCAGTCGCTATCGGTGTCTAAAGCGACAAAATGGTATTTAGCAAGGTTTTCTCTATTTTTACCATTGTCAATTGTATCCACTGACCGGCATCGGACGTCAATAAAAAAGTGTAATGAAATTTATTGCGAGGAGCTCCAAAGGACCACTCTCATAAACTTACTTGTGAAAACGCTCAGTCGTCATTCTGGAAAAAATTATCACTGCACATCTCACAGAAATAACGAAGCAAAAAGGAAACTAAAGGCACACGCGGCTTACAATCTGCGGACGATGAGAACGATCGGCCCTCGTTGGCATACGGCAGGCCACTGCCGACTCGAAGCTCTCTGTGTGCGTAACTCCCCTGCGTCCTTTTCCGGCCGGCAGCTCACTCACCTGCGACCAGCTATACAATATCCCCACCTTTGCTCGCTCGCTTGCTTTCTTTCTTTCACCTGTGTTGTTGGGTGGGAGTTCGGCCGATCTCGAGCCTGTGTCGGCTACTTTATCGGTCGAGCTGTATGTTAAAATACAGTATGCGCTTACCGGTTATTCATGATGTTTGGTTAATTGCAGTAGTGTGATGGACAAAATGCAATTTTATTATCTGTAGCTTTCGAGATAAAAGGCCAGAAATCTATAACGTAAAAGACTCATATTGTAAGTTGCCTATTTCATTTTAAGCAGAATACTTTTTTCTGAAAACCTCTTTAAGCGGTTAGATCAGCGAGATTCTTTTTATAGTTAAATATATGGTGAAATGTATATTAATTGAATGTAATATTTTTTATGCATATCATATCATGAAAAACAATTCTGTAGATCTTGAAATAATAATGAGATTGGTACAATGACATTCCATCAAACATTTTTCATATGAATATGCTATTACTGTTGCGAAACTATTGTAAAGTAAAGGAAATGGTTTTATAATAACTCATTGTTTCTCATTTTTTTGTGTTTTATTGATATGCCACAACAATCGCATGCAAAGGTTAGAATAATTTATGAATTTCACAACGAGGTAATTACATTTTACTGTGTTGAGCACAAGATTTTCAAAGTTGTCATTTCCTTTTATAACTCTTTCTATTGACTTGAGAAATTGCACTTGTTTCTCTTTTTCCATGTTAGAAGCGATAATATATAGTTATTTGAAAACCACGCACTCGATAAATTTCATTACAATTTTTTGTTTGTTAACGCGTGGTTTTTTTTTTATATCGCTCGATCACAGCTCGATTATGTTTTTTTTTATCGCATGTATTGCATTTTATTTACATAAATAAATGGGAAAGTAACGGTAAAATAAAACGTATACTCATCGAAAGTTATATATACTGTATCTGTAATTTCTTTTTATCTAATTCATCAAATAATCTTACGAAAATTGTGTTTTGATACAATATAACAATGTTGTTAAGAATGAATATATATATATATATATATATATATATATACGGATATAATCTGATTGACTGCCACATGAGCTGCGGATTTGTTTTATGATTCTACATTCACAACTAATTATTACAAATTTTTTTTTATAATAAATTTCTTGAGTTTTTCTGAGAGTTATTAAATAAATTAACTAGGATATGGACTAGTAACTTTTAAAAAACGTTTTTGCGTTTCGTTCAAAATATTTCTACACTTTGCGTAACAGTAACTAATAAAAATGCAACATTAAAAACGTTCATGTTTCTTTTATTTATTGTTTTATTTATTCTTCCTCATTCATCCTTTGTATTGGTAATATCAAACTAAAATTTCTCTTAATAAATAGTAGTCATCAGATTAATCATCTTCTTAAACTTGTTGAATCTTATCTAAATTGGCATAATCGGTTTTTTTTTGCATTTGAACGAGGTAATTATACAAAGTGAATCCTGATTATACTAAAAACCTCACGAAATTATATGCCTTGCTTTTACTTTTTATTATTATGTTAGTTTTTTCAAGTAGAGGTATTTCATTAAAAAATCAACATGTAACAGTCCTCCCCATAACAAACTTGGTTCGTTTGAGGAATTTATATGTATAGACATCCATAACATTTTTTATTTGATACCAACAATGATCCTACATTAACTTTAAAGGACAACACTTAATCGAGACTCGTGGCTATACAGGGTACAAAAATATATTTACACTACTGTTGTGGACGTGCCGATCGTATATAAGTCAAGCGAGCCGATCAACATTAGTAAAAAAAGTCTTCGAAAAATCGGATTATAGTCGAAATATAGACATATAATTACCACAACATAACTTTTATTCGTCTCTTTTCAACTGCTATATAGAAAAAGTGCTTTTGGAGAGCTAATAGTAAGAATATATGTATAGGAAATGATACAGCTTGTATAGGCCACTCGAGTCGAAGAGATATTGATAGTTCGTTTATTATTAGTTCTTTTTTTGATGTATATACTATATCTACAAGTACATGGTAGTTTGGCAAGAAGCGATGTCATTATTATCCTCCACAAATTTTTCTCTTTTACTTTCGTGATGTTATAAGTGATGACATCTTAATGAGATGATTGTCTCGATACAAAACGCAATTCAAAAATGTAACTTTCTCAGTTCCCATTCATCGTCTACTATGTTTTAGTGGTTTCAGCAAAGTCGTTGACTTAACTTGTACTTTTTTTTTGAACGCATTGTCTCGTCGATATGATGCACAATCGAACTTGTAAATAAATTACTATTCTTTGATAAAATAAAGAAAAGAATATTCGGGGTGATCGCTAAAACTGTGTATTGGATGTTGAATATTCAGGTACAATTGGTTTGATAGGTTTTGCAATAAGTCAGCGAATAATAGCGAAAGTACAAAGTGGAGGTCAAGAACGAGTGTAGATTCATTTATAATTCTTATGCTTCTCGAAATATCGTATGATGTATAAACACGAAACAGCTAAAAATTATTGTTTCTTTGTCGGTTAATATATCTCACGATATCTCACTATAGTTACACTACACATGACTAGTTACCTAAGAGTATAATACTGCCAATGTATTCATAACCATAACGAAAAAATCTCCGTTTTTCAACATACGTGCATATTTCAAAACTCACCGAGTCACTTAAATCTAAACACCACTTGCAAAGGTAATATAACCGAAAAAACCTTCATTTATACATATAAAACGTTTAACAAGTTTAGTCCTCACCAATGTCCACGACAGTTTCACTCTTTTCAGCTTCTTTGTCGTTCTTGATATCCTCGATACCTTCACTCGTGTCTTCTCTCTCAATATCCACCAATGTTTGCTCGGATGACAATGTCTCTTGTTTGGCGTAATGCGCAGAATCCCTTCGCTCTATGTCGACTTCGTTCTCGAGTTCGGGTTCCTCGAGTAAAGCGTCTGCCTCGATTACACCGTCGGACAATGCGATTGCACTGTTAAGTCCTTCTTCATAAGCGTGGCTGTCGGTATCGCTTATGTCACAGCGACTTTCCTCGGTATCGAGGGATGTTGCTGCTGTAGTCGCCGTGAAGTATTTCAATTCGTAGTCAGCGGCTGAACGATCCTCGACCACTGCCTGTTAAACGATATCGAGAAATAGGCAATCTTCCTAATTCTATTTCAAAGAATGTACCTAACTTTTCAAGTAAAAATGCATTTTCAATTATCAAACGAATGATGCCGCGGTCATTACTTCCCAAGGCCAATTTTCAACTACAGTAAGTATAATTGACTCCTTCGCCCATTTTCTTTTAATGGTTCAAAGCCGTTACCATGACTTTTTTCTCACTCACCTGGGTATTCAAGGAATAACGGCTGGAATGAGAATCACCACGGTGCTTATCGAAGGACCTCCTCCGGTTATCGTCCGAACGCGAGTGATAGAGCTTTGGATGCTGACGGGTTTTGCGTTGAAGATTCTCACCACTACTCGTTCGAGTTCTACCCTCAAGCTCGCCCGCGAGATACTCGGCACAGTCTGCGGTGAAACGCTCGATCGAATACTCTCTGCAAAGTTAGACACGACTGCTACATTAAATTTTTCACGCTCGACAGAATGTCAAATTCGCACGAAAGAGTACGTAGATGTATTGATACGTAAAAAATATCATTTTTTCTACATTTTAGTCATCCCGCGTTTAATCTTTATTATCATGCGACTCATCATTATTTTGCTCAATCACTTTCAATAAAAAAGTTCGGTGCTCATAAACATTATAGATCAAATCTTTTTATGCTTGAACATTACAGCAAGAGAGTTTCTATATATAGGTATACACATCCACTGTAAAACTGCACATTATCGACCTTTTCCCTATGGAACTTCTTTTTATCGATCAGTGTGCATTACATATTGAAATCGTTTTCCGATACAGGATTCTTGATACATAATTCAAGTATCAGTTTTTAATAAAAAAAAAGACTCTAGCTATATTTATTTGTATGCAACAAGTTCGCCTATTAAAATTTATTTTTCGAACGTTATCGTCAACTTTTCCGATTGAATTGTGATCCATTCTTGATAAATTGTTAGATGAAGAATGTTCGAACGACAAAATGAAAAATGAGATAAACAATCTTTTCAAGTACCTGTAGTCTGTTCTCCTGAAATCGGGACTTCGTCTAAACTCCAAACTTGCCTTACGAAAACTTGCAGATTTATCTAACCTCCGCTCACCGCCTAATTTGTCTAATGACATTTTCCGAAAATTCGGTGATGAAATTTTTCTGAAGTCTCTAGGCGATGTTCTCGACCAGTCTCTTGCTACGAGATCCTCTAAAATTTTTATATCTATAGAGTTTCTTTTGCGTGGCACGAAGTCATCAGGATATCTTATGTTAGAGCCTGTGAAAGTAATTGTAATTATTATTAAACTAATTTTTTCGATGATATGAGAATATCAAGTGATTAAGTTCAATTAAACATTTGCAACTTTTTTTAGGAAAGAACCTAAAAGTCTTTCAAGCCATAATTATACTTTTCATTTAATTTGTTGATAACAGTTGCTATATTCATGTTTTTTTTATATTCCAATGTAGTTTCTCAGAGTTATGAATTAGAAAAATTAAAAAATAAGAATTAAAAAACTCAGGTTATATGTATATATTCACCAGGAAGCTTAGGTGAAAAAGATCGATTGAGCGCCGCAGTTCTCTTGGCATCTTCAAGATCTTCAGCGTCTTCGATCTTTGTTTGTCGTGCCAACTGATGACGTCTAGCGGTATCGGATCGATCCTTCACTTTCAACGTTACCGGACCTTTATTTGGAAGGTGTAGGTCCATAGCCATCGATGCTTGACTTCCAGACAACTTTTGATGTTCTAACGTTATCTATGGGAGGCAACAAAAAAGACATTCTTGTTTTTCTCATAAACTTTACCTTATACATACGATTGAACTTGCGAAATGTTTTCACCTGCACGAGAAAGCTTTTGTGCGCGTATTTAACTATCTCGGTGTTTCGTGTACTTTTATGTCGTTTCAAATGTATGCTTGAAAACATTGAACTAGAACTTTAGCCAACTTGCTGTGTGAGATAACCGTTGAACGTTGTTGGCTTTTGATAAAAACTTGCTGGCGGATGTTGTTTTTGATTACATTGAAATTTAATAAAGATCTTAAGCTTTGTGAACTGCCTTTTCAACTTATTTTGAAATCTGTTTGATAGGTACAGTTACTTTGTTGTAGATTGTGTAACTCAAGTCTATGTAAGTAGAAGAATTTTTAGAATACGAATATGCTTCAGGAAGACTTACAATTACTTGTTATTAGTCGAATTGACTACTGCTTTATAATTTATGTTAGAAAGTTTATTGTTTGGAGATTAATGAAAAAAGTAATACAAAAAGAATTGTACTTTTAATGTTAATTAGTTTTCTTAAATACATAATCATGTGTACAGATGGAGTATACTTATTTATACGTTCTCTTCTAATATTTATATATTAGAAGAATGTAGATAAATGTTGGAAATATTTGTCAAGCTCGAGTCTTAATTCAATTTTATAGAATTTATTCTCAAATGAGAATTTCCTCTAGAAGCAGATTCAAACGTACCTGTTGTGGATTATATCCCGGATTATCCACCGAAATTGCATGCCTCTTGAGCAGTTCTGGATTGAGCAAAGCACAGCCACTAGCAAACTTTGGCGCCCTTTGCCTTGGCGATTTTTTGGCAATGAGCGACGGGGCACTCGGACTCTTCTTTATCGGATTTGTCACACCTTTATCGTTCAAATTCTTGGAGAACTGCATAAGCTCTTGAGTAAATTGTCGACGCGAGTTGTCACGAAGACTTGGGCTTGGGCTGCGATTGACACGGAAAAGTCCGAGCTGATGATCCCACTTGCTGGTCTGGCTGGAGGTTGACTTGCGGTTTCGTTGACTCTTGGCGTTCTTCAGTGTCGAGACTTGGTTGAAGCGGTATCGCGCTGGCACGACTTTCGCTGCACTGTCCCGAGCCTCGAATGTCATTACGCAGGCTGCTACTATGATGAAACCTGTAGGTCGACGTATAGAAGTGCTGATTGGGTTTCCTTTTTGATTGCATGTCACGGAAGCACTATAAAGGCTCTCGATGCGTTCAAGATTGTCCGATATTTGCAACGAATGAGAGCGACAACTACAGTTCTCAGAAAGAATCTGCTAAACAGCTTTGGCAAAATTGTCTGCGATGTAATGATAAAGAGACATTGGTACTGTGATAGTTAATGCCATCCATTATGTCGCCCAGGGATGCACGAGCAAGAACAGATTTAATCGTTCCATTCAGATTCGAACAAAACTTGACAGCTGTATGGAAAGAAAGAAACGATATCGCTCCCCCGCGAAAATGTATAATCAATACCCGTTAAAGGCCGTGTGCGCTCTGTGCTCCCTGCGTTGTTAGCTTATCGAAACACCTGCGGGTTCTCTCTCTCTCTCTCGCTCTTTCACGTATTACTCGTAGCGCGCGCATCGACATACATGTACTGTGTGTGATTGCGCTTACTCACACCTCGTGCTGCTCGTATATAGTTTATACTGATAGCTTTCACTGTACATATTCTCTTCAACGTTTTGAATCATCATAAAAAGTTATTGCTCTGGCTAGTGGATAATCGATTTTAGAATATCGTCTTTTTTGTCTTACAAAAATTACACTATCGATGCGTAACAGGATTGCTTTAGGATTTGTTTTTCATCATATTATTACAATTGCTTTAGAGCTTTAGAAGCTGTGGGAAACGTGGTCTATAATATTTTCTTAGACGAATCGGTATTAGCTGTGGCTTAAGCCATTTTCTAACATATTTTTTTTCAATAAATAAATTTGCTATCAATTCATTTTAATCGAAAGTACGGTTAAATTTTAAATACATGAGTTTTTGGAGTTAAGCATGATGAGAGATATTAAGTTTATTGTTAGAAATAGCGAGTAGATAAAGTCAATTCCTACTATACCGAGGAAGCGACTACTGCGTATTGAATGTATTTATCAAGAGGGATGGGAATCTATTACAAAAATAAAAAAATTAAGTAATTGCCGTTGATTCAATTTTCAGTTTTATATGATAACAAATCTTTACCTATTATACTCCCATAAGCATATTTATATTTTCTACAAATTAAATTTTTATCGATATACGTAAAAAATATAAAAGACAAAAAGATCCATTGAATATAAACACTATAAAAGGCAGAAAAGAGTGCGTAATAGTCAGTACATCTACAAGAACAATATGGTGGTAATAGCCTCCATAGCTCAGGGGTTAGAGCACTGGTCTTGTAAACCAGGGGTCGAGAGTTCAAATCTCTCTGGGGGCAAATTTTTTTTTTAACTACAACCTGCCTTCTGAACCCTCTACTTTATAACAATTCACTTCTTTCATTGCAATTGCGCGCCACTTCAATTAAAAAGGCAAGAAAAGGATACTGGTACAAGGTGCTCAATATATATGGACCGAACCGAGCGAATGTCGCTGGCGACGCTGGTGGATCGATATATATACGAGTCCCGGCCTAGTTTCGGAGGTAGAACGCGCAATTTTACCCCACGATCATGTGGTTCTCTATCTCTCTCTTTCTCTCTTTCTCTCTCTCTCTCTCTCTCTCTCTCTCTCTCTCTCTCTCTCTCCGTTGTCGTGTTTCCCTTGAGCATTGTTTCGCACACATGTCTCGATCGCATCCGTCAACTCTCTCACTCTCGCTGAGGTTTCGGCTCTCTCGCGGGAGCGTCTGTATTGTATCTGTGAGTGCTCTCGAATAGAATATCTATTATCTCTAGCATTGTTGCGCTCAGTTATAATGTACTATTGTGAACTGATATTTTAAAAACGTTTAATTTTTCTAGTGTATCGAATGTTTTTTAGATGCATTAATTTTTTAAGAAAAACGTTACATCATACGTTAATTTTTAAATAATATATAGCTAATTTTAATGACGTTCGTTTAAATATTTTTGTTTTGTTTGATTGATAATAAAAAATTAACCACGATGATTTTTGACATAAGTAGTAAAAGACGTTTATGTCAGATCCGAAAATCTACGTTCTAATGATTCAATGTTGATTTACGATTTCAATTTAGTAAATGAAAATCACATAAAATATTAGACTTTAAACTTCTGAATTTATTCAAAATAAATCACTATTTCAAGTATGTATTTACCTCCAAAACCCATGACAATAGGTCCAGCGTAGCTCAAATTGTTGAGATGAAAGCCTCTCGATTCGTTTTTAACTCGTATCGTGAGGTTCCCCCTAACTTCTTGTGCAACTGACAATTGATCGGCGTAATAACCTAATCGACAGAAAGGAACAAAATAACATTACAATCGTACGAAAGGTTAAAAAAAAAGCATCCAAGTTCTACCGATTCTCTTGAAAATGCTTCTAAAAATAAAAGTTTTCCAAATAGAAATGTTCTTCCGACTAAACAAATAAGAATTTATTTTAATGTAAGGTTCACGTATATAATCTTCGATAAAATCGAATAAAGTCGGTCAGTTGAATCTCTGAATAATGTGTGAATTCGTTCTCAGTTTCAATTAATGCAAGAATCAATCGCATCAATGATTTGTATCGAGAATTTTATTTTACGGATTTAAACGAGTACAAAGCTTTCGAAACGAAATGGATTTATTGTAAGCTCAATTAATTACGATTTTTCTCCGTTATTCTCGACGAGGTTATTTTTATTTACGACCTTTGCCTCGTTTTCGTACCGTGTCCGTTGGATGAAACATCGCATATTTCAATAAATTCAGTTCTTTGTTCTATCTTGGAAAACGAAAGATCGCGTGCTTTTCAATAACACGGCAAAATTCAATCCAATAACTTTAATATGATCTAACATAACTTGATTTGATTCTAATCTTTCATAGGTTGACCTTTCGTGTCAAAAGCTTTGCAAAACATACAAGTTGCAAATAGATAAAAATATAATAATTACCTATGGTAGCCATGCAAGCCCCTAAAAGCATTAGTAGAAGCCCTATACCAAGAGCCTTGCAGGCGTGCCATAAGCAGCGTGTCGTCACTTTACCCTTCACCACCTGCACAGTAGCATTTAATTACACAGACCACGCGTTAGCCATTATAATCTTCATCCAATATGCCTACACGTTATATACCCTGTCAGCGAAATCAATATGCTGCATAGCGATTGACACGTTTCGCACGTAGCTGCTTCGTGGTCACGTTTGCGTAATATCGCATATTTGATTTGTGATCCGCGATCAACCTTCTCATTGAATCATGTTTACATTGAGGTTCAATCGATGGTTTGCAATTTCACATTCTTTACACATTTGCGTGTTCGTACTTCTTTTATTTTTGATAAAAATAATTGACTTCGAATTATCGTTTTTAAAATGCTAAAATCGCATTAATAAATAGCTTCAGAATCACCAAAAAAGTTTTACCGAAGTAGCTCTTAGAAAAAAAGAATCGAGGAAAAATAGAAAGCATATTCGCGTTGGAAGCTGGAATGAGGCAACTGTAGTTGTTTCATAAATTTCCCCGCAGTTGGATACAGCTTAAAGCGTCCAATTAATAAATGCAAATGCGCGAGAATCAAGGCGAGCGACGCGCGCGCGTATTTGAATTTTACAAGCAAGGCGTGGGTTAATTGCGCATTCGGTTCCAAATAGGAATTCACAAGAAAACATTCGTTTTATTTTCACGTTGGGCCATTTCTAAATGTTGCTGTATAATAAACAAACAGCGTTTGTATTTTTAGCTTAACGCGAGAACGAGCTGGAAAATTCTCCGTTTGTGAGGTCATTTAATCTGAAACGATCCTTTTTTTTCGTTGCTCGTTATTCCGTTTTCTGCTGTTTGGTTTAGTTTTAATGAGTCTTAGAAACAAATTGTAAAAAGAAAGAAACTACGGAATTACGGTAGTGAATGAAAATTATTTTCACAAGCTGAGAAATGTTAATAAAATCCAGACCATTTCTATATATAGCAATCAGAATCTATTCAAGTTCGTAATGGCGTCACTAATGCGCCAACGACTCTCGACACTCAATTAATTCTGAAAATAACCAGTAGCTATGGTAATGAAGCTTTCTAAAAACTTGATATGTAATTCCAAACACTGCAATTTGAGATATAGCTTCAATAGTTTTTATTGTTCGTTTGAAAATAAAAGCTCCTAGAACTCCGTCTCGCTGGTTTCTAACTTTTAAATAGAGAAAGATGAAAGTTCTTTTTTCCGAAAGAATCAAAATTGGGTCATAGTATTTCGCATGCTTATCTCAAAGTTGGATTCAGCGAAAAGCGTGCAATTAAATTTATCACAAACGTATATAATGTTATCATTTAATTAAAAAGTTGAAGCTCCGTGTTTGCAAAGATGTACATATAGAATTGCGAGTAAAGAGGGATAAAAAAAGCTTAAAGTGGCGATTGTAGTGCTGTTTTACGTAATTAAACAAAATGCACTCGAGAGATGTAATTTCGTTTCCAGAATGTAAGCACGTAATTTTGTCGAAAGGTCTGCGTAAAAATATAACCTTATTATATTATTTTCGGCGCAAGTTGAGCGTAGAGTTCTTCATAAGAGTGAATTATGTCGACTGTGTTTTGATAATAATTTGAAAAGGAAATTTAGTAGTGTCATATACGTACCTGAACGTTCCAGTGAGCACCGGGTGCATAAGCCCGTCTCTGGGTACCCTGCCATTGTAGGCTGCCCTGGGGCATCCTGGGGTCCTCGGCGGTGCTGCGTGAAAGTTCAAGCTTACTCACAGATGTACTTACTATCTTTCACTTGTACTCGCGAGAGAAAGACAGAAAGAGAGATATTTAAGTGCAATGCATACAAGAGTGCAACGCTGGTTAATAGGATTAAATTTCAACAAAAAAAGAAAGAAAGGCTTTTATTCCAACGAACGAGTTTAAATATTTTTGAAAGCTTGCATTGTCATTGGATTTTAATGACCAAAGCAGCATTACGATAAGTAATTTAATGATGATTTGTTTTTATTTGATGAGGAGACTAAGTACTTTGGTACTTTATATATTATTTAATGTGTGGACAAATATTGGAAGCTTTGATGTTTTTTGTTTGATAGGAAAATTTAATCTTATTATTTTTTGCAATAAAATGCACTTTTGGTTGGAGCGTCAGTTAATTATGTCTTTTAGTTTACACATCTTTTAATAGAGCCTTGTAAATGTGGCATTCATCAAATTCGTTTATTTAAATGCTTTTATGGAAATTGTCATTTCGAAGTAAAAACACATAGAGATTCTATCAAAATAACTTGAAACCTGCGATGAAATAGTTGAGCCCTCGAGATATAAAAAAGCATTCGTTTACGTTTTTTTTTTGGTCGCGTGTAATCTACATGGATGAAACGTCGGCATTGAAGCAAAAGACTTTTGAAATCGAAAACTGAATATCTATCAAAATGTTCGCTCTGAAAGCTCGTAAGTTTAAATATTAAAGGTTAGAGATAGCTTTTCTTCAAATTATTCAACTTTATGTCTACAGGAAAATGTCTTATTTCCGATGGATATACTCATTACTGGCGTTACTTGGTATATTGCCCACACGTAGATAAAATTAAGAAAGTTAGATGGATTTCTCTATTCAAATGAAATCAAGTTTGAAATTTGTCGGAGGAATTAATTTCCGAGTTCTCCAGAGTGCAATCAAAATTCATATCTTAGAATAAATACTGAGACTCTCTAATAAATTTTCGTTAGACAGCTAATAAAAAGTAAATAAGTCAAATTAAAACTTGAAGTTACGAGATGAAACTCTGCTCATCGGGTTATAACCATCAAAAGTTTACTTCGTTGCTGTTGTGTAGTCACAGTTGAAAGTTAAACTAATCAAGTTAAGTATTATTTGACGATATATGTCTCCCGGATTTTATAAAGGTTGTCCAAGTATCCGAGTATCGAGAAAAATAAGAAGCGCGCACGTCTTTTTTCTAATTGGTCCCTCCGGCAACGCGGCGCGCGGCAGAGCGCAGTTCGTCTGAAATTTTAATGACGGTCTTTTTCTATTGTGCTCTACCTTACAATGAGACATGGCATGGCTTGAGCGACTTTTTTTTCATTGCTAGGATGTCAAGCGTCAAGCGCTTTTGGTTATATCGGTCGACAACGTGTCTCTCTCACTTTCGGTTGGCGTGTTTATCTTTTTTTTTTCTGCTTGTGTGTGCCACACTAGGGATAAGTTTCTTTGACGGATTTACTTTGTGGTTTGTCCTACAACATTGCGGCGTTAAAAAATAATCGCGAAAAAAACGAATAGCTAATGTTTTATTCGTATTTTTGTAGTTCAAAGTTTTCGTTCAAGAGAACAGAAATAAATTACAATAAGTCAACATAACGTGAAATAGTAGGAGGAGCTCGTGATTGCATGCATTAGGCTTCAGGAAAAGAGGTATGTTTATTTTCGACGGTCTACACCACACGGCTTTTAGCGTCAACTCGAGCGTATCACGGTTTTTAAAATAGTTAGGTCATCCGCTTTGATAATGTGCTGATACATTCATTATTCATCATCTGCTTACGCGGAGTAATAGTTTGGCAAACAGAATGACTGATGATACGGGTAAATAATGCGCGTCGAACGCTGTTTTCTTTACCCTATTGTAGCCGTGTGTACACTATCGGTGCGCTCCGTCATCCCGATAAGAAAAAAATAATCGCATTCATTACCGCTATTTATTTAGTACTAGAATTTCTGGGTGATTGTTCGTTCGACGATTTTTTATTTTTGAAAATTTCATTTTATTTGAACAAAAGTGTTTGTGAATTTAAAAGACCGTCATTGTGATGGATGTTGTATTTTTTTCTTTCACATATTTCAATAAAGAGCACTCGTGCAAAATTCATGACGGATCTATTCCGTAAACCCCGTTAAAATTGAATGACCATGAGTAATTCAGTCGTGACTGAAAATTGAATCATTACGAGAGCTTGATCCGAAATCCCTAGAGAATACCTTTCGTCATAATACTCTATTATTAGAGGAATTCATCCGAAATGCACGTCGATTCAGCAACTCTTAGTGTATTTGCAAAGCATCTTTGTGCTTTATCCGTATATTGTAACAAGTTTACGACATTGTAATTTCGAACGAATCTGTCGAGGTATTATCATAAAGATTTGTAAGAAAATGCGCGTGCTTCTGAAAATAAGTTATTTGAAGTCTACGGAAGCTTGAACTTAAGCCCCTGGCCACCTACTTTGCGTCTACGTCTTCGCGTCTGTTCACCTTTGTCATCGCGGTGGCGACAATGATATATACCTTTTCTTTCAACTGTCACCTACAGACTTGTCTTGTTGTGCGATTCCGATGTCTGCATTTCGGTCGATATAAGTCATACAATCTTTTATTTATTTGTTTGATCAATGCAACGTTAAAAATGCTTAAAGAAATAACGATTTCAAATTTTTTTATTTCATTGTTCTCATTGTTTTCAAACATTCTACGCTTTTCCAATTTGGATTTAAATTCATTCTTTCGAAGTCAGTCTAATGCATTCGATTATTTGATACTACGCCATTAATTATATTAATGGTTTAGCGAGATAAACATGCGGAATAAATATTTTCCGTACGTAGAATGAAAAATTGAAAAGGAGGTTTTTATAAAAAGCTGATGGCATAAACGAGACGAGATGATAGTAGTGCAAGGAAAGAGCTAACGAATAAAGTTTTCAAATTAACGAGCAAAATCGGAAGGCATCTTTTAATCTCGACTTACCTCGTACGCGCCGCCGCCGAATGTTAAAAGTCAAACCATTACCGTCTTGGCTCGACCAGTCCTTTCCTCGTTTTATTTGCTTGCTTTTTTTTCCTTTACTTTCTTGCCATGCTGTTTTCTCACTTCCGTAATTACATTGGTTTGCACTCGTTGGATATATTTGCAACAAACTCCTGTGTTCTTTTCGCACTTGTTAGGTGGCACGGTGCTGATGATTTTCGTGAAAACGACATTCTTTGTTTGTTCGTCATTCGTCTCGTCCGCTTTTAATTTTTTCTTCTTAATAAAGACTTTCTTGTCACATCTCAATGTGTAATTGTAGAAAATTTATGAAAAATCTGAAGGTTTCGAAAATAATACTTTGCACTTGGGCTGTTTGGTGCTCAATAGAAACCACATTTCCATAGTATTTGTAAAATATGTCTTTCTAAGTTCAAGATAAAAATTCTCGGTATATCTCTATTGTTTAAAGCCATTGAAATCGAACTTTGATATCTTAAAACAATAATAATAAATCATCATTGCGTTTAACAATAATATAATAAATAATATTAAATAATTTATACGTCAATTTCGAATAAAGATATCCTGTACCTTACTGGATATTATAAAAGGCAACAATTAAATATTCTTAAATAATCAATAATCGATATAATTACGGAATAAATGATGTGCTAAAAATACGTTCGGAACAAAGTCAACCTAAATAAAAGCAGCACCTTTCTCATTTCAAAATGATTCAAAATTTAAACCAACTGAATGTGCATATTAATCACTGGACTAAATTCTATATAGCAATGATGGCAAATGAAATATCTGTTCTATTTACATGTTTTCATGCACCGTATTCAATATTAGAAAATTTTCAAAAGATAATAATATTCGAACTTTTAATAAAAGAAATTGACAGCCTTCAATCACACATATAAAGCTAAACAAAGACTATTAAAAATTAACCGTCAAAACACATTCTAAAAAACCTTTGGTGACCGCCACCTGCTTACATAAAAGAAAACAAAAAATTCCTTCCTCCCATCCACACAAAACACCTATTAAACTTTGATCACCTGAGATTTCACAACAACAACGCACACACATACACATACTCACTAACGACAAATGATATATCAGGTTAACCTATTTCTCGCCCGGAAAGTAAAAGAGGAATACGCGCTTTAGCGTCCAGGGAGTGTCTCGCTCGGGCCAGAGAGCCAACATCACCTGTTGGTCCAGTGCTCTGTTTCTCTTCACTCAACCCCCTTTGCCACGCAGACCGGAGAAAAGAGTGGAATACAGCAAAAGTTCTGCTGCGCCGGCGCAGATCGATGCTCCGCGGATGCTGCGCAGCGTATCCCTCCACTGCCGTTGCTGCTGCTTTTTTTCCTTTGTTCGCTCTTTCTTTTTTTTCTGCATCTCTGGCGTTTTTTAGGCTTGCTGTGAAAACGTGCCTTCGTGTTTGAGAATTCCTTTGTTTTTTACTTTGACGATGAATGCATGCCAATATTTACAATGAAGTTTGTGTCTGCCTTTCTGTAAAATTCATCGCTCGTGTATAATGTGCCGTGCGTTGAAGGCAGTCTGACCAGAGGTTGACCTATAACTACTCGTGTATACACTATACATAGCTTTGTATTCATCCTCTTCTCTCTCTCTCTCTCTCTCTCTCTTTCATATGTTCCATGTACTTTTAACGACTAGTCTGGCTTGCAAATGTTAAATATCATGTTCTGCTTGTCATTTATAGTTTGATAGTACCAAGGTTTTAATCGAGTATAAAAAGGAATTTGCAAAGGTGGTGCGATAGCGAGCTTCACCGTTCCGTAAAAGGCATCGTAGAAAGCGTTGAATCATTGAATGGTGTTCAAATTAAAAGTTTTGCGCCGAATTGCATGCCAGTGGCGCTTCGGCAGTGCATCCGGTCGTAAACTTATCTCAGAATGAAACGAGTGAAAGTTAAATTTGAATCTAATGGAAAGCTATCCTTATAACAAAGAGTTTGCTTGTATTTGGAGGGGAAGGGTATATAGTTGAACGCCCGTCAACTGCTTGTCCTCTCTATTTACATCGTTTAGAGTTACATCGTTAGCGTCTCTACGATCACGGAACCCTTACAATGGATCAGGGGTTCGAGATCCCCCGTCGACAATGTAAGACAACCTCGCGAGAGTTTACTGCAGAATTCGCCGTCTGATTATTACGCTTATCTGTAAGCTTCGCTCGATCGGCTTCTGCAGTCAAGCGAAATTAATTTGATTTGATGGGCCGTCGATAGCACTTTCCAGTTGAATCGAGTGATTGTATCACTTCGACATTGCTTAGAGAGAGGATAGTTTCGAGGTGCTAGATTAGTTTCATTAGTTCCAGTGTAATTGGGTCGGAAATATCAAGTAAGTTTATGCTGTTTTCGTTCACTAAATTAATTTTGCCAAAGTTACGTATCCAATCCAAATGTTCAATTGCGTTTATTAGTTGCACTGCTAATTTTCTAGGAAGACCTGAACTGTGTATTTAAAAATTAGGAGTATGTGAAGGATATAGTTTTTGAAAATAATAATAATAAAAGAACCGACAAAAATGAATTTTTCATTTAATTCATTTATTAAAACTTTCTAGTATTATATTAATTTTTTATAGTTTCTCTGTATCTGCTTTACTGTACAATTTTTTCTTTTATTTAAATTTACTTCGTCACAATTGCGCCTTCCTCGCTCGCTTGCACTCGCACACAAAACGCTCATCATATATCTCTCTCATGTTAGCCGCGTATACGGGGTGAGCATATTTTTTCATCTATCAGTTGAATAAGTTATTGTAATAACTAAAATCAGAATTGATGCCTGGAGTCTTCGAATATGTGAGCTTGATGTGTACATTTCCGAATTTGACAAAGTCAATTATGAGCGTACTTATGAATTACCATAACTGATGCTTAAAATTTCAATAAACAAAAGTGATGCAAAACAAATACGACGGAATTGTTCGTCGTATATTTTATTAAACTTTGATATACGACAATATTATTCACTCTCTGATATTTGCTGACATTTTATACAGTGATTGTTAATATTTTTATCGCAACTATCAGTACAAAATAAACAATCGCAGTAAATGTTGATTATGAAAAGTTGCGGGATCCCTTATAATTCCAACGCATTATTTATATATAATTGAATCAAAGCTTGAGTTTTGTTAAATTCTCTTTTCTAGTAAATGAATTAACTATAGACATTTGCATATATGTTTTTCAAACAAACGGAAGCGTTGATCGTAATGATCTTTTTGAAATCTTTTTGTTATTACATCATCATAAGCGTTATTAAGGATACTCAGCTCAGAAAAGCGCAATTGGGCGCCATCTTATCACGTGCCTTTGAATTTAAATATTTAACTGGTGAAACCCTAAGATAAATATTTTGAAATCTAGCTGATAATAATACTTTGAATACCTTCGATTTATGGCATATCTTACCTAAAGTCAATTTATTGGCAACTTTCGTTTAAAACCGTACGATATGAGTACTGAAATTTACAATATATATTTTTCGCATTTCTCATTTTCTTCACGGCAGTTGATAAATAGGAGTCCTATTTTATCCTGTTATTTGAAAAGTTCGCATATTGCTGTAAGAAAGATTTATATATATTTTTTTATGTTTCTACAATAATTTTATACAATCTTTTTCTTAATAAATAGGTTTTATAGATTACATTACCTCATTTTTTCTTGTATCACAAGTGTTTATGATGATTAAGCAACAATATAATTTTATAATTAAAACGATCGTATAATTTTTTATTATTACACTCAACATTATATTACGACCTAATGTGACGAAACAACTATAATTATATTTGTCTGTTATAGCAAAAATTTATCATAACATTTGTCCAATTACATTAAAAAGTAATTAATAACATCTATTAATTTAGAAAACTATATCATTCTTGCATTTTTATTGTATTATTTTCTTATTTGGCAATTAAAATAAAATTTAAACGGTAAAAGTAGAAATTAATGACATTCAAAACTGCAGTCTTAACTTTTATAAATATTGAATATGATGGATTGGATGAACGTCATTAAATTTATATGAACGAAGACGTTAATTAAGGGCATTCTAAATGGTTCATTAGATAGATAGATAATTGTTCATTAACAATATGAAGATTGTTCCATTCTTATCGAACGATTTCTGTATATTCTGAATTGAGTTGATAGTGTTAAAACAAATCTCAAGCTTCGATTAACAATAAATCATTTTTGTTGACGGAATGCGATGATGTAACGATTATTATAGAGGCATACTTCATTGATTCAATTACATTTTCAATCAGTTTTAGCGAATATGTCGGTTCTTCTTCGGTTCGAAAATGTATATACACCAGTGTATATATAGTATATTTATTCCAAACATTTAATTTGTGCGTTTGGACTTATATTCTATCGATTGGTATTAGAGAATCTTTGAAATCTAGGCAGTTGTGTGGTAGTAATTTTTTTAATACTAATAACATTGGTTTTTCATTCTTTCAATAAACACGCCCAGAAAATTTAATTACTTTTTTCTGATTTTCAAACTTGTATGACTTCTTCCAAATTAATATAAACTTATTCTTTGTAATAATTATGAAATTGATCACCGTAATTTCAAGAATTATAATTGATTAAAAGCAAAAAATGTACTATTAGTGCTTGAAATAGTTTCAAAACTGTTTTAAGCAGTAATTTTATACAAGATCAATAATTTCGCAATTATTAAAATACTTTCATCGAGTTATGCGTTTTCGAATCTCGATACAATTAAATTACTCGATTAATATTTAGATGATATACTTGTAAAATATTTTAAATTAATTTAAATTTGATAAATTTATAATTGACTTTTTAACTAGAGCTGTTTATATGTTCAAATTAATTTGGGCAATGTACGAAAAATCAACATGGTGTCAAGTACTTTGTATATCCATGTTCTAGACATTATCATTTCACTCATCCACGCTGGAACGCAGGTATTCTATAAATGATTATCTAGCTCGTTACTTTATGAAATACAGAAGCCAACAGCTTCTCTTCAAATTTTTCTAGATGATTTATGAAGCGTCTTTTGGATTTAAAAGTTTTCGCGTTAGAACATAACAACGAATGATTCGCAATATTCGAAGTTTATTATGAAAATCACTCTTTTGATGATTGACTTTATATGAAAATCATTACCAATAGCTGGGTAAAGAAAAATTAAAAATTTTCAAGATGTCGCGCGTATCTGTCAAATGACAGCGTTTTTTCTTTTCTAAAAAGTGGTTTTTATAAATTTTGAGCTATAAAAATTGTAAGGTTTTGTAATACATGACACGTCTCTGAATTACGAGCAGCTCTTTGTTCAAAGACGTTACTTTTGATCATTAATTTTCTTGATAGATGTATTAAATTACAGTTCCTTAATAAATATACGCTTTGCGTATGCTCGTAAGAGTAAGAAAATTCGTGTATTATACAAGCTATGATGTCCTACGAGAATATTTCATTTTTTCAATATTGTTCTTTATGAATGTGTAGGTCTACGTATTAATTACATGTTTCTGCTACTTACGTGATAAAAAGTTTATCAATACTGTAAAACGATTGTTTGAAAATAAACCTCAGTGCATTTTAAAATCTCCTTACTTTAGTATTTTATTGCGAACTTTAGACTGTTCTATATTTTTTCATGATTTTTCAAATCTTTGATAGGTATGATTTGATAGGTATAATGTTACGACATTATTGTACATGTCGTTTTTTCTATATTATAAAGCATCTCTTGCAACATTTTGATACTTTTAATGGGTTGGCGAGCATACAAGGTTTTATCTTATTAGAATTTTTCTCTTTTCTTATATTCAAAGCTTATTGTGTTGATGTTTCTGTGCATGTACTTTAAGGATGAGTATTTTTAGGGATTCCGTCTATACGGGCATTATATTTATAAATTGTTCCATTGATGAAAAATATTTTAATTTGTGAACTTGAAATAATTTGTGTTTCGAGATTATTTAAAAATATTTCATCATGTCATCAAAGAACTAATTAGCTATATTTATATATATATATATTAAAATAATAATAAAAAGTTTTACTTATTAAGTCACCGTAATCCACAAAATAATCATTTGATTTACCAATGTTAAGTAAAAAATTGGTTTCTATAGTTACGTATTTCGATTTGAAACAAGATTTTTCCTCCTAAACATTTCATGGACTTGTTCAATTGATTTAATTCATTTCTTGACATTACGTATGTGTTATTTAATTTTCAATTAATTTATTTAGCTGTCGTGTCAGTCTACAGTATCTCGAGTAGTTTATTTTGCGATATAAGGAATCGGACTTGCATGTTTAATTCTATAAATTAATCAATTTATTACGTATATTTCTTTGAGTCTCAAAAAAGTTCACGTGGCAAAACCTTTCACAATTTTCCCTCGTTATTGGTTTGCGATATGGAAGTGATTTTTTTTTCGCGTGTTGGCAGTAAAGGTGCTATTGTGAAAACCAAATCGCACGTTATCAAACTTCTTCAACGGAAGATGTACTAAACTACAGAACAATGTCTTTTATTATTTGTATTATTTCATTTTGAAAGTTAGACATGGTTTGATAAATGTATTTTTAAGAATGAAAATTAAAAAAAATGTAATTAATGTCATTTGTTTTTTCACAATGTATTAGATGGATTATTTGGCACTTAAAAAAAAGTTATCTAGGTTTATTTCAGTCCGCAATTAGATGAGCAACAATTATTTCACCCATTGTGATGAAGACTTCATATATATTGATATATAAAATTTGGAGTGAATTATAGTTTGTGTTGCTTTTTCAATTCGAAAGTATTACGTTATATTATTTTAGGTTATTTGAAGTACTGAAGTTTCAACATTTGACAACTTAATTGAGACGAAAGTTAATCCGTAATGATGAGATATCAAGACGACTCATTCTGTACTCGGTTTCAAAACGCGTGTCTTTATTAGTTCAATAGTGTTGTGATGTGAAATAAAATTGATTGCAATAGAATCGAATTGTTGTATAAGTTTTATAAAATTTCATCAGTTAAAAAGACAATACAAATATAATCTTAATTCACAATATAGGACATCAATAAATATTGTTTTGAATAATACGCAACGTAGCTGTAGAATATACTGAACATATATATTCAAGTCATCATCAACTTCAGTCGGCGAGTTATCATTTTTTTATTAAAATTGAATATAGCAATCAATTTTATTTTAGCACAGACATGATGATTCAAAAAGCATTTTTCAAAAATTCTTCATGTGAGTTTCGTGGTTTTGACAAACGTTCGAGAAACAGTCTGCGGTATATATATAAAAAAAACACTCGATTGAATGCAGCATTTAGTTTTTCTTAATAAAAAAATGAACAAAGATTCAAGTGGAGGAACTGTTTGTTTGAAATTTTTCTATTTCTAATATGATGTCTGTGTTCAATAATTCGAGCATTTCATTGCTTCTGCGAAATCATCATGTTTTATCGTTTATTATCGGATTTGTCAAGTCGTAATGTATTATTGTTGGCTTTAATACTATATGTTCGGCGAGAAAAATGTGTTGAGTCTAATCGAGTTGTAATTTTCTTCTTTATTTCGAAGTCGATCACGTCATGCCGTAGGCACAAGCGGAATTATCGGGCGGGCTGATTTTTTCCACCGGAAGAACTGCAGCTTTTTGCCATTCGTCTCTTACCTACAAAAAATATATACTTATAATTTGGTATAAATTACTGTTGAAAAGGTGTAATATGAACTAGATTTTAGTAATGGACATCGCACGTGAGAATTCGGGTTAATTACCTGCTCGACTTTACTGAAAACCCGTAGGAGATTGAGGCCGGCGAGCTTTTTAATGTCCTCTTCGGTCCAATTTGGATCCTCGAGTAATTGAGCCAGTAGATCCGGATATCGTGACACGTCTTCTAGACCCGTTGGCGTGCTGCGCATTATAAAAAAAGGTCACAGGTGTGAAAAACTTTAAACTAAGTAAAATAAAGTTTTAGCGAAGAGAGTCGGCAAATAAAAAAGTCCTTGTGCGAAAATTCAGTTTTCCCCTTTCTTTTAATCGATCGATTTATTACATTGCAAGTTGGAGAGGGAACAGTAAAAGTTATGTGATAGCTATCAATAACTTTTTAGCTCTTGTATGAATTTGACAAGCCAATAAAGAATAGTTTGGATTCAAAGATAGAATATAAATAGGTGCTTTTCAAAAGCAATTGTCGTTTTGGTAAACCAAAAACACTTAAATCATCAGAATTTGAAATTACAGAAAAACAAAAAATGCTACGTTGCTACGAGTCTCATTGTCAAAAATCTCATAACAACAATCAAAGCATCAACACATATAACATATATGTATATGTATATGATAGTTACAAATTTATTCCGTCGAATCCAGCGCCAATGCCAACGTGATCGATGCCGGCCACCTTCCGTATGTGATTGATGTGCGCTGAAATGGAACGGTTTTATCCTGTATTTGGCAATTTTTACTTTAGCGTCAACGAAGGGAGAGGACAGTTCATGCAGTCTCTCTTTTTTCCAGCGTGTATATGTGTGGGAACCAGCGCCGTTGATTGGAAGAAGGACGACCGTCGAGAGGAAGAGAGAAAGAGAGAGGGGAATTTGCATTCGAATTCATGCTGGGTAGCCCTTTGCCTGCCCTTAACGACCGTTGCAGCGGTCCGTGTTAGCGGCCTCTCTCTTTCTCTCTCTCCCATGGCATCGTTACACAAAGCCACGATGAATCATGCATGTGATGTAGTTTTGCAAATTTCGGCAACTTTGGTCATCGGTTTTATATCCAATGTGAATTATAAAATGCAAACCGGTTAGACACTTCAACCTTTTTTCAGAGAGAAGTATCAGTACAATTGCAAATTTTGATGCGTGATTTATTATTTTGAAGTACATTGAGGCAAAGACTTTAAACCTCTCCATTTAGTGGTAAAGTTTGAATGTTGTTATAATAATCATCGTTGCTCTGAATGAAAATTTCTCCAAATTTAATACTAATAAACAATTATTTTATTTCCATTTCACTAAAGTAGATTGCGCTCTTGTCACGTGAAATGAAACTTATTTTTTCAAGGTTAAATAGCTCTAATCAATTCTGAATATTACTAGTAATTATCAGGATTTGGATGCACGCTTTAGAATAATTTGAAATATGGCGAGTAACAGAATTAAGACAAAAAAAATGATAGCCAGCTTACCAATTACGTCCTTGATAGTTGCCGTGCTGTTACAAGTAATAAAGTAAGTATAAAAAGGGACCATGGCAACACCTCCATTTTTCGCCTGAAACAAACAAGAATATCCCACATAACTCATCGTTTCACTTTTTACATATTTCATTTTAGCGAAACAACAACAACAAAATAAAAACAAAAAATTTCAAGAACACAATTTTCGAGCAGAAACGAATGTATGTAGTCAGCCGAATAGTGCAAGCGTTGCATGAAATTACATAAAATTCAAATTATCCCGCAAACCACACGAACGCTTCGAAAAAAAAAATAATAAAATAAAATAAAATACAATTCAAGTATCGTAAATTGCAGCGCAGTATAAGCGTGCAATAAATAACCAAGGTGCCAATTCAATTTTATTCGCTTTCTGATCATCATAAAACGTCTCTCGCACGGTGCGGCTTTTCTCAGTATTTTCTTTTTGGTCGTTGGTGGTGGCGTCATCGTCGCCAACTTATTCATAAACTCCAATTCTCGGATCACTCAGGAATGTATGCGTGCAGTCCCGTTGAGGCGTCAGTGCGTGATGAGTCCTTTTGTCAGCCAAGCGCGCGCTTTATGAAAGTCTGCATTATTTGACATTGGATTTGTGTGAAACCTCATGATGCTGCAATTTCGCTCCGCCTCTAACGTAATTGTTTGAATAATATATCAAGAGTGCCAGAAGTTATGCTGAGAATTGTCGTCCCGAAGAAATCTTGTTAAATAATGGACTCTGGTTGCCGAAAGCAAAGTGCGCTTGTGCGCTGAGAAAAGTAGACGCGCTTTATATTTTCTAGGAAAAGTTTTGTACAACTGCGAAAACAAACTTTCTCACACGAGTAATGTAATTTTAATTTACATTTTCAGCAGGCAAAACACATTGAACTTTTCGTGTTGCTTGTAAACGTACGGCGAGAAACTTTTTTTTGCAACCACGTCCACTACAATAAACTACGACGGAATTTTTTTTCTGCGCCCAGCTAAGCTACGCGTCACGAGCTGAATTATACCACCGACTAATGCAGAGTTATATACATTTCGTGAAATACAACCCAAGCAGATGAGTTGCTGTATTTAAATAAAATAAACTTAATTTGATTATATTTGCACAACGTAGATACAAAATATTGATAATTCATTTTCACGCAGCTAACGAATCTCATTAAAAAGTATTAAATCCGATTCCCGGTGTGAGGTTTGCAATGCAACGTATGAAAATCTGATCTTTTTCTCTTAATATGTAAGGCTATTTATGCGGAAAAGTTTATAGAAGTTTCACGTCAAAGTTGTGAAATAAGAGTGCTCATAAAAATATATGAGGCGTGTAATCTGTGAGAGAGACAGAACATTTTGGACGACATTTTACCGGAATTGCAGTTGAACATTTGACATTCCTCAAAATTAACTTTGTCTAATTATACTTACTCTTTGACTTCGAAATTCCGCACATAATAAAAAATTAATTATCAAATAATTTGATCTAAATGCGTTGAAAGTTTCATCACGCAATTTAGATCATATTATACATAATTGAAATATGTATATTATTGGAATACAAGTTTGACCGGGAAATAAAATTGAAAAGAAAATAGCATTAGCAACAAGAAATAGCAACGATAAAGAGACCTATTAAAAAGTCAATCATGCGATATTAAAAGTACACGTACACGCAAAAACTTGGTCGGCAGCGAATAAAAAAAAAAGGAAAAAGAGAGAAAAACGGCAGCCCGTCGCCTTGTATGCCCCCTCTCATTTATCGTCAGGCAGCGTGAAATTTCTACGTTAGTTGCATAAAGTTCTCTCATATCCACTCTGGAGAGAATGACGCGTGCACGAAAGTCCGTGAAACGCTGAAGTCGTTGTGGCATCAAAGTATTCCGTGGTACCTGCTACCGGAGAATAAAAAAAAATTACTCGAGTCGAGGATGAAAACTCGACGGTGACATATTAAAAAAGTTGGCAACCGGGCTATGCGTTCGTCTGTGCGTGCATAAGCTCGACAAATTGCGTTTCACCTAACCGTGACGATCAATGTTCAAGTTGAAATTTTTTTTCTCTCCCGCTGAGCTTCGCTGCGAGCGCGCGCGTGCTCTTCTCTAGTTTATTTGCGGGCTATGTAAGTGGAGTTTGGCTGAACGCTTCGCGGTACTGTGGAGATTGTGTATCTAGGAGAATATATTTTACCATTAAATGATGAGATTGCAAAAAAGGCTTTAGATTTTAGATCATTTTTATTTTATTTGGTTGGTGAGTTATGTGATTTTTTTGAATCTAGAATAGATATTCTAATGAATTCTTAGCTTACATTAGATCGTCAACATTATCTTCTATTAGACATGAGTTATAAAAATGTTTCTACTAAATGTATAAAATATGCTACGAACAATGATATGCTATCTACTGTTCATATTGAAACATTTTTTTTATTACTAATTGAATACTAGTTGAACTACGCATTTTCGTTTCGTATGAGTCTATTCACGTTACTCTTACTATTAAGTATCGGCAGGTATTTGAGATAATTTTTAAAAATTGGACATTTCATAATATTTTACTTATTAAAAACAATAAGTGCGACATTTAGTCAGGTAAACACGCAATACGAAAGTTAAAATGTTCTCTTTTATTATGTTTCAGTAGTCACATGTGGTTCATTCTATATAATCATGTATACGTCAAGTTTCGCACTCGTAATGAAATCGGTAGCAGCCGCAATCGCCATTTCCTGCAGTCTCCTCGTCTTTCTTGGTGAACGATGTGGTGGTGATCAAGAATTCTCCAGTTAATTAGGATGGAAAGCTCATGATTGATAATGAATTACAATGGGACTATTATCTCATGCTCTCAGGCTGCGCACGCGCCTCAATGAGTTGAGGTAATCAATCAACGTTCTTCTAAGATCGCGTCATTATATTTACACCTATTGCCTGCTCGATATTTATTTTCAAGATTTTTACCAGCAACTAATGTAAGAGCGACAGAAAGTGTGAGAGACCACGTAGTTTGATATACGGGACTAATTTGTCACGGTGGTTAATTGGATCCCGATTTGCTTATCTGGTATGATTTCCGGGTCGTCGATGTGAAGGACGCGCGGCCGCGAGTGTACGTTTGATATTGAGCTGATGATGTTCCATTGTGAGAGCTGATTGACCGGAATTCCCAATGTTCGATTGTTACTTTGTACGATAGCATTAATTGACAAGATTCTTGTACGACTGTTAATGAGCCTAAGGAACACGACATTACTGCTTTCGTCGGATAAAGCATGACGTTAAAATGATCTTTTGTTTTGAGTTATTACTAGGAAGATATATTACTTACTCGTGCCATTCCCAAGATCATTAATTAAAGGCTTAAGATTGCAATAAAAAGATCTCATTAACTGGAAATGCATGTTAACGTGGATGTTTTAATCGTTTGAAACAAAAAAGCAGACAGGTCTGCCGAGTGGATTTGGAAAATCGGAAATGAATTTCATTAGTTAAAATTACAATGTTCCAACGTTGATATCCACTCCATTATTCGCTGAAAATGGAGAGGAAGTAAAACATTTTGATCAAATGGAAACGCGGGGAGTTTGGATAACAAAGAACCCTCGACCTAGTTTACGATCTTGAATTTGATGTCTGTTCTTTGAAATTTTATTTAAAATCATTGATAGCCATGTTTCATTTTTTTTATCAAGCAGCTGATTGTGAACATGGATGTTAGTGATTTTCAAAAAGAAAGAAATAGTTTAATAGTTAAATTGATGACCGTTGACATAATAAAAGAATTAACATTGTTTCTCGATTGCCTAAGTTAAAACATAAAGAAAAAAAGAAATAAGAGATTATGAAGCAAAGATTGTTTACTGAGTACTTCACTGTGTAGAATTAAATACTGCATGGAAAGTTTAACAGGAATAGTTAACTATTAACTGAACAGTATGTTAAAATAGTAAGTCGTGCAGTCGGATATATGAGAAAATTCAAATTTCACGATATTACCTTGTGAAACTTTTGCACTTTTGCAGAGATCAATCACAATGATTGATAGACTGCGATACTTTTTTTTATAGCGAAATCATGTTCCGTGTTTAAATTTGACTGCAAGCCGTTATCGGAACGTTCAATATCGAAATGATATTGGCTTTCAATATAAATCGCGTACAAGTTCGCGTTCTCATTTTAAAATTACAAAAACTCGAAATTGAACGGTTGATCTTTTATAGGACCTATTCGTAGCTGGGTAAGTGCTATATTTGCACTGCGAATGCCACTTGAATTTCTAAGATCCGCCTTGAAACAAAGACATTGCGGAAGCAAGTAGAGAGAATTCGCGTGCAGTCAGACTACCAGCCTATCGTAAGGCTACGCAGAACGCAGTTTCGCTTTGCTTGCCGGAAATTATTTCGCGATGACACCGCCAGAAATCGATTTACCCATAAATAGCCCTAAGAGCTGCGCCAAGAGTGTAGATTATGTAGATATATAGGAAAATGCATTTTCAGCAAAGATTCTTTCTCAATTTTTGCCCCTATAGCGGTTGCTGATGTTTATTTTAAATAAAAGCTGCAGCTGCGCTTCGATTGTGTTGATATAATTGATTCTTTGCGTCGTAACCGAGAATTTACATAGGCCATCTGGAATCGAAATTTTTTTACGATCCTCTGCTCGCAAAGGATAACAGCTTCTATTAAATACGGTTTTTCAAAGGCAGTAACGCATAATTTTACGATAAATAATTTTCACCGCTAATCGCGAAAGGTTTGGTTAAATTGAAATATCGATTATTTAATATTGATATCAAAAATTTCTGAAACGGTAATCACAAACGTAAAATCTTAATCTGATAATCGAATCTAAGAAAAGTGTTCCGTGGTACATGCAAAAATTACACGATTTTAGCAGGTACTAATAAAATTATTAAAAATGAAGTACAAATGTCGAGCACTTGATGGATTTCCCTCCATTTCCGAGGCTGAATCAATGCAAGTACCTCGAAGCAAAATCTCAAGGTATTGCCTTTAAAGCGAAAGGAATCGACTTGCAGTTTCAATTAAGTTACCATTAAGATAAGTGA